TGATTCTAGTGGGTCCTCTCTGGCTTCCTCTCTGGATAGTGGACAGCCATCCCATTTCGGAATTTGACTCGGAATTTGACATTTACTCTGACAGAGAAGAACTGTCATTTTGGGTGTATTTTCGGAGCAAAAAGAGCGCCCTCGTGAAGCTTCTGTGATAGGCGGCAAGAAACGAACGTCGGACTGGTGTAACCGTGTTGTCGGGCGAATTACATAAGGACCTGGGCAATAATCTGGGATCAGAGAAATGGGTCCTGAAACGGACAGGAAACTCCAAAACTCGGTCGCCGGACGCAAGTGGGGCAATAAACTGGGGAAATGCAAGAGAAGTCGGTCAGGCCCAGCAAGATTGACCTCGGAGGCGGCTTTTCAGGCAGACACGTCATGCCGGCCTGATACCTGTAATGATACGAAGGATGTTCTAACTTCTTATTACGGATCTTCTTCTAAGTCAATTTTGTTTGCCAAAGTGGGGGTCGTCCGATGTCCTATTCCGCCGTGTACGGTGTTCCAGAACCGCAAGCCTGCTTAATTCGTCTCGGCCCACTCAACCCTTGATGGAGGGGGGTTTGATGGGTCAGGTGATCCTTCGGGCCGGTCTTGCGCACACCCGAAAGACTTAGCGCTCGTCATCGCCGACGTCGTATAAGACTAATAAAGCATTTACATGTTCGTTTTCATGCTAGAATAATATTATACACCATATTACGCGTGGAAACGAGCTGCATTGCGTTTTGGGAACTGAACTAGACCAATCCGAGTTCGCGGCCGTTTTCCAGAGGTGACGAAAGAAAGAATGTGGTTCTTTATTGATTTACGAGGATCATTCCGTACATGACCGTAAGGGAACATCCAATCCTCGGGCTATCAGCGGCGTAACCTAAGTAATACCCTAAGTGTCCGTGATCATACCAATTATCGTGACATCCCATAACTATTTACACTAATCAGGGCTTTGATATACCTAAGCATAAGATCGCGTATATTCGCACATAGTAATGCCCTAGCTCCCGAAAGCAGCCGTTCGTGTGACCGGCATCCAACACAACCTCCCTATGGGTTTGGGTTTGTTCCATCATTCACGTGCCACGTGGTTCTTTGGCGGTCCGTGTTAGGAGACAACTTTAGCCGTTTCGTGTAGTTTCACTCCCACCCTCCAGTACTTTGGTATTAACGCCTCGGGGTCGGCTCTAGCCGTCTCGCTGGTTTGCTTTACGTACTCTGGGAAGTCAGCGCACCGAAACGCCCAGCAGGCTCCAGCAGATCATGTGAACCTTGTCCCGAAGGGTCGGCTCTAGCCGTCTCGCCGCATAGCGGCAGATCCACACAACCTTGTCCCTTGGCTCCCTATTTCCCTTCCTGGCATAGTCATTTTTTCGATGACTAAGGAGAACCAGGTGACCCTGATATCATTATGTGAGCATGCATAGGTACGGTCACTCCAGACCCTTGGGTCTAGAACACGCGAGACGTAGTCGCTCCCTAATACAGAGGCCCAGACGGTGTCATCCGGGGGCGTGGAAAAGTCACATGGTGTCTAAAGTGTGTTTATCCATGCAACCAGCGAGAATCGAACTCAAGAGCTCAACACAAGCCTGGGGGTAAGTCCGCAATAGTGCCACCTGAGCTACCGCAGCCCCCTTTCCAGAGGTGACTATTGGTATAGGAGTAATACTTGTACATTGAGAGACAAAAGACCGACCATGTAAGGTAGAATGGGAGGTATATTTAAGGCATAATTTATACTCAAAATAGGTGCACCCTCTGGTTGACACCATGGCCTGTCCGCTCTTGAGGGCGCTAAGCAGATTCGGGAATTTGGAATGCAAGGACGGGTTCCAATGCATCTTATCGAGCATGTGCGATTTGAATATGCTGGCTGCAGGCATAAGACGGAGACACAAGATTCAAGGCGAAGCAGGTGGTGTTCTCGGCGCTAAACATGAGCGGGCGTCGACATGGGGCAGGGTTCGAGAGATGAGGTAATGGCACTGGAGGGGCAGCAGTCTAAACAAGGACCTCCGCATTCGAGGGGTAGATTACAAGATAGAAACTCTATTAAACGAAGAGCAGTCCATTTGGCGAGTGCTTCCTGGCAGCAGAACCACGGCGGAAGGGCCAAGAAAGACTTCCAAAGAAATCACAAAAAAATTGGAAATGGAAGGCGGTGAGGTGGACGACTGAACTGTTGGCCCCAATCTCCAAAGATTAGCAGGCCGAGCGCCACCCCTGTATGACTGGAGAATGTTCGGGTCATGGATTATCTAGATGATTCTAAATTCTGAGCAGAGATAGAATGGATAGAAAATAAAATGTCCATTGAGATGCTGCTTTGTCTCAGAGTAAGAAGTGACTCAAAAAATAATTCCATTCACTCAAGAATATATGAGAAAAGAGGTGTATGTTGGAATAGAAAGGCTTATGCAGTTCGCTCTCAAGGGCTCCCTTCCTGTACCTCGAATGGTTCTATTGGATTTCCAATGAGAAAAGATATCAGTATAAGCGTCAAAGATCCGAGCCCGGTCATATCGACGAGAGCCAACTGAAACACAGGCCAGGCATTGAGGTAAATTTATTTTGGAAAATGCGATGGCTAAGGGCTGTGTCAGAGCCTCGTACGAACGGGTTTAGGTGCAGTTTACAATAACCAGTTTGAGCAGTGGACTGGTCGAGGAGTGGAAAATAAGCGCCCTCGGAAACAGTCCACCATCTGACTCAGACGAACAATTATTGACAATCAAAGGATGAAAACTATCCAAAAGGTTATCTCCTTACTTCGCATTGTTAATTTCTCCGTGTAAGACCACCTCATTAGCGTATTTTCCTATTTGTCACCATTTCACGGTGTATGTAGCATGGCAAATACAAGTGCATCCCGTTCATGTATTTATATTCTATGTGCACGACTGAAACTGTAGTACAGCTCTTGTCCACATGTAATATGGTGTATAATATTATTCTAGCATGAAAACGAACATGTAAATGCTTTATTAGTCTTACACGACGTCGGCGATGACGAGCGCTAAGTGTGCGCAAGACCGGCCCGAAGGATCACCTGACCCATCAAACCCCCCTCCATCAAGGGTTGAGTGGGCCGAGACGAATTGAGCAGGCTTGCGGTTCTGGAACACCGTAGCCGTGGGTAAGTACGTAGCTGTGCATGATCTCTGTGTAACGATAATCCCAAACGCGTGCCTTTTCGTTTGATGGGAGGCGGTTTTGGACAGGTTTTTGATGATCTATTCTGCGAAGCAACTTGGACAGATGGTAAGCAGCCCCAGCCTCGTCTATATAAGAGTGATGGCCTTAGACTATGCCTTTTGCAGAGGCCATCGTGATTGTGGATGAAAGATTACAGGTGGTTGTCGGTTTCAAGGCCTGCCGCGGCTTCGCGATCGCAGTTCGAGTCGACCTCCTGGAGCCTCCTGGTCTAGCTCGGTCTGCGGTAAGGAAGCCTCCTCATTTTCATCTGCCTGAGGCTGAGCCAAGTATCTATTACTAAGTGCGATTTATGATATTTGGCTGTCGGGCAGTGGTCGGTATAAGAGCCTGTGTCGAAAACCCTACTAGTATGAGATTTAGGACCGTGTATCTCCATTCAATAACGCTGGTAGGCCGGGCAAGCCCGGCAGTGCCCGCTACCGTCGCCCCATAAATTCATCGTGCTAAGTACAATGGATCACCAGTATTTAAATGTTATGGTGTTCGCGTGGCGTTGGCCCAACAGGAATGTGGGCAAATTTTTGGGAACCATATACAAAAATTGCATGGCAAATACCTATTGTTTCACCTTCGGGTTCAAGCTTTGGGAAATTGAGACTTGTAGAAAGAATTTACGAGGCGAGCATTGGAGTTGATCAAGAGTTGATGGTCAGTTGGAGATAAGCTATATACTTAATCTCGTCCCTCCATGAACGATGTTGCGAAAGAACGAAAAGAAAAGATTGCATCAGCAGTTTTGGTTTTTGCTATGAGGTTGTTATGGCCCACTATGGAGTGCTATGTAGCTCTGGGGGTGTCTATGCAATGGGGAACCTCAAGTATGGTGCTATGCGGCACTATGGGCTTCTATGGAATGCTACATAACGCCCTATAGCTCCCACATTTAAGCTTTTCGAGGCCAAAAATCCAAAACTGCTGATGTTGAACACGAGACTCGGCCCGGAGTGTTATATCGAAGCCAGTGAAGAGGTTCTGTCGAGCTCGAGGCAAACAGACAAAGCATTATAAAAGAAGGATTAATATCGGCCGACACGAATATGCGGGAGTCTTTGACGAGCAACCTCAGGAGGAGGTCAGAATATTCATATTATTGAAGGCTTTACCGGGTCGGTAAGCATGTTTCCCGGTCATACACTCCACGCGCGTCGCGCTCAATCCATTTCGCAGTCTCGACGTTGGATGGAGTCTTCCAGGCGTCCTCGATAAGGGAAAAAGGTCTTACGGACAGTCACTGAAAATTACCCGCCAAAATCTGAGCCGGAGTGCACACATAGACCCTCTACCTACGGTAGCGGGAAAAATCTTTGGTTTACTTACTTACTTACGCTTTGTCGAAATGACTGTACTCGTAAAAGGCGCTTCCTGGTCTTAGGGTATCTGTCGCGTCAAGTCGCACGACGAAAAGTTGAAGTAGCTACTAGTAGTCATAACTCAGGATGTATGAAGTTTGGACATCTCTAACAGAAGATTGGTAGGCACGTTAGAAAAAAAGACTCATCCGTCTGTCACGGTGCGACTTGGAGGACTTGCACGTTGACGTTGAAGATTGGAACTCTTTGTCCGAGTCCGTCAGACGTCTACTTGGGAAAATTACATCATTCAAGCACCGATTATCCGTCGAATGGGTCTGTCAAACGCAAACCGTGAAAATCTTGTTTCGTTGTCTGGCTCGCTCGCGTCGATGATCATACTCTAAGTAATCAGATCATACCGGGCCGGAGCTTCCGTTTACATCCCAACACGTCGTCACGAAAACATTCCCACAAAGATGCCGCCCTCCTCCCCAACATCTCATTTCCTCCAGCCATACGTACGAGTGTCTCAGGCACTGCTTTTCAACCCCGCATACTTCTGGCACCTGGCAGCACTTGTAATATTCGCTGATGCTCTATTGACTGGGCTCATTATTCGATATGTGCCATGTGAGTTTATTGCTCTCTTCGCCAGCTTTCGTGGATTGACAGGTGCTGGTGGGCCATTAGACACGGAGATTGACTGGGAAACATACATGATACATATCAAGCTGTTCCTACAAGGGGAATATAACTATAGCAAGATAACAGGTCCTACCGGCGGTCTTGTGTAAGGCTCACATTTTTTGGTGTCTCGTATACGCCTTCCTCACTTCTACTTGTAGTTATCCTGCAGGTCATGTGCGAATCCACCAGTTCATGTACGATATCACAGATGCAGGAAAGAACATACGACTCGCGCAATATGTCTACGGAGGTCTTTACATCACAACTTTGACCCTCTCCTGCGCCATCTACAATGCAGCTGGCAATGTTCCGAACTGGGTCATCTTGTTATTGCCTTTGAGCAAAAGGCTTCATTCCATATTTGCGTTGCGGCTGTTCAACGACTGTTGGTCCGTGGTAGCAATGCTGGCCTCAGTATTCGCGTTCCAGAATGGAATTTATGACGTTGGGATCATGCTCTTCAGGTATGTGGTTGCCAGGTTGAATGCTTTCTTTTTGATTCACTTTCGCAGTCTTGCCTTATCCGTCAAAATGAACGTTATTCTATACCTCCCCGGTCTTCTGGTCATTATGTTCAAGCGCAAAGGCCTACTATCGACTCTAAGCTACATGTTCACACTCGGGGCGTCGCAAGTTTTGTTCGCCGTCCCATTCCTCAAAGAAGATCCCTGGGCGTATCTCCTAACCGCCTTTAACTTTGGACGGGTATTCCTGTACAAATGGACGGTCAACTGGAGGTTCTTCTCTGAAGAGACTTTCTTAAGCAAGGAGTTGGCGGTGACGCTCTTGGTATTGCACGTCAGCACACTTATTGCATTCGGCCTTTTCAAATGGTGTGACGTCGATGGAGGGTTGTCCCATGTACTCTATCGTGGGTTCAAACGGCCGGAGGAACCAGCAGGGATTGCGTACGTGACGTCGGATTGTGAGTTGTTTGAGTGTTGAGTCGTGGTTGCAAGTAATTGATTGATTTCGCAGTTGTGGCAACTGTACTCTTCACCTCCAACCTCATCGGAATTTTGTTTGCTCGCTCGTTACACTACCAGTTCTACTCGTGGTATGGTCAGCAAGTTCCCTTCCTGGCTTGGAGAACTCGTTACCCCGTTCCTATCAAGTAAGTCGTCGTGAACTACACTCCCTTCAGACTTCTTATCAACCGCCTATGAAAGATTGGCATTGATCCTTGGGATTGAATACGCGTGGAACACCTTCCCTTCTACTACCACTTCGTCTGGTGTATTACTCGCTTGTAACGTCCTCCTGCTGGCAGGAGTCTGGTCTGGATATCCTTCTGGGAGGTTGAGCTAGAGTATGTTAGACTAGAAAACACAACATATTTATTCGTGCGGAGGATTACCGAATGGGGGACACTCAAGGCAGGGTGGGATATTCGGCCCGACAACTTCTCCCTATAATTCCTTCCCTATCCTCTATCCCAGGCGTCCAGTTCCTTTCCCAAATCCTTATGGCTAGGAAGAAAGTTGATAAGAAGCAAGACACGCCCGGATCCTCGACGTCCGCCCAACCACAACCGCCTCAGGTTGCCTTCCCAGAACTGTCTCAGAAGGAAGACCTACAGTGCAGAGCAATTCTCGAGGACCAGATCCTCGTCATCGATGTATGTCGCCGGACAATATCTTTCGACTATTCCCATGAAGGTTAGATGTATGAATGCAGGACTTCTTGTCGCCTGCTGAATGTAAAGCATTCGCGAAGTTCGTCGATACCCTTCCTCTGGAGCTCACCCCGCCAAAGAAACGAGGCGAGGCTGAACGTGTCAACCGTAAGTCCATCTTATAAAGTCTTGAAAACATTTCAACAATTTTGATCGTTGTTGTAGAAAGGTTTTCTGTGTCCTCCCTAGACTTCGCGAAGAAGTTGCACGAACGAATTCTACCTCATCTCCCTTTGTTTCCATACCCAACGTCCATAAAGCGTCCTGCTGTAGTCGAGAACCCACGGAAGCCACATTCTTGTAATTCGAATATCAGGGTGTATAAATATGCACCATCGCAATACTTTGGGTTCGCCTTGATCATCTTTCCCGAGCTCCTGTTGCTGAGATTTCCCCGAACTCGCAGGCCGCATTACGACGATTCCGTCCGCGATTCTCTGACTGGAGCGAAATCAGAATGGACCTTGCTCATATATCTGACTGGAGCAGAGGATGGTGTCGAAGGTGGCGAGGTAAGCGGCGTTTTCCTCCAGCTTATTCTAGATTGGTTGCCTTCTGACTCTCCCTCGTCAGACATTGTTCTACAAGGAGGAAAAAGGAAAGCCTCGTGAAACCATCACTCCAGCTTTGAAGCGCGGAACAGCACTGCTGCATCGGTGAGAGTGATCTCCATTGCAGATAAAATTAAGCCTCATCCCCACACCAATAGGCACGGGCACGAGTGTATGCTCCACGAAGGATCCCCGGTATGGAAAGGCACAAAATACGTCCTGAGATCTGACTTGATGTTCATGCGATAAGTCCAATACGACACAAAAGGGAGAGGTATGTACTTCAGTACACCAGGATACGGATACCGCAGTTGTTTCATCGTCGATGTTTGGACTTTTTCTTCACTAAGGGCATGCCAGCCTCCACGACATCATCGTCCCTATCTCTATCATCTTTCCCACCACGTCCATCATCTCGTCTCCGTTTCTTTCCCTTCCCATTCGCATCTGCGTCCTTCATCTCTGACTTGGCTGCTCTTGCCGCCTCCTCAACGCGTTCTTTCAACGCCGCGATATCTTCTGCCTCTGTCTCAAACATATCCATCTTCTTTCCTACCACCTCCTCTATGCGCAGCAACAACTCTACGTCGTATTGCGATACGAGAGTGATGGACTTGCCCGACCGGCCTGCTCGGGCTGTTCGTCCGACTCTGTGGATATAGTCCTTGGAATGCTGGGGAACGTCGTAGTTGATGACGATGTCAACGGAGGGGATATCCAGACCGCTGAGTATTCAAATTAGACATCCAATAGGAAGGAGACTGAAAGAAGGACGCACCGACTTGCAACATCGGTAGCTACAAGGATCTTCCTACTCCCACTTTTGAACTTTGATAGGGCACCTAACCTTTGGCTTTGGCTCATGTCTCCGTGGATCGGAACCGCTGCAAAGCCAAGAATCCGGAGAATTATTGATAGCCTGCAAGGTTGTTGTCAGCGTCTTTCGAAGGCTTGAACGCAGCCATCTTACATCTGGGCTTCGGCTTTGGTGCGAGCGAAAACGATGATCGAATTTTGCGCAAGAGTGTGGACCAAATAGATGAAGTAGGCATGCTTGTCAATGAACGGCATCAGGACGTAGTATTGTAGAAGGGTGTCTACTGTTGAGTATCTGGGTAAATTGGATGAGCTCGTAATGATTCAAAGGACAGCCAAAACGTACTTCGAGGAAACCTCGACTTTTAGGGGGTTCGTCAAGCTTGCCCTTTGTAGCTTGGCGACTTTTGTTGTCATTGTTGCTGAGAAAAGATATGTCGACCGTTCCTTTGGAAGCAGCTTCAGAATTTTGTCAATTGCTTCACTGAACTCCATATTCAGCAAACGGTCTGCTTCATCAAGCACCTGGTAGAAGAATTAGAAGAGTTAGCGGGACATGGCAAACGGTCTGCACACCAGAAACTTCAGTGTCCGTAAGCTGAAGCCCTTCGTTGTTTCTAGGTGATCGAGCAAGCGGCCAGGGGTCCCAATGACAATGTGGGGACGCTTCGCTAGCGCAATCTGTTGTGTCGGCATGTCCATCCCTCCAATTATCACAGCACACCGTACACCCATCGCCGAACCCAATGCCTCAAACTGCTCCGAGATTTGGTACGCCAATTCGCGAGTCGGGGCGAGCACGCACGCGAAGAGCCCTTTAGGTTCTTCCCATAGTTTTTGCAGAATAGGGAGCGCAAACGCAGCAGTTTTTCCTGAGCCAGTAGCGGCGATTCCAATGATATCTCGTCCTTCTAGCGCATGTGGCAATGATTGCAGCTGAATATCGGTCGGCTTTTTGTAGCCCACACGATCAAGTGCCTCTAGAAGGGGATCTATGAGTCCCAGAGATTTGAAGGTGGCTGGAGGCTCTGGGAGCGGAGAAACGGACTTGGAAGTGCTGGCTTCTTCGGGTCGTGGCATTGTCAACAATCGCCAAATCGAGGGACAAAAAATAGGCCGGCCAAGTCACGAACTTTAACTAGAGATTGTCGCGTCAGGTCCGGAGTGAATGTTTCTGCTAAGGTGCAGAATCAAAGATGGTGGCGAGCGAAAGCTGGTGAAACTGATGAGTGATTGAAATGCCGAAAATTAATGGAGGGGTATATTCCCACGATCATCTTGGACACGAAGTCCACGCGTCCAAGTCGGACACCACTACGACATATCTCATCCTCCAGCCTGACGGTATTCTTTGCAACAGGCGCATCTCGGTGCAAGCGGCTTTGTACAACACACATGCGGGGAGAATTCTTTCATAATTATGGCCGCATCATCGTCACCGTCCACCCAGAGGGTTCTCATCTCATATGCCGCACCTCCCATATTTCTCGCGTCCCCCAACTGGAACAAAGTCCATGCCACCCTTCTCGCACAGCTTCCACTACGGAACCTACATTGGAAATCTGCTTCGAAGGCGTCTGTCCGGACGATACAAGAGCTTGATGTTACATTGGTTTCGCTCGACTCTCTGCGCGATGAAACTACATCTCAGATCCCTGTAACGCTGTTGGAAAAGCCGATGATGCACTTGTTCATTCTACACTGCGAAGTGAGAAAAGTGTCTGTATCCTCCATTCTTGACTAACGAGCTCGTTTTTAGGATAATGACTTGGAGACCTACCGAAACATTCACAAGAGGCAGATCAAGGATTGGCATTCCAATGTTACCTCGCGGAAAAATCAGGAGTGGTTAATTCTGCAAATCATCCGACCTGATGCTGCACGTCAACAAGCGGGGAACTTCTTCCAGATCAAGGGCTCAGTGTTTGATAAGTTGAAGACGGATTTCAATCTGGAGAGGCGGGATCGGTATGTCATCGCTACAACTGCAGGCTCGGAGGGACATTCACGATCTTACTGCACTGTCTAGCTGCGTGCAAATTAACTGGAACTCTGGAAGTGACAATGCACTTGCATGGGCAGAGCTTGTGAACAAGATGAAGGAAGGGCTTACCTTCGCATTCGATTCAGCGTTAGTCCTACGGCAAGAAGAGGTGAAAAGATCCGAGAATCAGCAAACAATGCCTGGTTGGAATTTTTGTACATTCTTTACTCTCAAGGTACTGTTATTTTTTGAAAAGCATATTGGAGGCTCACAGGCTCACAGGAAAGTCTAGCATCCTCGTTCGAAGGAATGAATCTTCTTGAAGAAGCTTTAACTCCTTACGACGAACTGGAGGCACTGTTCTATCGTGTATCGAAGGAGAAGAACATGTCCTGGTTTGGGTCGCTCATTCAACCGAATCCAGAAGATGAATCGATTCCCTTGCTGTCCTTGACGCGGAAGCCATATCGGGACCTAATCCTTGCCAATTCAATATCGATCTTCGATTTTCGAATATACCTGCTAGCTCGACAGTGTCAACTACTCGCGAAGATGGGAAAAATGTCCGAAATCACGACCAAAGTTGGTTTCTTTCTTGGAGCCTTTGGAAGGCGTCTTCGGGAAGTGGAGGTGAGTGTAAATGACTTGTACGTTCAAAAGACAATTACCTTTCGGTTTCTCTTTGCAGTCCACTCTTCCGCCATTATTTATTGAAGCATGGATATACTCAGCTGCGCTAAGCGCTGTAGAGCAATGTAACATATGGGAAACATCGCTCAAGACTCAAGCGACCAAAGCTGCCCCGGCGAATGCTGGCAAAGCCGAACTATTGGATCTTGCCCGAAGCCAAGTATGGATGCTTCATCTTATTCTCTATGCTTTCTTACCTATTTCTCTAGCTCGACGTCTTGGGCATCGAAGCAAGTCACCTTCCGGACTCTCCTCCGTTTTCCATCTCTACTTCGGGCAATCGAAGAAAATCGCCCGAAGCGCCATTGCAATTTACTAATGAGACTCTTAATGCCGCCATCAATAATCAAGAAGCATTTTATGAACTTTATGTTGCTATTACGAATCGTGCTATAGATCTTTATGCGAAATCTGGGCGACGGAAGTTCGCACTCAAGCTACATGGCTGTCTTGCTGCTCTCGAACTGTACGTGATTCACACATCTTTTCTGGCTTCAAAATTGAGATCTTGTTTTAGGCATCGCGGAAATGTGTCTGCAGCATTGACAACTTACATTTCTCTGCCTGCTCACTACTCACCACATATGTGGACATCCCTGGAATCTTTTATGCTATCAAGAGCACTGGATACACATGTTGCTTTCGATAAGCCAAAGGATGCAGAATGGATACATATCGTTCTCTCATTCCTGAAGGCATATGTGGAGCACTACGACGAGGAGATGCTGATGCACAACGTTGACAAGGTCGACTACGTTTCAAAACTGATAGAATCGTTAAGAGTATCTGTAGAGAGACTGGAAAGCGGTACGTGTTGCAACACTTCCCGTAACTTTAGATTACCCATTCCGAATCATAGATCTACCGCACCCTGATCACCCAGCATTGACTGTCAAAGTATCTACGACTGCCCGTTTAGCTGACGTGCGCGATGGGTCTTACCTTGATGTTACGGTGACAAACCATCTCCCCTGTGTATGCAGATTTTATCCGGCATAATAGTCCTCGACAGAACTCACCCACATTCTTCAGGTCTTCCCAGCTGACGAAATCAGCGTCCTCGTTACTGGTCGAGACCCGGAGAAGTTCCGATATGTTTCAGCGATTACCGAAGGATGCCCGCCTGGTTTATCAACTCACACTCTTTTCTGCTCTGTAATGTCCTTTTTTGCACCTACTACTTGCATCTACGTTTACCCCTTTTTCTTCAGACCTCGTCCTCTGGAAGCTTCCTCTTAGACTCGACGGAGATCCGCTCCTCCCACCTCCTCCTCCAAACGAACTATCGCAAGTCCTCGAGCAAGGCTGTACCTTCCAAGCCACCACTGCTTGTGCGAGTGCCAAATGATGTTCTCGCTCTTGATGCTCGAATATCACAGTCCAATCGAAGTAGGCACCTGTTTCAACAACCGCAAAGTTTTTGTTAATCCATTTCCTTCAGTTGCCCTGGGGAGGCCGCCATTGCTCATGGTCGTTTTATCAACGGGAAGGAATCATATTCAGAAGATGGCTGTGCGATTAACATCACCATCTGTGATATTTCGCTGTGAAGAGGCTGTTCTACAGGATGGTAAGTCTGACTGCTCTTGGGTTGCATCATGTTCTGAATGTATGCATAGATGAAGAGGATATACCCTTCGCTGCTGCTGCAGATGCCATCAATATGGAGGATATCGACGAGGATACACTGGTTACCTTTTTGGTTCCACATTCAGATGCATCAGCGCTTACGGCAATGGTGTGCATGCCTCTACCCGCTCGTCATGCGCTGACCACTAACGATCTCTCAGAAAGTCAATCTGGAAGTGGAGTATACAACCGTCGACGAACCGTCAATCTCACGAATATCGCATTTCTCGAGAGTACTCATTACTACACTACCTATTTCCGTCAACGTTGAAGATTTTTTTCGGGGCACACGGTGCGTCGAGCCACATGTTGGCACCAGAGGGCCATATTGACGGAAAATCCAGACTGATCTCCAAGTTTACGGTGTCGACGACGAGTCACCAGCACTTACGAATATCGGATGCTAGTCTCGACTTACCACCCGGTGGCCTTGACGGGGTAGAGATTCAACCTTCGCTCAAGCGACCACGTGTGATTGTATGCCGTCTTACTGAACCCACAAAAACACCACATAACAACGAAAATCCAGACAGTAACGCCGTTGCAACCGGCTAATTTCCTCTTTGCGCTCGACTCCGCCAATGGTCCAGGTATTGCATCGCATTCTCATTCTTTTCTTCTGCTAAAATTCTTCTAGTACGAGAGTCCTTAACACTAAGCATCAAATACCGGATGCTTCGCGAAGGTTTGAACCCTTTCTCCAGCTTGGCGCAAACGTTCTTACTTGTTTCCCTAGAGGTTGAATCCGTGATCGAAGATGAAGTTCAAGCCGTCCTAGAAGAATGCCCATCGACCGTGCAACACAGAATTGCCCTCGTAAGCAAGCTCATTGACGCCCTAGAGAGTGACGCAGCATGGGTCGAACTGTACGGTATCACTGGAGAGCTTGTCGTGCCAGACATCCACAAGGAAACTGGCGAGGTTGGCGAATTGTTCAAGAAGGCCAGGAAGGTTGGTGACATCTACAGGCGTCAGGAATACTTTACTGAGTCGCCATAAATTAGCGTCTAGCGGAGTACAGGCACCCAGATCCGTCCCAAGGAAAATGGCGCGAAATCAAAATTCCAGTGGATGTGCCCTTCATGAATGTCAGTTGCAACCCGCTTTTCTCTCATTCCCTCGTTGACAATTTCTAGATCGTTGCTGCTGTGCACATTCGAATACTTTCAACGCCATTCGCCAAGGAGGGCGAATCTCATCAACTGCCATCTCTATATGCTGGTCAACCAATATCTGCTAATCTCACGATCCATACGTCCTTCCATTGGGGTTCAAGTTCGAGCGACAACAAGAATCGATATCTGCTCCGGTTCAATATTGAGGAAATGGTGCGAGAATGGCTGGTCAGTGGTCCAAAGCGAGGCGACTTCATTGCGTCGGTGAGTTCTGGGCAATATGAACCCTGGGTGTCTGACCGATAAAGCTGCTAGGATCGTGCTCTACACACAGTCCCAATCACTCTCATCGCCCTGCACCACGGGGAATTTGCCCTCCCAAAAGTCTCTGTGATGGCCCTCCCAATGTCGGGCACGCTAACAATGGGATCATTGGCCATTCCGAGCATCGAGACCTACCAAATACATGGCGCAGAGAAAGTCCTGGTTCTACCAAGAGGAGGGCGAACCACATTCGTGGTCGGCATGGGACCAGGTTGATGGGGCGGTGAAGTATGGCGAGCTTCTCGCTTTACGGCCCTCAAACCCTAGCACCAGCATGGATGATTCTTGGTGCCTCTGACTTCGCCTGAATGGTTGTTGGTCAAGGATGAGCCAGCATGCCATAGCGGCTTAGAGACCCGCCATGGAAGGCTATAGAGTAGATACAATATGATACCTCACCTGCAGCCAATATTTACTGTTCGGTGCTGCTTAAATACCGTGCGTCAGCTACTGCAAGGCTGAGGGTTCAAAGGTTCAAAGATCGGACGAAGGACGCGTTCATCTCTTGAGTACTAGCCTCTAGGGAAGGTACAAAGTTTCTCAATGCATCAGGTGCCTTCTCTCGTACAGGCCAGGTCCCGGCTTCACCCCCACCACCTCAAGAGGACCCTGAGCCCCCACCGGACCTGGAAGAAGGGTGCTCGGACTCAGATAATGACAACTGAGTTACGGCCGTCGCCCTGATCTGCCAAGTGACCACCGACCCATGTTTCTCGTTATTTCCACTTTTGTTTTGCTTTTGTTTTTCTGCATTTACGCAACTACCACTTATGAGCATTAAAGCTCATCCCGTAATCTTAACTATTACCCTATGCTGATCCTATAGCTATATTTCCCTAGCCACACCCGCATTTTCGAGACACTTAGTTATACTTACCCGAGGACTGGCGGTAGACCACCCCCTTAAGGGGGTGGTCGTGCGTTTCTAGTACTCTGACTAAGTACTTGCATCACGTTAATCTACAGATTCAAAACAAAAAAGGACGCGTTCAAGCAAAGTCCGTGAGTTGGCCCCATGCACGTGATGCCTTTGCATTATATAATCCAACGGAGCCGCAAGCCGAACTCAACCCGTCCACGCCCAGTCAGCTACAGGCCACAGGCCAAGCCACTCCCTTTCGTGTGTCAACTTGAAGTTTACAAGTCCGGCTACAGCAATAAGTACTGAACAATGTATTCTTCAATCACAAATATGACACCACGGCCACCAGTGAAGTACTACACGAACACAAATGCGCAGAGAGCTCTCATAGTCGCACCTTAACCGAGCCTTAACGGCCTCGTTTGTTCCCAGTTGTCCCCCCTGAAATAATATGATGATGAACGCAAGAATCAAATGAGTTCCTTATGCCTAATGGTGTCAGTGAAAGTCCTGAAGGTTGATAGCTGCAGGATCGAAGTGCTCGGATCCCCCCGTTGACAACGCGAGAAGACTTCGGTGTGGAGTGGCAATGTTCAGCACAGGAGCAAGAGCAGCACTATTGAAACGGGGGGGAGTGGATTCATGAATCCCAGACTCAAAATGGTAGCTGGTGGAGGGTGGGGTAGCTGAGGTAGGGAGAGGAAGAGAAATGAGGGACAGCGAGATGATGAAAGAAGGAACGAGGTGAGTGGCATATTTCCCGCTTTTTCGAGGCCACAACCATGGGCTGGCCAGCCGAAAAACATGCCGAGCGGAGTTGGTTGCTCGAGTATTACATAAGAGTTGGCGGATCACGTGCATGGGGCGGAAAGTCAAAACCTAAGTCCGTGACATGTGACAGCCTCTTCACAGTGACATGGGGCCAACTCTCCTGCGTGCGCCACACTCACTCACCGCTCCTCCTCCTCCTCTTCCTCTCGCATTTCAAGGGTTCTCCTCCCTTCCTAGAGCAAAAGAAAAAGAATAAAAGGCAAACTGCCCCAGTGAGGCTCGAACTCACGACCTTCCGATATGGGTAGAAACTGAAATGTTTCGTAACAGTCGGACGCTGTAACCAACTCAGCCATGGGGCACATACCACAAATTTCAAGCGAGGCATTATAGGTGGAATATTTCTGAACAGATATCAGTCTTCCTCTTGATAGTCCAGTGCTCAGCTCGGGATATATGGCTCGCGGAGTGAAGCTAGACCTATTGAGGAAAGAAAGCACTGAGATATATGCTCCTTGGCTATTCATTTAGTCCATTTCTAGTCTCTATCTGTCTTCGCGACCTCAAGAATTCGAAGAGAAAACCTACAGGAAACGAATCTGCTGAGGAACACCCATCTCCTCAGAGCATGCCTCTGTCCAGAACTATCGCTAATGGAGCCTTTCCGAAATTGAAGTTGAAAGTACATTATCCGACTTAAATAGTTCTCAGAAGCCAGTGTCCAGAATCTGGGAATAAGCTTTGGGAACAAGCTCTTAAGTACGTGATACTGTGAGTTTCTCGGCGTCCAGCATTAATTACCAACAGCAAGGGTCGGTTTTTTTTTTCTTTTTTGTTGTTGTTGTGGAGAGTAACTTCCTCAGGTGAGCAGGTACTTGCATGTATGCCTCGAGGGTCGGTTCTTGTCTGAACCCAATGCCCAGACCTTTCAGACAAAGAAAATTTCTGCAACCAGCGGAAGAATTACATACGCCTCGGACTCTGAGCCAGGAACACATCTAAATACTAAAACGGTATCCCTTTCCTGGTGGACAACTTCAAAAGTTGAGCGTTACCCTTCAGTCCAGGCCTGGGCCGTGTCTGTTGATTACATAATTGATTACGCGTCCATCATTGCTCGAACTATCGTTGCGGACAACCTCGACGTGCCCATCCCCTCGACTAGGGACCACCTCGAACCACCATGCTCGTAGACAATGACCCTGTTGAAGCACTTATCATTTAGACTGATCCATTGCACCCTGGGCTAAAATGAGATGCGCAAAATAGCGGGCGAAGGCATCCAGTGCGTCCCTTCAGCCCACTCAACTGGCGCTGAACGTTGACTGACATGGCACATTGACAGCAGCACCTAATAGGCCTTTATAATATTGTAGCCGCCTTTGAACTTCAGGAACGACAGCAGCTACAAGAACGTGAATCAACCTCTGAGCAGCCAAGCGAAAGTAGTGGTGCCGGCTCATCTGCGTCATCAGTATGTATATGATGATGTGCCTACGGTAGGGTGATCATGCGAATAAGGAATGACAAACACACACCCAAAACACCGCAACGAGTGGCTCTGAGGTGCGAGGACAGTTCCGTGGTTGTGCGGCTCTAACCAGATGGCGTGCGCGACTCGAAGACGGGCGACGAATGTGGGCGCTAAGCGTGGGAACGAGACAAATGAGGCAGCAGCGCCTCCGAAATACGGTCGAAATGAGGACAAGGGATGAAGGCGAGAGATGGAAAATGAACTAAATTCTCTATTTTGTGTGAGTGACACTGAGTGTATAGACATAGTTTATATCCATGAGAAAAGGAGAGCCCGGGAAGGGAGATATCCGAACCGGTGTGAAGGAAGAAAGAAAAACAGAAATTTTCAGATAAGAATGAAACAGAAATGGAAAAGGGGAGAGGCGGCGAGGCGGCAACTGCGTTGATGGGAGGAAAAGACTACCTAACAAGGAAAGGGAGGCGCGCCGAGCGTCTCGGTGAGACGGGAAAGAGAGGGAAATACGCGGTGTCGGTCACGGGACGGCTGCTTTTGCTGACTGAGGATTTCCGGGTGTGTCGAGGAATCATATGGTGCGACGGGAAAGGTGTCGGGAATCGAGGGAACGATGGGAATGCGATGACAAAGGACGAAAAAAGGTATTTTCCGAGGCCAAGCAGCGGGCCGGCTCATCAGTGAGTATGTAGTGCCATTTCTCCCCAACTCCCCCACACCCCGTGCTTCGCACAGGTAAACTTCTCATTAAGGTCTGAGATGCGATGACGGGTTCTGCAGTTGTGCAGCTCTAACTAGGGCTCGCGCAACCCGAACATGGAGGACTATGTCGGCGCTAAATGTTAATAGACGAGGCAATGGCGCCTCTGAACGATGGGCACAATGGGGACAAGAGACAAGAGAAAAGGCAACAGGTATGAGAGACGAGGGCCTTGAGTGGGCAAAATGAGGTAAGAACTGGATGAAATTGAAGAAAACACGGAAATATAGAGCTTTTATAATGCAAATAAAAGGAGTCCGGCAGGAAATTTCTTGCTGAACTAGAATAAGTAAATTTACACTGGCAGTGTCTCATCAGCATCGAATATTGAGTGGCTTGAACAACAAATTTTAAGTAGGTCAATTTACCTCCCGGAAATGCGGAAACTTCCAATTACTCGAGCATAAAGCCGAGAATAACTAGCAGGGGGCCCATTTGAGTGAAGTCGGTTAGCACTGGAATGAGGTAGACAGCCTTTCCAGTCCGAGCCTAGCATAAGGACACCACTCAGACTGACAGCACACATTATAATTTGCGGCATTTATTTCTCCTACACGGGGCTCGCACGGAGAAAATCCATGAATAACCACGATGCCTGTACGAATTGAGACCGCCGGAAGTCGCTCGGCACGACGGAAAGGTGAGCGGCCTTGAGCGAAATTCAAATAAAATAAATTTTGCGTGTATTGAGTATTCTCTCGGCTTAGAATACCCAACCCCCAGCCCCCGTGCAAAGCACGGGTAATCCTCTAGTGTAGATATAATTAGTGACTATTGACAAAACAACCCCGAGAAAAAAGTTGGTTCGCCGAGTTGCTTGGGCATGAGTCTCTACATGAATTTATTACGGCCGAAAGAGAGATGCCTATATAAAGAAGAGGAGGGTTTGCCTCCGTACCGAAGAAAAACCTGTGGGACACCAAAGAGACGGGATTTATCGAGCACCAAGCACTGTGGAGCAGCCAACCGAGTGTGTTGAGTCATGTCGTTACACATTGAGCCAGAATGTCGCAGGAAAGGTGGGAGCACAACGGTCTCTTTCACCGAGGCTACAGGCCGCGCCTCGCACGTTCTGTGACAGAAGAGCGAATTCTTTCGAAATTAACTAATAACAGCACAAAGAGAGGTATAGCGAAGGACAACAGAGACGACGCAAGTAAGACCACAAAAAAATGTCCATGGGTTTAAAGATCCATCCGACTTTTTCGAGCAGCCAATTCCTGCGCACGTTTTCGACGCGCTTCTCCTATGACACATTCAGCATTCATACAAGGTGTTAGAAATATCAGAACTTGTAACGTACTGCGAGCAGCATTCGAATCCTCTCCAGCATCGAGTTTCCTCCGGTTCTCTCGAAGAATCTCTGCGACATGATCGCTGGCGGCCTTGAGGACCGTGAAATTGACGTCTCGCATAGTCAGAATGGGCGAACGCATAGGGCTAATGTACATAGCCTTCTTGCTGGGGGACGATACAGGCTTGGGGGGAGGAGGCTGTCAGTCTTTGCCAAACCTTAGGAAGGAGATTGACAACTTACTGTGTAGATTGAAAAATCCGCATCGCCAACAACGAAGGCCTTGCTGGGAGTCACACAGAATTGCTCCAGGTGCACGCGGAGGAGCTGCTGGGTGGTAGGCTCGGGTTCAGGTTCAGGTTCGGTGACGATGGCTTTTGGAACTTCCAGCATGGCAGGCACGTCCTCCAACAGAATCACCTCCTTATCGTCCACCGAATCGAAGACGAGCTTGACGTTTACGTAGTCCTCCTTGTCCAGCGGCGAATCTACGTGTCCGAACGCAAAGGTTGTCGCGTCAGCCTTCATTTTTTGAGAGAAGAGGAAGGGTATGCATACCTCGGCCTTCTACACCTTTATATCTCCCTCCACTGGCCGTTCTGCATTCTGCTTCTGTTTCACCTCCACGATCTGACCTTTCAACAAGAGCGCTCGAAGTTACGTTGTTGGAATAGTTATGCGGCGGGAGTCTCGGCAAGCAAGCTTTCACCACCGCATACGACACGATCTGGGTCGTAGTTCCAGCCGCGAACTTGAGCACTCCAACAAGGAGGCTCACAGACGAGAACGAGGGACCTCGCCCCGAATCGGAGGGTGAAGGCGAAGGAGAAGGGTCTCCACGCCAGGAGTGAGTGTAGGGCTGGGGGTATTTCGCAGCTAGATGCAGGGGTTTACGACGGGTATGGTTGAGGGGCACGAAGACCATGTCGGATGGAACCTGGCTCGGGAGACATTGACATAGAGTGGGTTTATGACTGGCTAACCGTTCTGAAGCAGTCTTCAGTCTTGTTCGAAAGTTTCAGACCACGATGTCGACAGAAAAGGGTCTTCAAGGCCAAAGTGAACAAGCTTCCTGGCCAGAGCAGTCTTTATAGCTTGAGCACAGAGCTACGTCGGGAAGGGGACAGGAAGGCTGTCGGGCGCGAATGTGGGTCGCGTTCGCAGTGTCATGAGTGCAGAAGTCAAGTCAAAACATAGCCAAAACATGCCACTAGCTAAGCTTGGGGACTGAAAACAACAGACAGAAAATGAACAAAAAAGCGTCACCTGAGCGATTCGAACACTCGCGGTCAAAGACCAACCGCTGATCTACTACAAGTAGCAGGCGATCCCGTTAACCACTCCGGCAAAGTGACAATTAACCATAACCGACACATGGGCATTATAGCCGGTCTGTGGCTCCATGCCCTGACATTCTGCTTCCGAACTACGGGCGCTTGTTGACGTTGGGCAACCCAAGTCTGGACGATGTTGTTTTAGGCGTCGCTCTGTTGGATATTTGTCTTGTTAGAAAAACAAGTCAAGTGACGCCCACAAGCGGAGGCACCTCACGGAAAACAAGAAAGGACCCAAATTGAACGAATTGTTCCTTTCTTCCAGACTCATCAGTTCTGCTACATAGGATAAAGGACAAGGAAATGAAATCTATCAGAAGTATGTAAAACAAGCCGACGATATTGGGGGCAAAAAAAAATACAACGTGCGCAGTTGAGTCGGAACAGCGAACGTGTCAGTCTCGTAAGGAACTAGAGTCCAAGAGAAGGGCGGATGAATGCCTACAGAGGGACAGAGGACCATAGCAACGTCGATGTCCAGGTGAGCTGACCTGGACTGAGCTGTTAATGTGACACTGAAGTAATAACGTTGAGTATATGCGTCATGGGAGCTCCCCAGAACAGCTCGGGTTGGAGTTTCCAAGGCGGTGTTCGTCACCTATGATGGTGCCGTGTGCGTCGAAGAGGAATTCGACAAGGCCCTCGAGCACCCCGTGTTGAATGGGGTTTTCATTTGCGCATTTGGCTGACGTCGCTGCAAGGGATTTTCGGTGTTGATAGAGTAGTGGCGATGAGGGGAGATGGAGGCAGTGGCGATCAATTTATTGATTTTTGTTCAGAGCGTCTCTGAAGGCAGAGTGGGAGGGATACCGGGCTCTTGCTGGATGAACTCGCGGATATATGCGACGAGCTTGTCGACCTGCTCCTCTGTGATCGCGTTGTACAGGGAGACGCGAATGCCTCCTACCGAGCTACGAAAAAAAGCATGCATTAGCCACCATAAATTCACTATGAAAAGAAACGGCATACCGATGCCCTTTAAGCCCCTTCATCCCCCTCTGCTCCGCGCCTTTCAAGAACTTCGCCTCCGCTCCCTCTCCAAGCACCACGAAAACGACATTCATCCAGCTCCCGCTCCCCTTCTTTACGTGCCCCTTTAACACCCCCTTCCTCTCCCCCTCCTCAACAATTTCATACACCTTCTCTTTCTTCCTCCGATTTACCTCCTCATAATATCGCGTCCCGCCCAGCTCCTTACTCCTCTTTAACACCAAGCCCGTGACGTATACCGCAAACACAGGCGGGGTGTTAGGCATGCTCTTCCCCTCTGCGAACGTCTTGTAGGAAAGGCCTGTGGGCACGGGTGTGGCGCCGAGAGCGGCTGCGGCGTCGACGTCGACAATGCAGTCCTGGCGCACAATGACGATCGTCAAGCCTGCGGGGCCCAAGTTCTTCTGGGCCCCGGCGTAGATGATCGCGTGGTCTGCAAGGCGCGGGATCGGGCGGCTCATGAACGACGAGCTGTAGTCCGCGACGAGGGGAAGGAGGGTGTCCTTCGGCAGCAGCTCGAACGGGAAGCTCTCAGGCAGCGTCTCATCGTGCGCGAACTGCGTCCCGCTCACGGTCTCGTTCTCGCAGTAGTATATCATCGCCGGGTCCTGCGAAAACGTGTACGCCGAGTGGGGTGGGATGTTGTCGAACGACTTCCCGTCCGCCGAGTGTTCGCGCGCGTCGAGGGCGATGTTGACACGCGCCTTGCCCACTAGACGTCTGGCTTCTTGTACAGCAGCCTTGCTCCACGAGCCCGTCAGGACGTAGTCCAGCACGCGCTCCTCCTCCAGGAGGTCAGGATGCAGCAGACGATGGCGCGCGAGCATGTTGAGCACGACGGCGGAGAACTGGGCCGTGCCCCCACCCTGAAGGAAGAGGATCTGGTGCGTAGGCGGGACATCGAGCTGCTCGCGGATTTGCGCCTCGACAGAGGCGAGGTACGCGGTGAACTCTTTCGAGCGGTGCGAGATTTCGGCGATCCCGATGCCTGTGTTTTGGAAGTTGAGAAGACCTTTGCCTGCCTCCTCGAGCACGGACTCCGGGAGCGCTGAGGGGCCTGCGCCGAAGTTGATAACGCGAGATTCCGACATTTTGGGAGGTTGGTGGGTCGTCGTCAGTGGAGAAAAGAAGAATGGACGTGTGTTGGAGTCAGGATGTCCAACTTTTCTAGTTCCAAGATGAGTATGGTGACTCGACGACGTAATGGTCGCGATCTCATCTAATCAGTCACTCATCTTCGTCATCGCGTCTCGTGCAAGAGAATGGTACATGTTATTGGCATTGGCCGAAATCGAGCTGCTAGTTATAAGAATAGGGGACGTCGGTAGCGTCAAGCAACACGGAAAGCAAATAGGTACAGGACAGCGTGATTGTCGTAAAAAGATATCTCGAAAAGGCACGTTGTCCGCGGGCAACATTGTCCATGACATAAAAATAAGGCGAACTGCAGAAATGAAGTGGATTATATTTGGGAAAGAGGCGGAGCAGTATGGGAAAAGTGGATTGCAAAGATAGCATCGACAGGATGGTAGATCGGAAAGCGAATATATAGGGGTGACGATGCAAGGGGGAGGATAAGTCAACGAATAAATCACGAAGATCGGTTGCGTCGAAAAGGCAGGGAAGATGGATAACGTATGTACAGTAAGGTAAGACTTTGTTGTATATCTGGTAGTATTATAGATTCGAGTTGGATCGATGCTTGCTGGTGGTGAGATTCTGGTTGTGCAGGAAAAACGTGCGATAATCGTGATGCGGAATAAAATAAGGTCGGTCGACGTCGCGAATAGCATTGAATATGGAGCGCTGAGATGCGATGGATAAAGCGATTGGTGCATCAGGGAGAGTCGAGAGTCGAGTTTGCAGCGAAGATAGAACGAAAAAAGCATTGTTGCAGAGAGAAGGGGAAGATCAGAAGTTTATGTGTGAGCTGTTGATACAGGGGCGGTGCTCAGAGCAGGGAACTGGCATGAGGTTCTGGAATAGTACGCGAGATGGGGTAAAGCGGGATCGAGGTGTTGATACAGATGGGGACGATAGGAGGGAGGTGTCGCGAATGGGTAGAGGTGATCCGGATGGAAAGGAGATGGGACTTGATCGGGTCGGAGACTTGCGCCGGCGGATGGGCCCAGGACCTGCTAGAGAAGCATGGGACAGACAGGAGTCGGGGATGAGGGACAAGTCAGCGATGTCCCACGGATTTAGGAGATCGGGGGCGGCCTCTAGGGTGGATATCCACGGAAGACTGTCGAATGCATGGGGCTGGGGTGGAGGGTAAGGGTCGCGTTGGGAGAGTCGGCGCCGGCCGCGCAGGGTACTGCTGCCTGTCTTTGGGCGGCGACGAGACGACAGAACGCAGGTCTGGGGAAACGACGCGTCAGTGAGGGCCTTTTTTGGGGAGCAGGACGCGACTCACGGGTGGGGGCGCGGACGCGGCACAGGAGTCTGCGAGATGGATGGGAGATCTAAGGCTACCGAGGGGCTGTGGGGACGAGGTGAGCACGGCGGACGCGGGACGGGCGGCACGCGCACTGACCATGGGGATGGGCGCGTTGGGTGGGAATGGGGACGCGAGGAGAGGCATAGTTGTTGGGGCGGATTTGCGTGCAAATAATGTACAATGAGGGTGGTGACTTAAGTAGTGTGGGTCGGGGGCATAATGGGAGACAATGGCAGTGGAGGTTAAGAGAGAGAAAGAGGCGGCTATCGCTGACAAACTGGCTGTCACGCGTCACACCTCCAGGCCCCACCTCGCCCCTTTCGGCCATTTCCGCTTCCGGCCCCTCTTCCTCGCCAAGCCACGAGGCTACCAGCCCTCTCTTCACTGCAACACGAGGCTCCCCCAAAGCAACAAGGCAGATGCCGTGAACATGTTTTGTCGCTACCAAACCACCCTTGCTCAGCGCACCAGCCCTGCCCATTCTCCTCTCTCTAATCACAACAGCACTCTTGTCGCGCCGATAGTGACTCCGTTTCGTTCCCACCACCACCCGCATGCTTGGAAACTACATGAGTCACCCTGGCGACTCCTCTCCGCCTCATACCGTCCTTTTTAGTCCACTGCCGTAAACCCACATCCTTCTCCATAACGCGTGGAAAACGCGCATTATGCCGCGGTGTTTCCGCGTTGTTTCTGCGTGTGTGCGGTGTTATATTATAACTTATATCCCTTCACGCCGTAACGTTCCCGAGTACAGCACTACATACGTATACACCCCGTCACACCGCAGTTCACACCTTGTGCTAAGTATTACAATCGAACTGCCATCCGAGTGTCCAATGCACTTCAAGTACAAGTAGAGACGTGGTCTAAGTATGACCTACTCGGATACGCGCTAGCGCCCCTCCCGACGCGTCGAACGCTCCATCAGACCCGCCATCACGCTTAGGACGCGTGGAAACGCGTGGATACGTTCCCGACGCGTCCATCTCTGGTCCAGCTGCTTGTCAGTGTCACGCCCAGCCGGCTGCCCCTTGCCCGGACTCGGGGGGCAGCCGGGACGCGTCAAACGACTACCAGGGATATCACAGACTTCCCTGGCCACAAGCCATTGTGTGTCCAGAGCCCATTGTCAGTAAGAAGCCATCACATCGATCTCGCGTAGACGCGTCGCGTCGCGCTTATATTATGTGGCCCTTCCCTGACGCGCCGCGATATTGTCAATGGCGAGAAGTGCCACTACTGTTCACGCTCATCAACGCGTTGATCGCGATGTTGCATCGATATCGATACATCATTCAGCCGTATAGGTTCTTATTATTCGACGTCTGGGGTATGCACTCATTCTGGCGGACAATGGGTTGATGGGACGCGTTGACTTCCCACTTTCGATACAACGACACCAACACAATATTGAGTATGACTCTTCGTGTGCCACCACCGTGTGGGCGTCGACACCCACCACATGTGGTCTCCAATTGCCCAGTGTATTGACTATTGACACCTTTTAGATGGCCATGCCACCTCGAGTCATGAATCTTTCTTCAAATTTGCTACTATTATTGTGACACCAGCGCCGGCAATAGCTTAAACCATGGGCGTTACTCCGAGTGGGCGTGGTATGGAGTACATGCAATCCAGGAGGTGTGTACCCCAAATTTGAAAGCACTGCACCGGAGTTGATGCTGTCACCTCAGTCATCATCCAGACAAGACATCGTCCATTTCGCAGTCGAGCGAGTCATCGTCCTTAGGAACGCTATAAACCCTCCTCACCCCATCCCACCTCACTGTCCAAGACGTCCATATCATGATGATATCACGCTGCGCGTCCAGCATCGACGCCTCAAACACGTCAACACAGGTCTCCGAGTCTGACAGCCCCCGGCGTTCCGATCCCACTGGAGGCTTTGCCAATCCCCGGTCCCCAATAGCGTTGCGCCACGGTATCATTTCTCTTGCTCTCAGTCAGTCCGACTTTAGTCCAGCTATCAACCACTACCCATTCCGAAAGCACCGCCGATGATATCGCACGCCCGCTTTTATTTCGATGAGATCCATGAAGGACAGTCACAGTTCAAGCCTACAGAAGTCCTAAGCCTCAGCTTTTGACAAAGACAAGCCCCGACGGATTTTCACCACAGGGCTCGGGGAACTAAAATGGGTTTAAACTCCAGGTAAATTCAAACTGGGAACGCCTCCTCGATCCGCGTAGCTAGTCTGCCCTCTTCGAATTCTCTCTAGATCTCTCGTACCTCCTGATCGACCGCAATTGCCAATCCTCCTTCAACTTAGGCACGCGTTCCCCCTCCTCAGCGACGCGTACTAGCCGGCTCACTTCAGCTCCTTTTCCTGTGTCGGCAGCGGATCACCACACGTGCGATAAATTAATTCCAATCACATTGACGCATCGCGACGCGTAAAGGAGTGGTGCACCAGGGCGTCCCCTCATCTACTCGTATTTCTCAAGCTCAAGGCCCAAGACCATGAGGCCCTCCAAGCTCATGTAGCTGATGCGGCTTGTCTTTGAGTCGTAAGGATGCCCCGGTGATTTATTGGCGCGTCGCGACGCGTCTTTTAACCCCGTATGGTCTTAGGGGCTCTCGGGGTCAGTCAAGTAAGTAACCCACATCCTCGAGTACAACCTCCGCCTCGATGTTGCCTTCTCACCTAACACTTCTGAGGCTCTATAGGCCCGTTTGTCTAGTAGGCAATACCTAGGCGATACTCTGGGTGAATTCGGTCCACTCCTCGAGTGACGACAGGGGGCACACATCAGAGCACCCAAGCTCGTCGTCGGGTGGCGTCTCGGCTAGATTCTGGTGGGTGTTGGGAGGTCTGATCCGCTCCTCATCAACATCAAGCGTCCGCATCAGAGATTATCGACTATTTCGTCTCCTGTGACCAACCAACTGTTCTACCACCCATGAATTTCCTTCTAGCCTCCTATCGACCGACGCGGCCGTGACTAGCCTCATCTCTGCCCCCTTTCCACACAGAAAGCAGACTCAGAAAGGCGCCATCGAATTTCTGCTAGGGAAAGCTGGATATTAATGGCCGAAATGCCCTAGTTCGAATTCAGGCGCTACTACCAGGCCTCTTGGACACTCATATCACTGACTTTGAGCAACGATGACGCGTTTCCATGCATGCGCCCGACCTCAACCTCGGTGACCTTGATCCATTCTTCCCTTCTTCCATGCCTCTTGTCTCTTAGGCTCCGTGACCTTTACTACGGTCTACTTGTTTGTCCCAAGTGACTCAGATACTTGGATACGAAAGATGATTGCTAAACCGTTCTCTGTGCGCAGCTAGCTTCCATGCAGGGTTCATTCGGAGGCACGGATGCCCATAGGGGTGCACGTTTCACGGCGCTTATACTACTGAAGTCGTTCAATATCTTCGGGGCGGGTGTTATTTTCGGTGCGACGGAAATACCGCTTTCGTACATCCGACTCATATGTTTTTCTCTCGACCAGAGAAACGTCATGCCAGCCAGACCATCACCAAAAGCAACAAATAAACCGACGTGCTTCCTTCAGCTCATGGGAGTTCTCGGATGGATAGAAGCGCGGGGACCCTTCTCCTTCTCCTTCATTCTCCTTCTCCTTCTTCGGGACGACCATCACGAGCAGCGTCGACGCGGGAGACATTCCGTGACGCTGCTGTCATAATGCCCAACGCCGTCGACCCCCGACACTCTCACTCCATGGTCGGCTGGCTCTCTAAACTTGGACTCGACCGACTGCTCCGCCTCCGCGGTTGTGATACTATTTCCTAGTCTCCGAGTCCCCCATCCGAAACCTATTCTTGGATATTGCGCAATGGCTAAACGCACTGGCTAGCGGCACCCACTGACGACGGGAATGGATTACGACTGACTTATTATGAATCTATGATATTTTCTTCCAGGCGCCGCGCCCCCTCGAAACACTGAAACCCACTGGAGACGAGAAATACCAGGGCCTGGACTAGGGCCGCGGTGTATTGATTCTTCTTTTCTATCTTCTTCGAGTCGGCTGCATTGCCGCTGAATCATCGCGCACGAGCAGACTCCAGAGGGGTCATCCGACACAGGTTACAGCTACCTCTACTGGGCAAAATCTACCAGATAAAGCTGGGGCTTCCCGACTCCGTGGCTTCGACTTAACGCCATCTGGGAATTTTCCATGTTCGGGCAACGCACGACAACTATCAGATGTTTTCTGTTACATACAATCTCTGACGATCTGGAATCTGGATGGCAAGGTTGCTTTGCTTACGATCTCGCTAAACATGGCTATCGTCGAGAATCTAGAATCCAACGATGCTTCCGTAGGCAGTTCAGTCATTATCGCTGTCAACGCCACGGATGCTTTAGCACCCGAGAAGCAGCCTGCAGATCAACATCGCGAAGCCTGAGTGAATCGGTGACAGTGACCAGAGGTTCGACGAAGGGCTATGCCTTGTGCGTCGCGCAGGCTTCGAGGCTCAGGGCGTTTCAAGTGTTCAGTGTGTTTGGGGTTTACGATGTGTTGCTGACCGTCATTTTCGGTAGGAACCGGAGATAAGTAAAGTGACTACTCAATAGACTCGAGGTTTTTTTTTAGAAAAAAAAAACGCTGTTTGACTCCAGTAGCTACGGACCGATTTGTGGCAGTCGGACAGCGATATTCAGCCACGACTTTCGTGCGGTGCTGATCAACATGCGCCACACGGCAGCCGAAATTACCTAGTTGAGATGGGTTTCAAAGTTCATCTCAGCCGAGGCTGCCCACAACTTCGAGAGCTCACTACAACTATTTCAGTTTAATCCGACAGGGTCTTCCATGCACGCCAGATTCAACGATGTGGTTACAAGTAACAATCATCTCTTCTGCCAAGTCAGACAGAGAAGCCTCCAGCGAGCACATCGATGGGCCGAGAGATGCAGAGAATTCTCCATCTTGAGCTCCCTAGCCCGAGGTATTGTTTGCGGAATTCTCGACCTCGCGTTCATTCACGGCTTTCATGAACTCCTTGTTGCCTAGAATGTCCGTTCAACGATTTCCGTGATTTCTTTGCTGAAGTACCACTGGCAATCCGGGTCCGCGCAGTACTTGGGGAGGAGGATAGCCACAACTTCGTCGATGTCCGGTTACTTGTACTTACGCATCACAGCCCATTCGGCGTCCGCGGTGAAATTGGCACCTGGACGGGAATTAATATAGCATATCTAGAGAGTGCAGTCGTTGAATAGCGTCGAGCCCGTACTTCGAGCTAGTCGCAACAGTTTCGCAAAGAGTACTTACTTGCTGTATAAATGTTGATATTTCCCATCATTACATATTAAAAGCGACGTTGACGCGGAAAGCGTTCCCGCTAGAGTCTTGGCCAATGCACATTTAGTCTAGACAGCACCTAATGGGATCCTGCCTAGGGGATTTGTCGAGAGACTGAATCCTAGGAAGGACCGCTTCTATTGTAATTGTGTAGATACTATATGATGCTAGTATTTGCGGCGACTGGCGGCACGTGCGAACGGAAGATAGCTGCTTTCCTATTTTGGACTGTGGCGCACAGAAAAGTACTCTAACTACATTGTGTGACAATGGACTTGGAAATTAAAATAAATGGCCAATCATCGCTGGCTTTTCAGATGTACTCCTATACAGCGGCTGTCGTCTCGATAATTTTTGATGCCAGGCCGAAAGGCCGAACCGCAGCCATTGAGCTTCTTAGATCATGCATCCTACATGCAAATCCCAATCCCGACCCAATACTTCCACATTTCCATAGTTCAGGGGTGTTAAAAGTTGCCTTCGACATCTCCATCAATATCCGAGTCAATGAGGCCTTCCGGACTACTTGTCTGGATAACCATACTCGGCTCGCTTTTGAGAAGCCATTTCAAATTTCTTCTATGCTTACTCTCAATTAGGTGTACTCCGTATCCTATGCTCTACCAAGTTTACTTCGCGGCTTCCGAGCATGCGGTGATGAGCCGGACTGCTCCCTGACCCCGGTAAATCCCTTTTTTCGACCTTCGTCATCGCATTCCTGTCGTTCCCTCGATCCCCGACACCTTTCCCGTCGTGCCATATGATTCCTCGAGATCCCCAGTCAGCAAAAGCATCCGTCCCGTGACTGGCACCGCCTCTTTTCCTCTCTTTCCCGTTTCACCGAGACGCTCGGCGCGCCTCCCTTTCCTTGTTAGGTAGCCTTTTCCCCCATCAACACAGTTGCCGCCTCGCCGCCTCTCCCCTATTCCATTCCTGTTTCATTCTTATCTGAAATTTTCTGTTTTTCTTTCTTCCTTCACCCACGGCTCGGATATCTTCCTTGCCGGGCTCTCCTTTCTTCATAGATATAATCCATGTCTACACACTCACACAATATAGAGAACATAGTTCATTTTTCTGTCTCTCACCGCCCTCGTTCCTCATCCTCTCGCTCATATTCCGGAGGCACCGTTGCCTCATTCGTCCTGTTCCCACGCTTAGCGCCTGCATTCGCCATCCGTCTTCGAGTCGCGCGCCCACTGGTTAGAGCCGCACAACCGGGAACCCGTCCTCGCACCTCAGAGCCACTCATTTCGGTGTTTTGGGTGTGTGTTAGTCATTCCTTATTCGCACGATCACCCCACCGTAGGCACATCATATTGGAGCCCACCGCGAGGGGTTCCACATCCACATTGCACCTTCTTACCCCGCCGCCGACTTCGACACGACATCGCACACTCGTTCAGTCTCTCCTTCGCATCGTAATATCCTCTAATCCCATTTATTCAATCCCACCAATCTCGTTCCGTCACTCCTCTCTCACATCTCTCCATCGAGTCCAACTCCCGGCCATCACGTCGCACGCCTTTTCAACCCGTCATGTCGACCCCATCCCCGATCTATATGCCGCCCCGTGGTGACGAAACGGCACCAACGTTCGACCCATCGAAGCCTCGAGAGCTCCGGCGCTACTTTCGCGACCTCGAGTTTCTTTTCGACTACGCCCAAGTCACGGACCACGCTGCACGCAAGAAACACGCAACCCGTTATGTTGATATCGACGTCGCCGACCTGTGGGAGTGCATCACCGAATTCTCGAGTGCCGACGCCACCTACAATGAGTTCAAGACCGCCGTAATCAAGCTGTACCCTGAGGCCAATGAGGACTTCAAATTCTCGCTTTCGGACATGGATCACGTCGTCGACAGCCGCCTTCGACTTGGGATACATTCACTCAACGACCTCGCCGACTACCACCGTGAATTCGCAGCCGTTACGATCTTTCTCGTCACCAAAGGACGCCTCGCCACGATGGAGCAAGAACGTGCATTCGCCCGAGGATTCCAGCCCAATTTCTGGTTGCTCGTTGCTCGACGCCTGCAAATCAAGGACCCGGATCACTCCCCAGACATGACATACACCATCGAGAATGTTATGGACGCCGCGCGCTTCGTCCTTCGTGGATTTTCTAGCACTATTCCATCACCCTCGCCCACAGCAACGACTCCGACGACTTCTCCGCCACCAGACTCTGTCAAACTCGAAGCTCTTGGTCCCATCTTCTCAGAACTCACCAAGACGATCGTCGAAGCCCTTCAGCAGTCGAACCAGCCTCGCCAGCCTCGTTCGTCGTCGTCTCTGACCCCGGTAGCTTGCAAGTTTTGCGGAAGCGCTCATTTCATGCAGGATTGTGATCTCGTCAACGAGTACTCTCGCACTGGCAAGTGTAGGCGAAACGTCGAGGGAAAGGTTGTCCTTCCGTCAGGAGCTTTCGTCCCTAAGGAAATCCCCGGCCATTTACTCAAGGATCGCGTAGACGAGTGGCATCGTCGAAATCCGAACCAGCTCGCCACTGGCACCCTTTTTCACTCGACGGCACCACCCTCCATCATTGAATATTCGCCCTCGTCCACTGCGACTCGATCTACACACCAGACCTCGAAGAAGGATCGCATCGCCGCCATCGAAGCCGAGTTACTCGCCCTCCGTGCTCGACAACCACCCAGTTTCGTGCCCGCCGCCCAAATGCTCGCTCAGACACCTCGTGCCATTTTCCAGGATGAAGGAGAAGTTGCTCCGACCGCCCCGCCGCTTCCTGACGCCCCTGTGCTTGCCGCTGACCGAGATATCGCTCCAGAACGCACCATTCGAGACGCACCAGACGCCGTCTGTGTATATTCGCAAGAAAAGACCATCGACGCCGCACTCGAGCAAGAAACGCCCAAGAAACTCGGCATCACGTATCTCATGTTACCACCCATGAACGACATCGAATCGGCGCCCGCCAACTGCGACATTTTGTCGAGTACTACGCCCGTCATTACCCTGCACGAGTTCCCGTCCCTATCCCCCGAAATTCGACCTCATAACTCCGAAACTATGACCACACGATCCCAGACAACCCAGGAGACTCGTAGACAAGCTGCTGCACTCAAAGAGAACGCCGCCACTACGACACCGCCCGAACACGCTTCCAACTCGTTCCATATCACCCATTCAAACATCGCACTCGCCTCCACTCGATATCCCAGCCCACCAGACGCATCCGTCACCAATTTCGACATATACAAGCCCTCCTATCACACTCTCTATCCCGACGACACTCCCGATCCCAATAGCCCCATTAAATTGAAGACTTCGGCCACTTTCTGCTCCTATGTCCCTCTAGACAACGAAAATCGACGCCTCGAACGCCTTCTCGACCCCGGCGGTCAAAATTTCGACTCTCAGCCTTTCATTTCCCCAACAGCAATTGTTCACGACGATCCGCCGCAGCCACACACGTCTCGACAACCAACGCCACCGCACACGCCGCTACTGCACTTCACAAACAGTCAAAAAGTCTCGAAGCATTTCGTTCCCAAGTATCTGTCGCCCGCCAATGGCCCGCCCCTCGAGAACACGTCCGGACAACACGAGACTGTGCTCACATCCTCGGTACACTCGTTCGCTGCCATTGTGCCTAGGAATCTTTTTGTTTTAGGATACGCGCTCGCTATTTCGGTCCTCGCGTCATTATTCTTAGCAGCCAAGACACCGCCCGTAGCCCCAGCAAATCCGACAACACATTCCTCGACCGCCGAATCGCCGCCGTTCATATTTTTAGTTCTTTTTCTCGTCCTTCCTTCCCTCTTCAACTTCTCGATGATCCCCTTGGCCTTTCGCACTCCCGTGTTCAAGATATTTAGACATCGACCGCCTTCGACCCCTACAACAACATTGACATCTCTTATTTTGGCGCTTTCGAAGATTAGAAGGCACGGTTCCTATTTCAGTAGGGAGGACCTCGGCCTCAACACACCTCCAGCTTGTCGACTTCATCCGAGTCCTTTCACGTCTCCTTGTTTTTCACTTTGCTGTTCTGTAACCTAGCCACTCGATCCTTCGACTTCGTGTTCCCGACTTTTGCCTTCGACAACAACCCCATCTCCATCGTTCCCATTCTATTTTTAGTTCAGATTTCATTTTATTCGAACTTTTCTGTTATCCTTCGCATTCCGCCCACGAGACTACATCTATGATGGCTTTCTGAGCCGTAGCCTCTCGTCCTATTTTATTTTTATTCGTTTTTATCGACCTCGTGCCATAACACGACACCATTCCGACTTCATTTCGACACTCGCCGCCTTTCCAACAACGAGTCACCCGCCATTTCCAACACAAGGATCACGCACGGACGAGACCATTGACGACCATCGACGGCATGACTGGGGACAGTCATGATTTCAGTAGGGAGGAGATGATGAGCCGGACTGCTCCCTGACCCCGGTAAATCCCTTTTTTCGACCTTCGTCATCGCATTCCTGTCGTTCCCTCGATCCCCGACACCTTTCCCGTCGTGCCATATGATTCCTCGAGATCCCCAGTCAGCAAAAGCATCCGTCCCGTGACTGGCACCGCCTCTTTTCCTCTCTTTCCCGTTTCACCGAGACGCTCGGCGCGCCTCCCTTTCCTTGTTAGGTAGCCTTTTCCCCCATCAACACAGTTGCCGCCTCGCCGCCTCTCCCCTATTCCATTCCTGTTTCATTCTTATCTGAAATTTTCTGTTTTTCTTTCTTCCTTCACCCACGGCTCGGATATCTTCCTTGCCGGGCTCTCCTTTCTTCATAGATATAATCCATGTCTACACACTCACACAATATAGAGAACATAGTTCATTTTTCTGTCTCTCACCGCCCTCGTTCCTCGTCCTCTCGCTCATATTCCGGAGGCACCGTTGCCTCATTCGTCCTGTTCCCACGCTTAGCGCCTGCATTCGCCATCCGTCTTCGAGTCGCGCGCCCACTGGTTAGAGCCGCACAACCGGGAACCCGTCCTCGCACCTCAGAGCCACTCATTTCGGTGTTTTGGGTGTGTGTTAGTCATTCCTTATTCGCACGATCACCCCACCGTAGGCACATCAGCGGCTTCCTTACACGTGCTACAAATAAAGCCATTCATCCTACATATATATACTCTACAGTGCTGAACTTTCCTTGATCTTCCCACCTTCCAGCCATACCTTTTGAATTCCAGATTCGAGGCCAACGTACATGGATCTCGTGACTCGGGAGTGACTTGCCCATACCTCACAAAGGTCAGCTGCGGGTAAAGCAGTATCGAGAACTTGTGGATAGCGTCTTGTTCCTCTTATTTGGTGAAGGCCGCTAATTTGTCGCAAGCTACTGCGAATTTGAGAAGCCTATAAGAAGCGTATGAGACAAGCACCCAGGGACGAAATGGATATTGACGAATTGACCTTAATCAAGGAACGCGGAAGCACATCGAACAACTCTGTTTCCCCATATTCATCTGTGAAAAGTTCTAATTCATCAAGCGCGGACTCAAGCTCGCCACAGTGCTCCTGTTCAAGACATCGTAAGTGTTCGTTCTGAATTCTATACAGTGCCATACAGGATGAACAGTGTAGTAGGTCCCTTCTGGGAATTGTACCACCAGTTCGTAGACCTTCCTGAGTCTCCGTTCATGCTCATAGAGGATTGACCCTTGAAGCCGCATTAGCCAGTAAGATGATGGGATAGTCCACAAAATATTTGCTCACATGTTTCCATCTGTCGATGCAATATGTAAGCTCTCTGGGAAATACGAGTCCGTAATGCAGAGTGAGGAATAGCGAGGTGGACCTCTCGTATCTCCCTCACGGAATCAACGATCGATGTCAGTTCGAGCATATTCTTCTCAACATCCCGCTCAAACATGAGTTGATATGTGAACTTCGACATGCACCGTAATGCATAGGTCGATTGGGCGAGGGAGAGATAGGCACGGACAAGGGGTGTCGTCGCCCCAGTGTATGCTGCGACGAGGTTGTCGCAACGGAAAGGTTGGGTATGTGCCAGGTGGTAGCTTCTGCGCAGCTCGTGCAATGCGTCGACGAGTGCTGCAATGATGCTGAGATAGATTAGGCTTGTGACCAGCCGTTTCTTTTAAACTCCGCAAGGCTTCGTCAAGAAACGGCTGGGAGAAACGAATCGCTTTTAAGGGAGTCACGTTTGTCACGCAGGACTTAGTGAAATTTCGCCCTCGCCCCCTCCCACCCCACATCGTTAATACCTTTCCCCTTACTCTCAACTTACCAAATGTTGTAATTGTATGTGAATAATGTAAATTAACATAATAGACAAATTTATCCTTATCCGATGAGTGAAAGGGACGTTGGGGCAAGCACCTCCGTTGTCATGCTGCCCCACAACTTTCCTCTCTGTAAAGGATGAAGGTGCGTTCAGTCAGCTCATAATAGGGAGCTAAACCTCCACTGGCATTTGAGAAGCAGCTGGTTGTGAATGACAGGCAAGGATGGCAGCCCTGTGATAGACTCTAACATCTGGATTCTGGATGTTCACAGTCGGAATCGTGCTTGATGCTTGTGCTAGTGGGTCAATCTGAAATAGATATGCTGTAGTTCTGTTGTTGTAGAATCAATAGGCACATTAAATGAAGTGTGGTGACATACTCGAGAAGGTGGATGCGCTCGCAACGGCAGCACAAGATCAAATGAGTCGTATCACCTTTATCACCAAAACACGAGGATCCCTGACTCTACATCCCTGGCCACACCTCCGCCCTATAGAGAGGGAAGGTTCAGCAAGTCAATTCCGTGTTTTTGACCTCCAAGATGCCTCTTGATTCATATAAGTCTGACTTAATACGGTTGAGCCGGTAACGTGGTGCATCAAATCAGCGAGAACTCATCCTCAACGACGAAGTCAGAAATTTCATCAAAAAAAAGTTTTTCAGTTAGTTATATCGGCTCATTTTAGCAAATAAATGTCCCTGACATTAACATGAAAATGACAAGGTGTGGAAAGTGGCTGAGCACCAAGCCCTGGTAGGAGAGCGCGAAATTTTACTAAGTCCCTGTCACGCTTGGGGACTCCCTTAAAAACGCTTCGTTTCTCCCAGTCGTTATGGGAAGTCACCCCTTTTCGCTCTCCGATTGATGTCCGCCTGATGTTTGCGCCACTGGGATAACCAAACAAACCCGCCCTTTCGGATGTACAACAACTAGAAAAGGAGTGACTCCCATAACGTACTGGTAGCGAGTCTAGAGATAGATATTTATTAGCTTACAATCAACAGAATCGACATACCCTCACCTCGGGCTTAATGTATGAAGCAAACCGAGAGTGTCTTCGAGAACCTTTAGGGTAATCTGGCGCATATATTTATCCACAGACATGAGAGGAGAGACCTGGATTTCTGGAAGTCGCTCCGTTTTCTCTGCTCTTTCCCAGCCTTCGAGCGCTGCTTTATATTCTTGGTCGGTCAAGAAGCAAGTATATTCGTCGTCGTCTTCACTTCTGGCATAACCGCCATCAGAGTCATATTCGGAATCAAATTCGTCGCTGAAATCTGAATTGTCGTCATCAGAATCTGAGCTTGCATTCGAACCTTCGGAGTCAGTGTCGGGCTTTCTTCGAACAGCGCTCAGGATGTTCTTAAACTTCGTCTTTGTAATGTTGGTCCATTCCGTCTCGTCAGATCCAACAGGAATGATGAGAGGTCCAAGGCCATGACGCTCTCTCCGAGCGAGTAAATAGCGTCGGACATCAGCAATCTCGGACTTTGAATAGGGCAGAATCCAGGCAGGTTGGGGCGGAGAGGCGATAGCACAGTGACGACGGCGGCGACGATCTCGTACATAGTTTCAGCCGGGAGGTTGTTAAGGCACATAGCGACGAAGAGAGGAGCAAGATAAAGCAAGGTGGCTCTTTCTTATACTGAAGAGGTAAAACTGGGTTGTGGAAAAGGAACCCTGATATTGACAGGTGGGGAAGTTCTTGTCCGTTTTAGATATTTGCTTACCCTCTGCGGCATGGCAATGACCATCTGCATAGACAATGCACAAACGTACTTGGATTTAGACCTGCGGCTCCTCTTGATGACGAGAGAGGAGAGTTGTTTGGCCCACACAACAGTTGACAGCAAGCAACGGCATGACCTGGTTCTTTTTGCTGAGCCTCCACAAGTTGTGCGTTTGTAGCTCTCTTCGCTCGTCACATTGGAATCCTCGTTAAGTCGCCCTTATCATCGGAGCCGTCGCTCAGTTCTTCCGCTGTCAGCAAAGGGAAATCTTCTTCGTTGACGGTAGCTTGTCGGAGCCTTCTTCGTCTGGGTGGACGCCGTCATCTTTGAACCACCGTTCGACATTGTCCTCGTCCTCGTCGGCGTGATCTTCTTTGTGATCTTCATCAAGGTGTGCAGTACTAGCCAGCCAAGACTCGGAAGAAGGGAGCGTCCGGATATGTCACGTGTTCAGGTCGCCAATGTGGTGCGCTCAGTCTGATGCGTTTCCTGCGCGCTTCTGTCCCAACCCTATGTTTCTTGGGCACTTTGGGTATGAATTATCAATTAATGTGGAGCAATCTGATGGATTGTAGTGAAAGTGAAGTAGATAAAATAAAATCATCATTTCAAAATATCTCGAGTCACAAGGGCAATTTCTTTTATAATCCTGGAACCTAGGCATCCGAACCACAGCAACACAAGCAGGTTACAAAGCGTTGATGAGAGCGGTGTAGGCAGCCTTCGCTCTGTAGTTGTTGTCAAAGAGCAAGGGGTTGCTGCTTGCGCGCCAAGAGTTCTATACGGAGACGAAAATAAATGAGCCCACCGATATTCCGGAAATGCGGAGAGAGAAATATACTCACGACGTCAGCAACACCCCAGCTAGTAATGCCGACGCAAAGCGGGGTGTTGAGGCAGGCGCGAAGGACCGTGGTGTAATCGTTCGCAGACGCGCCGACGATGTCAAGCTCAGTGATGGCGACCTCGAGCCCGAGACTGGCGAGGGCAGTGAGCGCAGCTTGCGCACCACCTGCACCGCCGGCACTCAGGTGCATCTGGGTGCCGAGCGCATCGATGATCTGCGAGTTGGCATTGACGCGCCTGACGAGGTTGACCATGCCTTGCACTTTAGCGTTGTTCGAGTCCAAGTTGTAGTCATTGATGTAGAGCCTGGAGCATGGAATATTAATTGGGGCTTGGAATGGGAACGAAGGGTGGCCATACACAGAAGTGGGGTCTGCCGCACGCGCTGCCTGGAAAGCAATAGTAACGAAGGACTGAACCGACTAGTCAGGTTGTCGTTCAGCATATAGTGAGAACGGCATTACCTCGCCAAGGACACGAGAGAAGACACTCGAGCGGAGACTGCCGTCTTCGTTGAATATTTCACTAAGAAAGAGTGTCAGATTCTTCCTGTTAGGCACATAAGAACGAGCACGTACTTAACAACATCCCACTATTTGGAAGCAAGAAGATGGCGGGTCAATATCCATTTCGCATGCGTATAAGAATTCTTACAGCTGTGAATAATGTGAAGTTAATCGTAATTCCAAAGGCGGATACATGAAACGTACCGTAGAGCCTGCCAGCATAGCGACCAGCCACAACGGAAATGTGGTTCTGAATGACTGAGGTCAATGTGTTCCTGTCGTTGATGTTGTTGACCCAGCCAGGCAGCTGAGAGTGCCAAACTGTAGAATGTTACGGCGATTGAGAAAACACAAGATGATACCATCGGGATCCTCCTCACCCAAGGTGTGTCCACGGATCAGCTTGCCGTTTGAAACAGCCCAGTTGACGAGGGTGTCTGCACCAGCAAAATTGAAGTTTCCTCGGCTGCCTGATGCTTTGTTTAACACGGAAAAGATAAAAAGAACATAATTCCTCACTCTCGAGGGCATCCCACTAATATTGAATAGAGGCGTTAGTTTCTCGGACGCTTTTCGGAGGACTGGAATTCACCTTCATAGAGTTTTCCTAAACAATGGATTAGATATGGATTCGGGTAACCAGGGCAAATTCGGCTTACAGGAGTCACTTGACCGAAGTCAGACCTCAGGATAGCAGCGTTGGCTGGAAGAATAAATGAGGAAGAACGTCTTCAAGCGCAAGAATCGCCTCAATTCACCGGCAATGTTCAACGTATTAGAATCCGCACAAGATCCCTATGCGTGAGGAAACATTAGTCTAGCCTCCTTCGATTCTTAGAAAATTCGGGTACCCAGAACGCTTGGTCACGATTACCAGTTGGCGAGCCAGTGGGGGGAGCCGTAGTGTTAGGAGGGGCGGCGGTCGTTGTGGTCACCGGCGGAGGTGGAGGAGCAGCAGTTGTTGTTGGAGGGGGTGGGGATGGGGCAACCGTTGTCGGAGCAGAGCCTGGTTGGCATCTGGATGCGGTATTCGACGATTCTGTGTACTAGATCTGGACCGGGCACCTACTGGAAATACCAATCATTCAGCTGGACGCAGGTTGTTCCAGAGACACCTGAGAGAAAGTCAGTACTATTGATGAATCTCTAGATCAGGTCTGGCTCACAGCTTGTCTGGCAGAATAAAAGAAGCCATCTCAGTTCACGAACACAGAAACCAAAGATGTAGCCTTACGGGACCCGTCCAGCCAATACCACCACCTACGTCCATGAATCAGTATTGTCAAACTAATGTCATACAGGTTCGATGCCTACATTGACCCCAGACTTGCTGTTGCTGGGCGGCGGCTTGCTGGGCCAGCAATACAAAGGAAACAAAGGCAAGGAGTTTCGACATTGGGGGCTGCAATGCTTCAACAAGAGCAGAACTAGTCTTCTTCGCCAACATGTCCTCCACCTTTTATAGGGTTCAGGAGTGGAGGCCTGTCAAAGATCCTCCGATATTTGGGTTTGCGAAGGTCATGGGAATACGGGCGGAAAATGCAGATGGTTCTCTGGCAGAGAGTGGGGTCCATCATAGTGGGGGATTCACCGTCGAAGCGGTGGAACTTCGCGTTTATGAGCTGTCGAGACTGTATACCTCGCCTGATTCTGCTGATTGCCGAAGCACGTTGTGCGACTATAGGAAAACAGGGTTGGTTGAAGACGAATTGACGGCGTTTAGAATAATAGAGAAATCTGATCGTGCACTGCGAAGCCACGGGCAACACTATCAGCTGAGGCCACAGCTTAAAAGACTGCTCACCCCTTCCGCAGTGAGGCAATTTTTCGTCCAAGTGAATGCCGCCGTTTCTGGGTCGGGGAGACGCATCAGTCGCAATGGTACACTAAACCTCGGCCTCGTGGAGTACCAATTCGGGACCGCTATTTCTCGGAAATATCCAGAGGAGAAAGGATAGAGCGGTCACATAAAAGACTGAGTTCCTTGACATAGAGTATTGAGACGGAGGAACGGGCCGTCGCATCCCGTGTCCTCGAGATTGACACTCGCGGTGTCTTTTCCATCGTTCGAAGGCTCGGTGGATAAGAGGAGTGCCATGGACTCGGCTGCCGGCGTCCCGGGCAGGTGCTGAGAAAAGAAGTCAGTGAAGGAGGACTAATTCATGCCAAGAGCTCACAAACTCGTCTCTAACTGATTCGTGCCAGAAAAGTAAGAGAAAGGATCAACGTCGAGGAACACGAGGCCCAGCTCATTCCGAAGAGATCATCACTACGACAGCAATTCTCCGAGGCCTATTGCGGTCGGCCAGTGCACATAAAAGGGCTTCTCTGATAAACCTTGCCTACTGTGGGAGAACACAAAACACCCTAATGGCGATTGGGGTAATGTAGGCGACTGGGTATGGAGCCGCTGTTGACTCTGCTGTGGGCTTCCATGTGCGTCTGCTTTGGAACCTCTAAGTGGAGTGAGGAGGACCAGTGTCTAGGTTTTCTGGCACTGCAAGGTGAGTATAGTGGATGATCGATGACCTTTGATACATTGGCATTGGCAGAGGAAGCGGGGAGACAGGCTGGAGATAGGCCTGCGAAGGATGCTCTTGATGTTCAAGCCAAAGTTCGAACATCATCGTGACGTCATGCAGCCAACAGGTATGTCGTCACGTGACATGCGTGACAGACGCGCAAGTACCCTCAACTGAACATGACATTCCCTCTATGGTAATTGCGCCATCAACGTTGGGTGACCTCAAGGCGAGTTTGAAGTATTGCGCCCGTGTATATGGATAGGGCCTGTTCTCTGTATTTAAAATTTTCATCCTACTGTACAGATGCCCGACTAAGTTCAAAGCGCGCTGCATTTCACATAGCGGCAAGAACGGCAGTCTCAGCCGCCTTCGGCCGGTAGTTTGAGTCCCAAAGCAGCGGTGTGGAGCCCGAGCGCCAGGAGTTCTACAAACAAGACAGTAAGAATGGAATAGTTAGTTGAGAAGGACAGAACGTACCGCGTCACTGACGCCCCAGCTGGTAATCGATACACAGGCCGAGGTCGCAAGACAAGCCTTTACAACAGCGGTGTAATCATTGGCTGAGGCACCTGCAATATCAAGCTCGGTGATTGCAACCTCCAATCCGGTGCCAGCCAAGGCGGTAAGAGCAGCCTGCACACCCCCTACACCACCAGCACTGAGGTGCATCTGTGTTCCCACACCGTCGATCAACTTGCTTGACGCATTAGTCCGCTTGACGAGAGCGACTAAGCCCTGAACCTTGGCGTTATTGGAGTCGAGATTGTAGTCGTTGATGTAAAGCCTGGGTAAATCCATACGTCAATGCATTGCCCAAATTAGTACAAGAGATTTTTACTTGGCGGTACCATCCGCCGCCCGAGCCGCTTGGAAGGCAATCGAGACAAATGACTGACAAGACATTAGCAATGCATCTGCATCCAAAAGCAGTGGATACCTCGCCGAGGACATTTGAGAAAACACTTGAGCGAAGAGAGCCATCCTCGTTGAAGATTTCACTGTTTGTCGGGATCAGAATGTTAGAACTTGGGAATCGAAATGGAGCAAACGCACTTGACAACATCCCACTGTGCATCGAAAAACCAATCGTCAAAAATATGATACAAGTCAGATGGAATTCATCATACGGCTATTCGATGAATCAGAACGATTCAGGCTGCTGATCAACAGGCATTACATACCGTAGAGTTTACCCTTGTAGCGTCCAGCAAGGGTAGAGATGTGATTCTGAATGACTGAGGTCTTTGAAAAACCAGAATTTATGAGCGTGTTGACAGAGGTGTAGGAAAGGCGGCACCGACCAGTGTGGTTTTGTCACCGATGGAAGAGACCCAGCCAGGCAGTTGAGAATGCCAAACTATGCAATATCGATCAGCCAGGCCGAGAAAGATATTGGATGGATTTCATTACCAAGTGTATGACCGCGAATCATTTTGCCGTTCGACGTGGCCCAATTGACGAGAGTATCGGCACCAGCGAAGTTGAATGATCCACGGCTGCCTAGAATTAGCGCTTTAGCGCTCGAATCTTCGTGATGAAGGTAATGTGTTCTCACTTTCCGTAGCATCCCACTACACACGCAAAACCAGGGTTAGGTTCATGAAAGAAGAAAGATGGTTGCTCTCATATTTTACCTTCATGGAGTTTTCCTGTTTGTTGCATGAGAAAGATGGATCGCAATGACTCAAAGCCGACATCAACGTACCGGCGTGACTTGGCCAAAGTCGGACGTCAGGATCGCAACGTTGGCTATACAGTGACACCAACCAATTGCTGTTTACACGGTTCGGAGAGGACAGGGTATAGGACGAACCAGCAATGTTCAGAGTATTCGAATCTGCACAAGAGCCCTGGAGGTGCGTCAGCAACCTGTTGCATTCCTTCGAGCAAACGCCTACCCAGAATTTCTTTCCGTGGCTGACAAATTTGGCGTTCAATGTTCCGCCGGTGCTTCCCCCTCCAGATGGAGTGGTGGTCGTGGTCGGAGGCGCACTTGTTGTCGCAGTGGAGGGTTGGCATCTGCAATTGTCTGTCAAGAGACAAGCGCTGATGAGCAGAGGTGCAGGTAAGACATACTGCGAGTAATATGAATTGACGACAATGCAAGTCGATCCTGAATCACCTGTCGAAGATTTCAGATCCTATAAACTTAGAAGTATCGATGGGGAAATCTCACAAGTAGTCTGGATGGATGAAGCTGCAGATATCAGCAATCACAAGGAACCAGAACAGTCGACGTACGCTGCCCGTGTATCCAATACCGCCACCTATTAAAAAGAACAAAAAAAATCAGCGTACGTCGCCTGGAGCTTTAGACGGCACGTACATTGTCCCCAAACGGCGACGGCAGTCGTCTGCTGGACGATGACGGCAGCAAGGGTGGCAAAAGCGAGGAACTTCGACATTTTGAGAATGCAAGAGCAGAACTAGTCGACAGCACTTTGGGTGACCCCACCCTACGTCCGTGCTGGCTTTTATCGAGGTCAGAGGGTTGAGTTATTCCGATGTTTAATGAGCGTCGGGTCATGCGGGACGCGGAGGTGGGTCGTCGTAACATGGCCACCTTTCCATTGTGGCGCGAGGTGCTGAAATTAGATAGAACGGGCGGATTTCGCGTCAATGTGATCAGCCTGTAGGTATTGGCTCCTTCGTGACCAACGGTGGTATAACACGCGTGCCATGTAGGACTGGGGGGGGGCGTGGTCGAACAGGCATGTGCGTTAGGCTCGGAATGAAGGCGGTAAATCTTGCACAGGATCTAGTGTTTTCTCTTAAGACACGACGAGGATGCACAGGATGAATGGGAGGAAATAAAACCTGAACGGGTAGACGATTTGGTATTTTGATGGTGGCTATTTTTAGCATCCTGATACAATAATAGCCTGTTTCAACCGTGAACTTGAACGAACTTGGTTTTGCGGCCAGTCTTGACGAGACGTCATGGAACGAGGCGAACATATTCTGCGTAGGTGGCGTACATCGTTCTAATGATCGTCGATTTGAAATCGCGGCGCAGGTTATACTGTTGTATCTTGAATGCCGACACACCTCATTGACGCTGATGAGCTGTCACCTGAAGGACATCGGATTCGGATTGAACTTTAGTGAACGGCGGAGAAATCGGAGACTGCACCCGTGTCATCGTTGTGAAAGCTCGGAGCCTCACAAACATCTCCGGCTCAATGTTGTATTCTTCGTGGATGCGCAGTCGCGGGTCTACGGATGTCAGTTGACTGAAACTTGCGGCAACAAGCTATTATGGAGAGCCGGGGCACGCGATACGAGGCGGTACCCATTATTGACGATAGTATGCTCATTTTCCTTGCGAAATTCCTGCTGATATTAGGGTAGAGTATATTGGGGAGTTATAAATTGTTGACCGAGAAGTGTGCCTCGCGGGGAGCCAAAAGATAAATGAATGTGAAATTTGTAAGTTCCGATGCCACTTCTTGGGAGTATCGATATCTCTTCGTTCACAAAGCGGACAGGACGGCATTGTAGGCAGCTTTAGGCTTGTAGTTGGAATCAAAAAGAAGGGGCGTCGAGCTTGCACGCCAGGAGTTCTAAAACCGCGATGAGAATCACCAAGATGAATATAATGACTCTTCCAACTCACGGCATCAGATACTCCCCAACTGGTGACGGAAACATAGGCAGGTGTGTTGAGGCAAGCCCTCACGACTGTAACATAATCGGTCGCTGCAGCACCGGCAATATCTAGCTCAGTAAAGGCAACTTCAAGGCCAGTGCTAGCCAAAGCCGTAAGAGCGGCTTGTACACCACCGGCACTGAGATGCATCTGGGTGCCTACTCCTTCGATAAACCTCTTCGAAGCATTGATGAGCTTGACGAGGGCCACCATTCCTTTTGTCTTAGCATTATTGGAGTTCAGGTTGAAGTCGTTGATGTACAATCTGTATAAGTCAAAATAAATGAACATACGGACAGATGACGGAGCCTACTTGGCAGTGCTATCAGCTGCACGCGCAGCGGTATATGCAATCGTGACGAAAGACTGAAATCCGATTAATCCGGTACCCTTCATGATTCAAAATCGTAAGAACTAACCTCGCCAAGGACCCTGGAAAAGACGCTTGAACGAAGGGTACCATCCTCTTTGAGAATTTCGCTACCAGGAATGAGATCAACATGATGTCGAGGAAAATTAGTACGGACCACGTACTTGCAGACATCCCACTATCGAAGGGAGTGGAAGATTAGTATCTTGTGGTAGATGCAAAGACAAAAAAGACATACAGCTGAGAGTCAGGTGTCAGTGATTACTTCGAGAAATCATTCCAGTGGCATACCATAGATATTTCCTTTGTAGCGTCCAGCTACGGTGGAAATGTGGTTCTGAATGACGGACGTCTGACGAAGTGTCGATCAGCCTCCAATCCAAACCTCAAGAAATATTTTGCGAACCAATGTCGCCTTATCGTTGATCGCAGAAACCCAACTCGGCAATTGGGAGTGCCAAACTACACAAATTGTAAACCACCAGAACAAAAAAAAACACGAAGAACAGAAATTACCAAGCGTGTGCCCGCGGATCAGCTTTCCATTAGACGTCGCCCAATTAACGAGTGCATCGGCACCGGAGAGGGTCAAAGAGCCGCGAGAAGCTAATAAGTAGGGCGAAATGAAACTTATTGAAGGCACTTCTTTACTCGGTGGGAAAGGATGCTTACGCTCGGTCGCATCCCACTAAATCCGTACGGAGGATTTTAATAACGCGCAGCTTAAGAAGACAAATTCGAGTCCACCTTCATCGAGTTTTCCTATTGATGTGCTGGACTTAGACCGAGATGCACGAGTAGACTTGGCACCCACAGGTGTGGCTTGACCGAACTCAGCTTTCAGGACGTTGAGGCTGACTGAAAGGACGTCAAGAAAGGCAAATTCCGACATGGGTCGTTCTGACCAGCAATATTAAGAGTATTAGAGTCCGCCGCAGTGCCCTACAGCAATCAGATCTTGTTTGCACTTCAGAGAAACCGAGGATGGGAATCACCCAGAATTTCTTTCCGCGAGCAACGAAGTTCGCATTTAGACCGGAGCCGGCTGCGCTAGGAGTGTTCGTCGCAGGACGGCTGGAGGTCCCAACCGAAGTGGAAGAGGTCACGCTCACAGAAGTTGTAACTGCAGCCTTCGTAGTCGTAGTGGTCGCGGCACCAGGCTGGCACCTTTGAGAGTGTACCTTGTGAGCAAGTCTTCTCAAATTCAACGGAAAATAGCGCACTGCGAATACCAATCGTTGACAAACGCACAACGGCTTCCGGTTTCACCTGGATAGCAAGTTAATTAAGCGAATCCGCGAAGCAATGGAAGCGAAACGGACAAACGGTCTAGGGGGCAACATATCATCGATAATCTTAGTCTCCCAACCCAAGTCTTGCATTCAGTGAAAACGTACACTGCCGGTGTAATTGATACCGCCACCTTTAGAAGCCTAAGTAAGCACTATCTTCCCATTATCCGGCTTCCAAGGAACCTACACTGTACATAGACAGGCAACCCAGCAGACTGAAGAGCAACGGCGGCGAAGGTCACAAGGGCGAGTAGTTTGGACATCACTGGGATGAAAGAAGTGAAAGAAGATTGAATTTGCCGTGCTAGTAGCCCCCGAAAGCCTTTTATTGGACGTTCAAGGTGGTCCGATATACCCTGGATGTTCTTGATCGTCTCCAGGCCCACCATGCTCTCTGATCATATGCAACCTGGTAAGAACCGCGAGATGCCTCTGGCGATGAAAAGCTGTTGAGGCCTAAAAATACGACGTCAAGCTGGCCATGACAATTGCACCGGAGGAAGGTCGGTTATCTTAAAGTCTCTTCGGAGTGAAATGCTGGGGTTCAGCATTTGGAGTGCCAGTAAGAAGAGAATTGATCAGGAAAATCTGAGATGACTGACCTGGTCGCCTTGGCAAAAAGAACTGCGTCGCCCGTCCCGCCCACAACCCAGCCAACATCCAGAGCAAGAAAGGCTTAGATAACTCGCTTTTGAAATTGGGTTTTCTCTCGGAGTCCAGGGCAAAATCTCCTCCATGTGTCCGAAGAAACATCGAGGAATAGAATCCCAACTGCCGTGTTATTTTTAGCTCTGGAAAATTGGCCAAGACTCGTCGGATAAATGTTAATGATGGGTGGACGGCCTCCGAGGGTCGTGGCGGGGATGGACTGGTCAGTGGTGTTGTCAGAATTCTCTGTATACGTAGATAGAGCTCAGGAATATATGTACCTGTCGTGTACACCATTTGTCATGGTTCTCGACGGCGGAAGCTTTGCTGCAGGAGGATGTCCACATGGTTCAATATTGCGGGTTGGAGGAAATCGCAATTCGACAGGAACGCTCCGAGCAACTTAGTCTTCAGGTCTTTTCAGGTACATCCTCAGCTCCACATAATGGCCTCTCGCAGGTCTTGTCAAGCAAAATATCAGGCGTTTTCAGGACATGATCAGATTGAGGTGATAGTTTGGGTTCAAGGGGAATGTTGTCACGCTCGTGCTTCGAATAACTTCACGTGGAGTGACGTACACGTCGCGAACGAACGCGTTGTTTGAACTCTCACACTGACAGACTCGCCTCCCCAGTTTCAGCAAACTCGCATTTGCTGGCCCATCCTATCACTATCCTATCAGACAGCACACGAATGAATTATCTCACCGCAGATGTCCAAGACGAGACCGACTTCCCTCCCCGTGACCAAGCACCAGGACTCCGTGGCCTTGACGGGTCGCTGCGCTGTGATATCTGCGGAGAGCTGTACGACGCACCGGTGACGATAGCCTGCGGGCACTGTTTCTGCTCCGCCGTACGTCTTTGACACGTCCTACAGCTTCCAGCACTCACAAACTATCCTCCCCTTTAGTGCATCAGGAGCAGCCTCGCGCTGAAGCAGGAGTGCCCTAGCTGTCGGGCATCAGCTGGAGAGGTGCATATACGCCCGAACCCCATTCTGGAGAAAGTCATCTCTGATTGGAACGACGCCAGGTGCGTATGAACGCGCAACTTCATTCTGTTCCATTCAGCTGACTCCGTGTCTTCCATATTTCATCGCTATCTAGGCCATTCATCCTACGCCTGCTTAAGCAGGACGACGAACGCGCAGCAGCGTCCTCATCAGAGATAGCAGACAAGGACAAAGGGACGTCCAAAAAACGGAAACGAACGCCGGATTCAAGCAAGTCCCATTTCTTCGACTCCAATATCGCAGGACCTTCCAGAAATCCGCTGTCTCCAAATGGCAAGAGCATACGGCCCTCATCTCCTCCTTCAAGGCCGAAGAAGCTGAAGCCCAAATCAGACGAAGTGATTGATATGACCATTCCCAGCTCGGACATCGAGGAGGATGAGATGCCAGCTGCAAGGTCAGGTAACCTGGTGCCGAAGGGTGAGTGAACTTCTTCCCTGTCCATTCTTTGTCAATGTGAAGTGGTGTTTACATTTTAATTCAGCGGACGACCTTGTTAGCTGTCCCATATGCCAGAAGACAGTGCGTTACTCGAAGCTAAATGGACACATCGACAAGGGGTGCAAAGACCCACCTCCTGCAAAAACCGCCGCCAGCGCCGCATCGACATGGTCCAAAATCATGGGGGGAAGCGCAAGAAACGGTCATCAGAAGGGAAAGCACAAGTATGTAACAATGGCACCCCGTAAACGGTCCACAATGACTGAAATATCAGGAACGGCGTCTAGAAAGAAAGGAAATGGAGTTCACGATGATGACTCTGATGAAGATTATCCCCTTCCTATCGCGACGTACACGACGCTCAAGGATAGACAACTGAAGGAGATGCTGCTGGACCAGGACCTGCCGCTGACCGGAGATCGGTCGAATTGGGAACAACGACACCAACGGTGGGTGTTTACGCGTTTATGGCCCTTGCCTGTATTATTCCCAAATACGTCTACAACAGCTAATCGATGTTCTCTTCAATTCATTTAGGTGGGTGATGCTCTATAATGCGAACCTGGACAGGTCGAACCGGAAAACCAAGGCGGAGCTCCGGCGCGACCTGAAGAAATGGGAAGAGGACACTGCGAAAAAGAAGAAAATCGTAATACACGACGTGATAGGATATCAGGTCTGTCTATCATCCTCATCAACAAAAACCTACCCGGATCTTGTTCTAACCGTCCTTGTTCTTGCTTTTTTCCTCGTTTCGTGGGGCTATAGATAGAGCACAAGTCAGAATTTACGAAATTGATTGACGCTGCGAGGCAAAGCAGTAAAGCCAAAGCTCCAGCAGCATCAGGATCAGCTGATGCCGCTATTGTTCCTCCTGCGGGGCCTGCGTCTAGTTCTCCGCCGTCGCCTCCTAAATCCAGCTCATCACTGGCCGAGTTTAAGCCCACGGGGCTTCTGCCAGGAGATAACATCGTCGTGGACTCCGAGGGAGAGCAGTAACTGTGCACTGTGAGCGGTATTTTTAGCAAACGCATATATTTGCTCTATACCATTTATTTTCGATTTCTTTTTCGGCGAGAGCAGACAGAGTCTTCTGTGCTGTCGGATCCAAAACATGGGGGTCGACGACGTTGGCCTGTATGCCCGTTAGCACATTGACACGTTCTCTCGCGCGCCTGAAACGTGAGTTGAGCCATAATGCGGGGCCCCGCGAGATCTACGCGAACCCACGCGTCTGTCTGGTTCGGTGTTGTAAACGCTGAGCATAATTAAAATCCAACCATTGCCAGATCGCCTCCTAATCTGTTACCTAAAGATGCAGGCAGCTATCCATAGCTTGCCTCGAGTTCGGTTAGGGGCAAGAAACGTGTTCAGCATCGTATTGAAAAAGCGGCACAGTCGACTCGCCTTGAGAAGGGTGGAGTTCGGGTGAGGTTTTCCCCCAACCACAACCACGGCCACAGCGAGGAGCGTCGAGGTCGACGACCAGCAAGCACGCCTCGAGTTCAGAAGATCGAAGAGGATAGAAACGTAAGCGTAGATCGCTGCAGTGCAGTGCAATATGGGTTTCAAGGCCTTCTCTTCGGTGAGTGACGAGTGTCTTCTGAGACTGCTCGGCGTTTCCGATCACCAGAAAGGCAGGCAGCTCACGTTCACGTTCACGTTTTTTGCACTGGCAGGTATCATCATCAAGGTCTGGCATCGAAGCAAAGAATTCGGAAGATTCGAGTTCAACGTGGCGGGTTGGGAAATCACCACAAAGAGATTTCGGTTTCGCCGGATCCTTGAAGGGGGGACCAAAGGTGAGAATGCCGTTCCGGACGAGAGCGGGCAGCAGGACACCCGGACAACGTTGCTTCCTGCTGATTGATGTGTTTGTTTTCTGTGCACATTCGCAGTCCCCGCAGAGCCCACGCAGAAGCCGTTTCAGCACGGAGCAGGTCCTCCCCAGGAGGAAGGGCAGCTGCAGTTCGGAGGCATCTGACTTGTCCAATCTGAACAAGGAGGCGCTGAACGAGGACATGATGCTCCGCGTGCTGCTGCTTTCACCACCTCCAAGCGATAGCGAGGACGATGACGCTGGGTGCGTGCAAGACGGTGTCCCGATCGAAGCACCGTCCTGTGAAAAATCAACCATCGAGGCATACAGCCACAACGGCTCAGTGACAGTCGAACTGGTAAGTAGGTGTTTAGCCTTTTCGCTCCACGTGCGCGGGGCTCCAAGTGGGTCGGGCTCAGGTGCAAGTGCTGAAGCGAGATATATACTCATCTTAATTTTGGTGTGCTATAGATTCGACTTGCAGGGGCGGAAGGGCATCACTTCCGGCTGTATGTGACCTCCTGCGAGGAGAGCGTGCACGTTCTATTGCCGTCCGAGTTCCGAGGAGCACTGTTTATCAGCCACGCTAGAAGCCAGATGCCTGCGAGCGTTGAGTACGGCGCGGGGTTACAGAGACGGATCGATGGAGGCGCCGTGCGCATCAACCCGGTGGTGGGTCATGGAGCGGTGGCCGAGGACGAAGACGAGATGCACCTATATGCGGCGAAGCGGATCGTGGTGGAGACGAAGGACGAAGAGACGGACCTGCAGGCGACGGCTGCACGGCCGCTGTGGGTGCTGGAGGGGCGGGCGAGTCGGCTGCGACGCGTATGGCTGAAATTCATGCCGTGAATACGGTGAAAGAAGGGGAAGTATGGAGAAGAGCGTTACAGCAGTAAAACTTCCCATGATGATTAGAATATGCTCCGAACTCGGAGAGCCTGTTGTAAGGAACAATTGGGAAAACATTGAGTCTGATGCCGGTGGTCGGGCTGCGGGCGAGAACAAGCGCACCATTGTCCTGCGCCCACTGTCCACCATCGAGGGAGCCCGGGATCAGGGGAGGGTGTGGGGTGAGATGCGGCGCAGACAAGGAGATGTTGTGGCAGGAATGGGGACGCGCTTATGTTAGAGGGAGGCGATGTGCAGGGTTGCCAAGGAGCGATCGTCCCAAAAAAGGAATTTCTTGTAGGAGCAGGTGGCATCCACGTGGTGCGGCTGGGTTCTTGTCCTGCATTTGGCACAAGGGGCTGCTATTAAAACTCCCAAGACCCAAGCAGCCCTCTCATTGCTGCCCGGCCCTCCCCCACTCTGCCTTGGTCGAGATACGGCCGCACCGTCCTCCCACTCTTTCCACTCCTCTCCCCATACCGCGCTACTACCGTTCTCCGTAATGTCCTCTGAGAACGGTCACTCCATGGTACGCCGATCTCATCATCGATACGGCGGCATCGACGTAAAAACTGACGCATTTCATTCCTGCAGGGCTCCTTCGAGAAGACCAGGCCGCTCGTGAGTCTCTATTGCTCTTCGTACAGCCACTTGCTCACTTCCGCCGTCTATTTATAGCTGCACCCTTCATGCTCAACGCGGGGTACGCACAAGGTCAAATACCGCAGCGAGGCCGACTGGGATTTCCGCCTCGATGCTGGCCGTATCCCAGTCGACATGTCGCTCATGCTACCACACTACCGTGCGCGCCACCAGCCCATCGATCATCGGATGTCGATGTTCGTCTCGGGCACGAACGAGGCAATCAAGCTCAAAGTGGTGCGTCGTGCTTCCTGCCAATCCCTTCCTTCCATTCCCAAGACTAATCTTACTTTCTCCCACCTTCATTGTGTATCTACCCAGTGTCGAAACTTTCCTCGGAGCCAGTTCTACCTCGAGGTCCTCGCAGAATCGTCGGATGTAACCATCTGGCTGCCGTCCGACTTCAAGGGGCAGATCCACCACACAGGGAAGGCTATCTTCTCCTCTGGCTTCATTAACAAGATCCTACGGAACGTCCGGCTCAACGAGCCTGACGTGCAAGAGCTCTACAACGAGGACGACGTGGTCGTCGTCACCCGCGGGCGCGTTACGTTTCGGATGTGGGATACCCAAACGTGCAGTCCCGAAAATACCCACAAGGAATGCTTCAAACGAATGTTCGGGTGCTCACAGAAAGCACCAGAAACACCGATCGACTGGGACTTTCTCATCAAGGATTAAGAGACTCTTCCTTTTATCTCTCTCCCTCTCTCTTCTGCTCCATTTCTTCGCCTTCTCCATGGTTATTTCCCCTTCGGCATTTTCGTTATACCGCATCACTATATCACCGCAATACCTGGCACCTTGCCTGGGTTGACACATTATATCTCATCTCCATCTCATCGGCCTCAGCATCACGTCCTTTCGGTCTTTCGTCTCTCATTCCTATTTGCCCACGGGTCTCTGTAGCATATCCTGTATATCCCCCTCCAAGTTCCCATCCACGATCCATGATTCCATGATGTAGCATTACACTCCCGCATAGCCTTTAGAGTATATAGTTAGTTTATGATCGCAATTCAACGGTCCAACACGTCCAACACGTCCAACATCTATCTACTTAGTACTGGTTCTTTGAGCACCCGTTGATGTCGATGCACGCGACACCCGATTCAGAGCGGGTTGCAAGAAGATCGGCGAGCCCACAACTCGTTTCCTCGACCCCCGGATCCTCTTATATCATGGGCCAACCAGGAACTTACAGCTGGGAGCTTTCTTGATTTATAGAAAATCTAGATACCTTGCATTCTGCCTAAGACTACACGTGGACGAAGAGCTATGGATACAAAAGTAGACCTGGTAACGGAAGGCGGAAGGATTTCGACGAGCACTGTGCCTATGCATATACATATAATTCGAAAAAAGCACCCCTCTTCTGGCCCCTAGTGGCCAACGGAAGCTCAACGGGTCCTCTGACCTCGAATCCTCTGGTTTCGAATTCTTCGACTCATATCGGGTTGCCCCTCGCCCCAGCGTTCACCAGGCACTGCTCGACGGTGTCCAGGAGGACCGGGTTCTCGAGCGCCGCAGCGACGCGCTCTTTATCGTTAAGCTGCTTGTTGACTACACAGGCCACATGCATGTATGTGCAAGTAACGACATCCGGGGAAGTAGTAATCCAGGGAGGAGAGGTAGTAATCCAGGGAAGGGAAAGGGAGCAATCGTGAGCCGATCCTCTTCGCGGGAGGGAATGAATGGAAAGACGAAGGGCTGCATTGACGCACCTGCGTTCTCGCTCTGATGCGACCCGGGCTTGACGAAGATGTCGACTTTGAACCGCTCGGGGAGGCTGCGCAGAAGGCGGACGCGGATGCAGAGGCCTGGAAGGAACGACGAGGAACGACGTCATATTGAGATGAAGAACGAGACGAGGGAAGGAGAAGCGGGGCGGGTGCTGTGCACTGTACGCACCGATGAGCGTCGACATCCCGCAATGGGGAACCGTCGGCGTGAACTCCACCTTTACGTGGTTCTGCCCGAGGGTAATCTGCGGCGCCGAGACGACGCGGAGCTCTTCGAGCGTGTTCGGATGCTCAGGGTCGTATATCGAGCGTATGAGATCTGTCCGAGTCCAAGGTCAAGTCCAAGGTCAAGTCCAAGGTCAAGGAAAACAGACATGTCAGCAACTATGCATCTCGAAAGAAGAAGGAAGAAGACCCAGCCAGCCAGGTCCGCGTACCGAAAATCTCCTCCTGGTCGATCGCTTCTACCACTTCGTCAGCATCGTTCTCGTCGTTCTCGGGGTCATCGTTGATCCAGAGTGAGTGCGGAGATAGGTCCGGCTTCTTGCCTGACTTTGAGGTGGAGAAGACGACGGGGTTGGGGTTGAAGATCTCTGCGGGCATCGTCGTTGGTGGATGTGGTGAGAGGTGGTGGTCGATGAGTAAACTGTGAATGGGAAATCGCGGGCCGGGAGTGGCGCAGAGGTCATACACAGCCACCGGAGGTACTCTAGAGATTACGAAAAGCGAGCATGAATCTCAACACTACGATTTCTGGGGCTAGTGAATAGGCTTCAATATTTGGTAATATATAGGGAGAAAATTTAGGGCATTCCTGTTCGTCGTCTTCGCATACCACAATTACTAAAAGTTAAACTTGAACACCTTGAGTATCACTGCCATTGTCAGCAGTCGAAGCTGGTGTCTCCGTGCTGGTGCGATCGACACCGCCTTCATCTCCCCACTTCAGGTACCATGTCGCTTTCGGTCTTGAGAATGAAGGTTGCAACTTGGAGTCCAACTTGGGCCAGATGGGATAGCACCATTTCCTTTTCGTGTGGTCCCACCCAACAGGTTTACGAGCGTAAATGGGTAGCACCGATTCTTGCAGCTTGTTCTTTGTCTCTCAGTTTCTGGAAAGGAATATCCTCCGGTACAGACTCAAGCCATGCTTTACCCCAGGCATTTTTGCAACTCGAAGGGTGAAATCTGAATGCAAGCGTTGATAGTTAGACAGAGAGAAAATGTATTACACATGCACCGCTTGCCATATCGAAGGAGTGGATCTCTTGTCGCCATTCGTCTGCCCAATGTTTGAAGTCAGCAGGTCGACTTCACAACGCTGCGAGATCTTCAGAGGCTCCTCTACGAGTATATCCGGGACAGTATGCTACAGGTGAAATGAACTTTCAAGAATGTGAAGCTGCATGGGTCCCAAATACGTACCGCAGCAAGCACCATAATGCCTTTAATACCTGGCTTGGAGTCACTTTTTACCCAGCAGTGTATTTGATGGCGATAGATGAACGATCTTCGGGAATCCTCTGTCGAAAATGCCTCCAGTATTTCGAATTACAATTTGCAGCATGCACACCTTACGATCCAGGGTTTTATTAACCTCCACAGACATGCCGTATTTCGCTTGAATATTGGAGGCGGGAAGTTCACTGGCTTCCCGTCGTGTAAACCCAATATTGTCTCCCCAGTAGCAAAACTTCTCGCTCTCTCAATTACAATCCATTTGCAGAGACCCCACACGCCAGATCTCAGCTGCTTTGAGGAAGGAGAGTGACTTTAGGCTTTGTTCTAGACGCACTTGTCCAGGGTCTTCGTCACTGGTCACAGAATAAGTACCGTGCTCTATTCATGTAAAAACAAAGCGACGCTTACAGATATTCAGTTATCAAGTACCTCAAACTTTTGGCAAGGAAGCCCAATGATCCCAGAACGCGGTCGATCTTGGTTGAATCATCGCTGCTGACCTCGAGATGGGAGGTGGCCGTGAACGTTCTGTCACCATTCCGATCGTGAAAGAAGACCTTCGGGGTTTCTTCGTATTCGGAGGATACAGCTAGTGTGTTGCTTCAGCGACTATTCATGATATACACATTAATTAGATACCTTGCCCGCTGTTACGACATGGACGAAGTTGCCGTTATCTTTGGAGCTCTTTAGAAACCTTACGGTGACGTCTGTTTTGTGTATTATTCCCGTTGGAGCCGCACCCTGCGCTGCCAATGGCGGCCGCGGCCGCGCGAAAGGGCGTCCTGGGTCTTCTTCATGGGGGTCTCTGTGCCGCTCAGGTCGTCTTTCTGCTGCGCTTCCATTATCACCCTGGACGTGAACACCATCACGTGGGGCGTCTCTTCTAGAAGAGCTCGCCCTCTGTGTGCTGCCGCTAGGTACAGCATTTGCATTGGATCTGTTTTGCGTATTGTCCCCCGAACTGTAGCCCTCATGCCTGGGATTCCTACGGTGTTAGTTAATCTGGCGAGGACACAGCATTAATTTCTTACCTCAATCGAGAAGGACAGGAAGGCCAAAGAATTTCGCGAGCTCTTCGGACATCCTAATGAGCGACCGTGATAACTTTCCAAAGATGGTCAATGCAGCTGACTCCAGAGTCAACATTGATGGAAGTGGGCCCTCGGCTCTTGCGGAGCCTGACCAGGAGTTTATTGTCGTGATTCTTCTCAATCCATGCCTCTGCCGAGTCAGAATCCCACACCGAAAGTACGCATCCGGTGTTCCCAGTCTGATCAATGGGAGGAAATTTGGCTGGTGCCCTAATTGATTGAGAAGCCAGATGCTGATTTAGCTGGAGGGATGTTGGTATAACCGCTAGACGCCCACCTGTTTAATTCATCTTCTAGAGGTGGCCGACAAGTGACAAATGCGACCTTGGAGAGCTCTTTCTCGAGCGAGGACCTCCCCCACAATTTTGGAACATCAAGACGATTGCTGGAAGTTGGCTGGAAGTACCCTCTGAATTTCTGCGACCGCCTTCGTTGTTGAGATTTCTGACGGGGGAGAGACAGCTCTCTCTCAAATCACTGTGTCTGAGGCTATTGAAGAAGGGATGAATGTAGGTCATCTGGCGCCTGGAATGTGGTCATGTTGGTAGAAAGTTGGCGGAAACCAGAAGGCTACGGGCCGTGTCTCGGGGGTCACGAAGTCACGCGGATGAGCCCGTCGCGTCTGCACCTCATTTTCGCCTCGCTTTGTCCGTCGCTGGCTGCCTATCTACCATCCGTTCCGCCACTCTCTCACTCGCTCGTGCTCGGAATAAATGCCTCCAAAGGTAAGACTTCTCTTCCCTGGTTATCATCAAGAAGAACAATCCCGAGAGCTGACTCTGAGGCTTCCGAAATTCGGAACAATCTTGTCTCCCAGCGCAAGCAAACTGACGATACCTCTGCCGAGGCGACAAGTTCGACGCGTTCGACGAGGGCGTCTGCGAGATCAGGCGCTAAAAATAGTGGAGAGGGTGTGGGCTCCAACAAGGCGACTGGGAAGGGATCGGCGAAGGCGACTGCTAGGTGCGTGTCGTGGTTAACGAGAGGCGCGTGGGTTAACCTTCTTGATTACGGCGCCTCGTGCCACACAGCACTGAAGATGACGCGATGGACGTGGGCGTGAGCGGCACTTGAGCCCTTGGAAGATTATGTGACTCACCGAGTACTGACGACTTAGGCTGCCCCTGCCGCGAAGAAAGCTAGGACCACCGCCACGGCGACCAAGAAGAAAGTAGGAGGCGCAAAGGGAAAGAAGGCAAAAGGGTGAGCGGATCCGCTTCGTTTGTCTTTCTTTCCTCCCTGTGCTCTTCATTCCACCTCATCCTCGCCTTGCTCTTCGCCACTGTTTTCCTCATCCTCGCTTGTGCTCTGGATATTGGTTTCCATTTTTGGGTCCATTTCAGGCCCTAATCACTTCCTTGCTTACATAATCATCCTCTTTCCCTTGCGGATTTGTGTGCACCAAAACTCCGTCTCAGAGACACACCTTGCGCTCCGCCGTTAAAGACCCGCACCGTTCACGACCCCCTCTTTCTTGTTCCCGGGCCCTCACACTATTTCCTTTGGTCTTCCTACCTTTCTCCCTTTGTACGACCATCCAAGGCCCTTCCTCGTCGTTGGAGCTTGTGGATGAATTACCCATGCCCTTTTTCTCCTCGCTGCTCTGCTGCTCTTCTAATCACGTAAAAAACGCACACAGCGACGACGCACCGGTAGAATCAGGTAAACTCGCTTCTAACCATGTACGTGCACGTCGTCTCCTCACTCCATTTCTCGTGTCCTGACCATATGGGTATGCAGGAACTACCTGTTATTAAAGTAACTGACTCCAACTCCGCCATTACCGCGCCTGCTACCATCACCACCACCGAAACACTTCCATCTGCCATCCCAGCAGCGCCAGCACCCAAGCCCCCCCAGCCAGCGAAGAAGTCAGGGAAAGCCGAGCCATACACAGCGCAACGTGCGTTGGACCTGTTCAGCGCCTACGCCGACGTCGACGACACGGGCGTTATTGGCCCCGAAGGCTTTGAGCGGTTATGCACGGACGCGGACATGCCGCTCGATGGCTCGCGCCCGATTATCTTCGCGTGGCAAATGGGTGCGAAGGAGATGGCCAAGATATCCAAGGAGGAGTGGGTACGCGGAACGACGTCTCTTAGGTGTGTCTGCTAGCTGTGTCGGTTGACGGCCTGAATACACTAAGTTGTGAAAGGGTGTCGTCCGTTCACGCCATCTCGGTGGTCGTGTCCGAGCTGGAGGACCTGCTCGTGAAGGGCAAGCCACCTGTGAAGCCGCCAACGAAGAAGGACGAAGAGTATAACCGGTCGGTGTACATGAGCTATGCGGCGGACCCCAAGGCGGCGTTCCGGAAGCTGTACCAGTTCTCCTTTGCTCTTGTGAAGCCTGAGTACGTCTCTCCTTGCCTTGCTCTCCTCCCCTGCCTCCCTCCCCTGGCACTGGCATTGCTTTGACACCTGCGTCATCATTCCCCGCGTCGCCCCGGTTCATTGCTTAGCACCGGCTTACTGATTGATCATGCTTCTAATAGGCAGTCGAAGAACATTGACATGGACGTACGTTGACAGCCCTCCGGTTCCTTGACGTCGTCGACGTCGGGCCTCGTTTCATTCCCCTTCTTTGCTCAATCTTTCCTCCTTTCTCATTGTTAGACCTCCGTCGCGTTCTGGACGGTGCTGCTCGTCCCAAAGTTCCCGCTTATGGGCGAGGTTCTTGAGTTCATAAGTGTACGTTGCTTGGTGCTTCTGACTTGGCTACAGTCGCTGACGTAGCTTGCGGGCAGGAGAAGCCTGGAACGTATAAAGCCACGAACAAGGATCTATGGAGCATGGTTCGTCTCATCTATCATGGCCCGTCCTTGCTTGCTTCCTTCTCATCACACTCCAAATAGATGCTCGAGTTCTGTGAAACGGTAAAACCTGATCTATCGAACTACGAAGCTGACGGGGTGAGTCTCTTACACTAACCTAACTATCTGCTTCTAACACGGCAATTAGGCATGGCCTACCCTCCTTGACGACTTCGTCGCCTCGAAGGGCGTCCAAGCTGACACAGGGAATGGAAGGGCGGACGGAGACGATTGAGCCTCGCTGGCACCATTACGCGTTCGCATTACCCATCATACTCCAATTTATTGATTCTTCGCTATTCCATTCCAACAACCCGAACTTTGTTCGCCATTACCATGTCGGACTCATGCCATCCATCCGTTCGTTTCTATTGCTCATTTCTCATCGATCTTCCATTGTCCATCGCTTTACTCTCCTGCATGTCATCGATCTTCCACCACTTAGATTAGAGTCTCGTTGCTGTATCATAATGATTCGCTGAGAAACGCCGTCCTTGATACCCAGAAATTTCCTGCCTTCGTCGAAGAGGGTTTGCATTCAGGACCGTGCAAACACGGTGACCTTCCGAAGCAAGCCGGTGGTAATGAAGATATATTAGCAAAAGGGTACCTACTTAATCACCAGAAGCACAACAATAAAAAAAGCAGTTTTAACATTCAGATAGCAGCATGTAAGATCAGAGGAACGTAGCAGCATCAGGGTATCATAACCACCACCCCCACCTCACACATCGTCCTCCCAGTAGATCACTGCTTGCCACTCGCCCCGATGACGGTGATGAGGCCACGGATACTCGCACGCCAGTTGTCGCCGTACAGGAAGCGAACGAGCCCGCTGGAGAATTGCCAGCTCCAGTGCAACGAGCGTAGGGGGTAGTCGAGCACTCTGGGTATGCTTGTTTGGATGAACGATGGCCATCTGTCGTAGATGATTGCCTTTGGATTCGTTAGAGAGCGGAGACCTTCTGGGCCGCCTGTCAAATAAGAAATTGGTAAGAAGCATGGAATACTAGATAGGTTGGGTGGAAGACGCACCGAATCGTCCGTAACCGCTGGCCTTCGTGCCACCGAAGGGTAGGTCTTGGCTAATAAAGGAACGAAGATGTCAGTAGACTGAATACTTTAAATGCGAGGAAACTAACTTGATCTAGATAGCTTGTCAGCCTTTGTATAATCATAGAGCAAGATAGACTTACGTAGAAGACACCGAAGTCATTGACTGAAACCATTCCACACTCAAGCTGCTTCGCAACTTTGATGCAATCCTCTTGGTCAGGACCGAAGACGCTAGCACCAAGGCCATATCGTGTTCCGTTGGCAATCTCAACAGCCTCCTTGACAGTCTCGTATGGCATGATCAGAGCAACCGGGGCAAATACTGTTAGGTTCATATCAACAAAAAAAATTGACGAAAAACACGCATATAAAGACTCACATTCCTGGTGCGCGATATCCATTGAGTCGTTGACAAGCCCAACCACCGTCGGCCTGAAGTAGTACCCATTCTCATGATATACATGCTTGTATTCCTCTCCGCCGACCACGATTGCGCCACCCTCGTTCGCGTCTTTGATGAGCCTCTCCAGACCGCGGAATCTGTCACCCGAAATCATAGAACCACCCTCAACAGTGGCGAGGTAACCAGCCTGGGCGGGCGCCATGACGGACCCGACGCGCATCTTGGAAACTACTTCTTCAAATATGTCGAAGAGCTCGTCGTACTGCTCAGAGTGGACGATGATGCGCTCAATACCGATACAATTTTGGCCCATGTTTTGGCTGGTACAGAAGTAAGAACGCGTTTAAGAAGGAAGACGGGAGATAAATTTACTAGACGCCGCGAAGCAGAAGAGGGGCCCATTTCTTTAGGTCAGTGTTAGGGAGAATGATAGCAGGGTCCTTGCCACCGAGTTCGAGCGTGACGGGGGTAAGATACTTAGTGGCAGCCATCGCAACCTAGACAGAGGATCTCATCATTAGAATTCTCTATGCAGAAAAAGTGCCGCATACCTTGCGTCCAACAGTCTCTGAACCAATAAAAGTGATATGTTTGATATCCGATGACGCAGTAAGCGCTTCCGCTTGCTCAGGGTAGCAGCAGACCACCTGGACAATTTCTGGATCGTGTCCGCATGCCCTGAGGCAGTTGGAGATAGCGCTAACGAACCAAGAGGTCGACCAAATAACGTGTTCAGAACATTTCAGGACGACAGAGTTTCCTGCGAAGAGACCAGCAACGATAGGTGACCAGGCGTTGTGCAAAGCTACAAGATGAAAGGTAAGAAGGTATCTCCACAGAAGGAAGGGGATGGTGCGCACGATAGTTCCAAGAAACGATCGCGGAAACAACACCCAGTGGCTCATAAATAACTTGCGACTTCTTGTAGAACATCATAAAATTTGAGCGTCTCGTCTCAGGTCGTAATGCGTCTTCTCCGTGTTTGATTATCCACTCCAGCTTTGAGCAGGTCGTAAGAATTTCTCCAAGAGCAGCATCAATCACTACCATCCCCTCGTCAGTAAGTCAAAACCCAATTCACGTCGCCACGCGACTTACACGTCTTTCCCGTATCGCGACACGCGACCCTCGCACACACCTCTTGGTTGTCTACGAGCCACTTGAGGAGACTCCGCATTACGCGCCGACGTTGCTGAAAAGTCGTATTCTTCCAGGTCTGATGTGCTTTGCCTGCACGAGCGATCTTGCGTTCGATTTCCTCTTCGTTGTCCGCGATATACGTGCCAAGATGCTTGCCGGTCGAGGGATCAAAGGAGGTGAGGTATCGGCGTCCGGGAAGCGGCATAGGTGGTAGCAGGTCTGGATTGCTCAAATGCGACTCAAGATGCGGCTGCTCGAGGGTTATGGACTCCCAAGTTGGTTCGGCGGGCTGTTCGTACGCAATGGAACGATTTCGTGTCAACTCGTGAGTGCAAATGTGTACTTCAATCGACGCACATCGGGGAATTTCCATTCAAATGGCAAAGCGCTATTATGTCTCTTCTGGTATCGTTCGAAGACAAGGTAGATTCCAAAGGCGAAGAACAGCGAGATGGGGTAGACAGCATCGATGTTGCGTTTGGAGTCGGTATTCGTACCCAACTTCATCGTCAGGTACGGATGGTTCATGAGGGCTATTAGGGCATCCATGGCGGAGGGACCCACAAGGAGGGGAGAGGTTGAGCGTCAAGGTGAAGATTCCAAAATTCAACCGAACAATGGACACGCGACTTTCGCGAATTGGGCACACGTGACCAAGTCAAATCATTGCGGCCCATTGCTTTTCCGCCAACTTTTTACCGACTACGACCACATTCGAGGCTCCAGATGTCTTACATCCATCTCTTCTTCAATAACTCCAGACTCAGTGGTTTCAGAGAGCTGTCTCTCACCTGCCACGGTCGCAGAAGTTCAGAGGGCTCTCCTCCGAGCAATTGTTTCGATGTTCCAATTGCGGGAGAGGTCCTCACTCGAGGAAGAACTCTCCCAGGCCGCATTTGTCGTTTGTCGACCACTTGTAAAAGGTAGCTAAATCAGCATCTGGCTTCTCCATCAATTAGAGCACCAGCCAAATCTGACGACATTCCTCCCATTGATCAAACTAACGCAGGATGCGTACTTTTGGTGTGGGATTCTGACAGGGCCGAGGCATGGATTGAGAAGAATTATGATCATAAAGTTTTGGTCAGACTCCGCAAGAGCGGCGCTGAGGGCCCACTTCCTTCAATGTTGACTCTGTGGGACATTATCACGGTCGCTCATTAGGATGGCCGAGAGGCTTGCGAAGTTCTCTGGCTTTCCCGTTATTGTCCGCCCGCTCGAAGATTATCCTTTGCAATTGAGGTAAGAAATTGATTCTGTGTTCCCACTGGATTAACTGGTGACACCATCGTAGGAATCCCAGGTATGAGGGCTATAGTACTAGGGACAATACGCGAAACAGATCCAATGCAAATGCTGTACCTAGCGGCAGCACACAGAGGGTCAGTTCTGCTGGAAGTGACGCCCCATGTGATGGCGGCGTTCACGTCCAGGGTGACAATGGAAGCGCAGCGGAAAGACGACCCGAGGGGAACAGAGATCCCCATGAAGAAGACCCAGGACGCCCTCTCGCGCGGCCGCCGCCATTGACAGCGCAGGATGCGGCTCCGACGGAAATAGTCCACAAGACAGACGTCACCTTGAGGTTTCTAAAGATCTCCCAAGATCATGGCAACTTCATTCAGGTCATAACAGCGGCCAAGGTATCTAATTTATGCTGTATACCATGAATAGCTGCTGAAAGAACATCTCACCTGTATCCTCCGAATGCGAAGAAACCCCGACGGCCTCCTTTCGGGATCGAAAGGGTGTCCGAACCCTTTATTCACGCCCACGTCCATCTCGAGTTCAGGAGCGATGAAGATACCATGGTCGACAACGCTTATGGATCGGTTGGCTTCCTTGCCAAAAGACCGTGGTGTTTGGAGACTGGATATCTGTTAGAGTCGCCTTGTTTTTACATAAATAGAGCGCAGTACTCATTCGCGACCAGTGACAAAGACCCAGGGCAAGCGCGCCCAGAAGAAAGCCTAAATTCACTTCCCTCTCTGGAAACGTCCGAGATCTGGGGTGTAGACCGTCTACGAATGAATTGCGATTGGGCAAACGAGACATCTGGCTACTGCGGACTCAACACAAGGATTACACAACGGGAAACCAATAAACTTCTAGCCTCTCGTATTCAGGTGAACTATGGCTTATCCGTGGAAGTTGACACCCTGGACCGTACGGTGAGCATGCTCGAAATTGTGATTCCAAATGATGGAAGCGTTCAGCAGATTCCCGACGTATTGTTCATTTATCGCCACCAAATGCATTGCTGGGTAAAAAGTGACTCCAGGCCAGGTATCAAAGGCATCATGGTGTTTGCTACGGTACGTATCTGGGTTCTGTGGCGCTTCACATTCTTGGAAGTTCACATCACTCCTAGCATATTGTCCCAGACATGTTCACCAAGAAGCCTCTTAAGATCTCGCAACGTTGTGAAGTCGACCTGCTGAATCCAAACAGTAGGCAGACGAATGGTTCCAAGAGTTCTACTGCTTCGATGTGGCGAACGGCGAAGGGTGTGTGTGTGATAAAGTTCGCCTTGTCCCACTGTCAACCTTTGCGTCTAGATTTTACCCTTCGAGTTGCAAAAATTCCTGGGGTAAAACAAGGCTTGAGTCTATGCCGGCGCATATTCCCATCCAGAAACTGGAAGACAAAGAACGAACAAGCAAAGGTGTTACCCATCTACGCTCGTAGACCTATCGGGTGGGACCACACGAGAGAGAGATGGTGCTATCCCCTCTGGCCCAAGTTGGACTCCAAGCCACAAGATTTGCCACCAGGGTCCAAGGCGAGATGGTTTCTCAAGTGGGGGGATGAGGACGGTGCCGACTGCACCAGCTCAGAGACATCAAGTACAGCAGGTGGCTACAGCTGGCGGAGGTAAGGACGTGAAGCCGAATGACGGCAGTTCAGTAATTATGCATATGCTGTGCAGAGACGTCGACGTCCCAGAATACTTTACTCTAATAATATATTTTCTCCCCTCCCGATTTACGATGGTCGATCGAACCTTTCAGCAGATCAGAAAATGCACTATATTGGTTATTGGCTATGGGTATAAGAGGGAAAGAAGATCGCGGTGATGCAAAAATATATATACGAGTCTCGAAAACCATACAGGAAAGACGCAAAAATGGAACAATGAACGACCAGGACGTTGTCGATGTATAATTAACTTTAACGGGTGGTGTGTTGTAGTGGATGATGCGAGAAGCAGGTCAGAAAATGCAAGATGGGGTAAAAATTGTGTCCAAAGTTCGGTGTGTATGAGCAATGGGCGAAGAGGGCCTGCAGAGAAGGGGCGGAACGAGAGGAGCAAAGAACCTGGTAAGCAGGGGCAGGTGAAGATGAAAAGTGTAAAATGACGTCGACGTCCCATGCAATATAAAAGAGCGAAAACAAGACCGTCACCTCCCTCCTCGCTTACTTCGAAGAGGTGGAGACCACCTCCTTGATGCCTGATGTCGAATCTTTCTTCTTGCTGCCGCCGGCGATCTGGCTGATCCTCTTCAAGCTCGCCAAGCTACTCTTCGTCTTCTTGTGGGCCTTCTCGTCCTTCTTGTTGGCGCTCGTCACCTCCGGTGCCGCCTCGCCGTCTTGCGGCGCAGCTGCCTCAGCCTCCACTTCCACCTGAGCATCCGCCGCCTCCTCGTGTGTCATCTCCACTGGGCTCTGTGCAATCCCAGACTCGCCTCCGCCGCCGATGAGCCTGATCGTCGTGTCCGGCGGCGCGTCGTCTTCCTCCTCTTCTAGGACGTGTGTAGAAGTTGACGAAGTAGCCTGTGTCAGCTCCAGCTGAACCTGCGGTACATTCTCTGATGAAGAAGTAACGTTCTGCGGTACAGCGAGCGGCTCCAGCGGCTTCTTCTCGATCGCAGCTGGAACCGAGTCCTCTAGAAGATCAGGGATGATAGGAGGGGCGGGCGACGGGGACTTGGAAGTTGAGTGTTTCGAAGACGCGAGTTGTGTATCAGAAGGCGGTGGTGTCGGCGGAAGAGCAGAACCAATTGTATCAGAGGTCTCGCGACGGATGGGCGACTTGCCCGTCCTCCGTGTAGCCGTGACCAGCCCAACGTCTTCCGAAGCCTCTCTCATCCCAGTCGACATCCGACCCGTCTCTAGGTCCTCCAAAGAGGAATGTCCTGACTCTGGAGGCGACGGGAACGGTGCGATATCGCTAAACGTCGGCAGTTCTACGGGACGTGGTGCAGGTGGTTTTGTGACAGAGATAGTGGGTACGTGAGCAGGAGCCTTGTTCTTCTGTTTGCTGGAAGAGGGTCCGGATTGGGATTCCCGTGAGTGATGATTTAGCGCGCCGACGGTGGGTGAAGGGATGTGTTCATGTGAACTGCTGAGAATAGGTATTGGAATTTCGACCCCTGAGCCTTGTTGCGAGATGTCCACGATATCGAGGTCCTCAGGCTGTAGAAGCGTGGTCAGCGGACACTGAGAGTCGTTAGAGCTGCTGACCTTTTTGTTGACCAGCTCCTCAGGAGGCATAAGAGCTTCGTCCGGTATCACCCCTGCTTCATGCCATTTTCTCAAACTCCGGTCGGCCCATGCCTCCAGCACACTCCAACCACGATACTCGCCAGTGTAATGCAGCCCACCAGCGCCATTGTCGCCACCACCGTCCCCTTGTCCACGACCATTGCCATCGTAGAAGTAATTCTCGTATCCGAGCTCGTCCTCACTTCCCTCGCTGGCATCATTGTTTCCTATTTCGAAACCCTCTCCACTCTCAAGCTCCTCGGCGAAGCTGGCCAACCACTTTGCCCAGCCTGTTGGCCCGTCACCTCTCCACAGCACGACCTTGGTGTCGAAATCGCGTCCGAACACGATAACCTGGCCAGGGCTTCCGCTTTCCGCAGGGTTGAGGTCAACACCGACATAATTTCCAACCTTGTCGGCGATGAGTGGGATCCAACCGCGTTGGGAGTACTCCTTCCTGACCCAATTGGGCGGAAGGGACTGCATCGACTCGCGAAGCTTCAGGTTTGCGCCTGTTGAAGGGTCGTGATCAACTTCTCGCCAGAACCTCCATTCTTCGAGCACGCTCTCCAAAGGAAGGAGGGTCAACCCAAAAAAGAGCCCCTCGGAGCAGCCGGCAGCGGACTCGGCCTCCTGGCCGTCGACGCACAGATATGACTCGCGGACGACGCCAGGCAGCGCGAATCCAAACTGCATCTCGATCTGCGCGAGGTCCTGCGGTAGGATTCCGTAGTTGAGGGTGTCACCGAGTTCAGGGTACTCTCTGCTTAACCAATTGCGGATGCGCGCCCACGACTTGGAGAGCGGCGGGTAGGCAGAGAGTGGAGTGTGCAAGGGGTCCATGTGTGTCGGCAAAAGAGACGAAGAGGCTGGTCGCGAGCCGAAGCCAGCACTTTGTAGCAGAAAAATAGCAGGTTGAGTTGATATGGCTCGTTCTGCTGGTCATGGTAAGGCAGAACTCACGAGGACGGAATGTATCCATATGCACCAGGACCCTGCGGTGGATATGTGTACGTTGCTGGGCTGCGTGCGCTTTCTGGATCTGGAGTGTTCAGAGTGTCGGGGTTGAATGCGTCTGGGTGGGAGGCGAAGACGGGGGACGATGTTGGGAGGGAGAAAGCCTCATGGGTGGACGAAAAAACCTGGCCTGTGCGAGGACGCTGGGGGGTCTTGTCGAGGGAGAAGAGGGAGGAAAGCCAGCCCATGGGTCGAAGAGGCTTGGTGGTGTCAAGTCGCTGGTCGAACACTCCGTGACGCCGACTGCTCTAGGGTGGAAAGTAATTATGTAAGCAACCGTTTCTGCCAAGTCTCCGGCCAGCGTTGGCCACCAACCATATGGCTTTCAGTTCTCGCTCAACACTAACGACTCCAATCACACTCCAGAGCTCCATGAGTTGACTAATTCGTTTATTTCACTGCTCACAAACAGCAGCAGATCACTGTTTTACGCCTAAAGCTTCCCGCCCGTCCCGCCTACAGCGTGCAACCAATCACTCATTTTGCTGACAGACGAAATCCACGCAACTGCAGGCAATTCCATGCACTTTCGAACTCAGCGCAAGCTACTTGCGATCTTCCATCACGACGACCAGCAACGACTCCACCCTATTAGAAGGATGCTCACCTCGGCAGTCAGACTGCGTTTCTCTTCAACTCGACATGAAGCTGAAGCCTGGCCCTCTCGACACTATTTTTATCCACCTGACATGCCTTGACATGGCCCACATCCTCGTGATGGGCAGGATATTCCCAAGTACGCTGTGGAAGGTGCGCGACCTTACGAGCATCTGTGGAGGGCCGTGCTGTCAGATCTAGTGAAGCGTTAAGCGCCGAATGCCTTACTATGACAGCGCCAGCGACCTATACCGCCAGGCCACCACTACACTCGGCGTGTCCTTGGACTTCTACTAGTATCCGCAACATGAAACCCGGTGCGCATTCTGACAGGTCTTCACTCAGGCTATGCACCGAATTCTTCTCCATCTATCCAGTTTGGACGAAGAATGCCAGCTTCGGCGAGGAGAGTCTACGAGGTCATGCGCGCTGACGCCCGAACACAGAAAGGCTGCTGTGGGTTTGTTGGCGAAAGGAGTAAGGCCATCATACCCGCTACTTGTATGATATCGTGTGTGGGTCGGACAGTCGATGAACATTTAAACGCCGACCCCCGCCCGCCAGTGTCGCGACAGGGCACCATGCCCTGGCGCCTGGGGAGTCAAATGACCGATCACCATGGTTTACCCTCTTGCACTCTTCCTTTCGAATTTGTCAATTCTTCAACCTTGTCATTAGTAGTGTTACTACCTCCGACATGGACATCAGACACTTGCAGATCAAACACCATTCCCCCTCAAATCCAAATGATGTATACGGACAGGATAATAGACTACAAGATCTGCTCTCTTTAAGGCTTTATGCATTCCGACGCATTATCTTCGATAGGCACGAAACCACAACGACGAGCGTCCTTCCTTGGCGGCATGCCAATGCAGGTCGAAAAAGACTTTCACAACCCCGATGCTCACCTGGTCGGTCTCAAGGCTGTCACAGTTGCCAGGTGCAGTGGTTCAGTAGAACCCGTGGTACACATAGGAACGAGGACTTTACAATCGGCGGCGCTAGCGCCCGCCCCAATAATGGAACATTGGGCCACTTGATCAACGAAATAAACAGAAAAGGCCTCGTAGGTTACCTTGGGTGCTGGGACTTTGGACACAACAATGCCTATCATGATTCGACAGCACACTGCATTAGTGCAGATTGCCCCATACACCCTCCCAATATCTCCTTCGAGTGAATCGAGTTCATTAGTTGGTGGTGAGAGTCCATTATCAGCGCTACTCGGTGTCCTTTAAGTTTGATGTGTTCATGTGTACTCTATGTCGGCGCCACTTGGGAAGTTGGCTGGGTGTACGCCGCGTATTTGGGTCTTCTAAATTTAAATCGTAGGCGGCGAGTGACACAACTCAATGAATGGGTGCTGAGCGTTGAGATTTCGAAATTTGAGTTTCCAGTGATGCACGTCCTTTGGAGGCGGTACATGTAAAGACACAACTTCGTCCAAAGTACACATAACATTCTCTTTTCATATCCCCAAAAGATGCTGGCCGTTGGGCCCACTCCCAAGTATAAAACCCACATGATATGCCCCATAACTCTTCGATCGTTCCTGCTCTCAAGTATTTAGCATGGTCCTTACAGCATCTATCGAATACACCTTCGGCACCACGCCAGGATACAATCTAGCGCCATCGATTGACCGAAGTTCGGGCAGCACCCGGCCAACTGTTGGATCGGCTCCAGTCCGCAGACGCCAGGCCGAATATCTTCGGTAAGCAAAGCTGTTCGGGATACCTTCTTATTCCTTTTTTCGTTCTTATACAACGATCGATTTCGTCACAGGTTTATCTTAGCGTGGCAATCTCTAGCCATTTACCTCTTCCATCTCCATGCGTGCATCTCGACCATGGGCACCTCCACCATCTGCTTCCAAAAGCTTCGCTATGCAGCGCCTAACTCTCTTTCCACGTTCTCCGATGTCGAAGCTCAAGCCGATGTTCAAGAAATCTCCGCAGGTTGGAGGGATACGATCACAATCCTGATGCCCCTGTGGAAGCTTGTTCGCATCGCGTCAGCGATCTTCCTTCCGTGAGTGCAGTAAACTATGCAAAAGTCCGTCATAAATATTCAACTCTATGTAACCACCGTCTCTGATTTAGCCTCTGCCTTGCGCTACTCCAGATAGACCCCATTCGAAACAGTCTGGTGTCGCGCACGTTCGCTATATCGGCCCTCATCTTCTCCTTTGACGGCCTTCTATCCAGCTGTGTCTATGTTGGTTTCAAAGATAGGATTTCGTCATCCCAGGTTGCGAAGCGATGGGTAAAGGTGACGTGCCATTCATCTCTGAAGCATCCATCTAAACACGCCTCGTAGCAGGCATCGTCTTCTGACACTTTTGCCAACATCCAAGCGTCCAAATTCTGGGCCGCCATTGCAATGCCTATTTCGTCGATGGGCTGGTACGTACTTACATATGCTCATTTAATGAAGCGCCTGCGTTAATATCAAATGTGATAGGTGTGTGATCTGGTTCATGCTCTCGATGTTCGTTCTCGCGTGGAATACAGATAACATAGACTTCCTCGTGACTTCCTCCAGTTTTGGCATTACTATAAGCGGTGTTTGGCTCTCCTTTTTAGTAACTTTTTCGCTTATACAGCTTGTGTGCGCAGTCCAAGCGCTAATTTTTGCGAGGGAGGACGTGCAGTAAACTTTGACGCCATCCGAGACGCTGATTTCCGTTTTGTTATTTTCTTTGGATGGGCCGTTCGATATTTGCTTGTAAATTTAAGTTGAATTGACAATTATCTGAGCTAGTAGACAATACAGTGTTGATGCGGAATAGTTTGCCTTTCGGGGATTATTTCATTTGCGGAGTTGGAAAAGAGCACTAGGCGCCACACAAAGGGTGTCACGTGTACTAGCAGACTGCGACTTGTTAAGTAACATTGGGCGATATGGGGCTGCCTCAGAGAAAAGGATCACGGCACGGTTAAATTCGGCGCATATTCATATCAACATTATTCCTACCCCTTATATATATAAGGACTCGCCTGGGTTATCTATCGGTGTCTCAGAACCTTAGAAATATCCTAGTACCGTTTCAACATCCGAGTTGCGACTCATTTCGGGACTCCAGGGAACGCGCTATGACCTCCTAGAAGTCATAGAAAATGGCAATGGTTCAACACAGGTAAAGTAAAATGCGCGCACGCGAGATTGGCATGAGGTCACCGTGAGGTATTTATTCGGTAGTACCCGCCGTTGGTGTCTGTCATCCTTCTCCTTCATTGCCTCCCGTCAGCTCATCCGGCCTTTGTGAGCCGAGCCGTGCAGATTGAGATACACTACCCATTCATCGGAGACAGTTGAATACCCTACCTATCTGCAGAAATCCCACCTTGATTTCCTGTACAGGTACTATGCACGTCTGTGGCAAATTCTTGCGCCTGTTCGGCAGAAAGCGTCTGATGCCTTCAAAAGGGTTCGAAATGACGACATTGGTATTGTGAACAGAGTAGTCAGTACATTAGGTGTTGAGGGAGCTGCCTCGAATGTCGACATTACTGGCGCCACCAAGCAGCGAGATGGTAGAAGGCGACATGGAAGTATGGGAGGACGGGGCAGTGAGGCCTTGGTGGTTCTATCAACTGCTCTGAAGTATCTGAAACTCAAGAGGTTTCTTCCGGCGCCTGACCATTCGTGGAACCGTGAAGAACATTCGAAAAGCAAGTGTGATGTCAATGTCAGACAAGCAATCACTTCGATGAGGCAGGGGAACGCTACGCCATCGACCGCGACTCACGAAAAGAGGAAACCTTGAGGAAACCTGTCTGGAGGCTGATAATTCACCACACATATATCACAGGAATCGCTGAGCCACGGCTCGGCACTTGGGTCGTTCGTTCAAAGTCGGATGATGAATTTAAGGACGGAAACATGGACGGAAAGGGTGTCGCATATCCTCTCCCAAGTAGCAGAAAAATGAAAGGAAATGGGCACGAAGATATCGCGACGCTCGGTCTGACCGAAGCCAAACACTGCTCGGGCCGGCCCTGTTTCGGCTTTTCCAATCTTGCATACGGGCCGGTAGTTCCGCACTGGTGATTTCACAACCAACCAACCATGGAGGGCATCCAACCGACTGGGAGAGCCAGAGCCCCGGCATTCCCCGAAACACCCATGTCGCGGCGGGAGCTACCCGTTTTGGCGCCTACTATCAACCTCTCCCGTCACTCAGCCGTTACTTATAGGTAGATAGCACTGGATGTGGTGCCTCTAGAGTTTTATTTTGTTTAAAATCTCAATTCAGCTATATAAAAAACTATCCCACTAACCCTCTGCACAAAAAGTCCCCAAGAAATCAGGATACATGTTGCACGAGCGCCTGCAGGTACTGTCTTTCTGTCATCGGGCTATAGTACTTAGCATAATTGTGTAACAATGGCTATGAAGTAATTTTATTTTTTCCCCTAGAATGAGGGTTGGCAATTCAATCAATGCCTGTCAGCGCGACGCAGGTCCACGGCCCGTTCAATCTGTCCCGTCTCAAAGCGCGCATGGCGCGCAAGTGTAAAATGTCCTATTTGGAGCACTGGGATGACGTCCCCATGGTTGTCTGCGCTGCCGTGGTGTTTCTAAGGAGCACACAAGCCCCCTTCTTTCCAATTTTTTCTCTCGTTTTACACCCAGTACATTGATCGGAAAATCAGAATATTAGTGGCAGGCACAGGAAACAGGACCGCGCCTCAAGCGCGCCAGCTCTTTGCCTGAAGACTTCAATGTTCAAACGTCCGCAAACACCGTATAGTAAGGTAAGCTATTTATTTATGTAAACGACTTGAATAGCATCGTAACTACATAACTCTTTTCCCTGCTCTCGTACTCTTGCCGCCCTCTCCACCTACCCAAGACCGCCGTCCACACTCGCAGCACGATGCCGTCACGGTGCTCACGAAAGGTATGTCCCCCCATCTCCAAACGCCCGCGACCGCCGCCTAAAGTCTTCTAGACACGAAACACGTCGGTGGTCTTGGATAACGGTAGCCAGGAATGGTGTAGAGGGTGTTGAAGGCGAAGGACACGGCGACGGCGAGGATCTACAGGCAAAGTCACTCAACTTGGATAACTCATCTAAAACGAGCTAACGTACCTTCGTTATCACGCCGCAGCTCGCCCCCGAACGTCGAGCTCAACCCTCCGCCCTTCATTTAGAAGACGAACCTAAGGTAAGTCTTCATCATCGAGCACGAGACGAACCACTTACCGTCTCTTTTCCCCGTCCCTACAGCCTTTCGTTGCCACTATACATGACATCCAACACCTCCCGCCGCTGTCCAACACCACGCAGACCACGAATCCCAGCGGTGCCGTCGATGGAGACCACGTATAGCTAGGACGAACGTAAGTACTTTCTCGTATACCCACAGACGGAGAACTCACCCGTACGACATCGTTCGCCCATCGATACCGCCATCGTCGTCCGTGGAGAGGATCTGGGAAGATGCGGCGAAGGAAGGAGAAGGCCTCGGGCTGCGAGGGAGGGTGCCGAGGGCGATGCCCAGGAGCCTTCCTTCGCCGTTCAAACCCACGAAACCCGCTTATACGAGGCCCAATCAACGGCCTTGCACGTGTAACGCTCCCCAACGTCGAAGGAGGTGGTTCTGCAGGCGGTGTAAGTGCGGAGACGAGTGCGAAGCCTGGACATAAGAGGTGAGTACGAGGCAGGTCTGTACGCACGAAACGAATGTGGACTTACCCTATCCACCCCATTGAACGTAGGCCACCATGCACCATCGACCGCGACAGCTTACGAGCTACGCCCCACGTCCAGCACCCCTCCGACTCGTCCGGGTCATTGACGTTCGCCGATGGGATTGACGTTGGGTGGGTGGTTGACGAACGAGGGTGTTAGGGAGAAATCTAAGGGTTATATGTAAGTTATGTATGTCCTTCATGAATGAAAGAGAGGCTTACTTACTTTGTTGTGGTGCTATCCACCCACCCACGCCGTCGTTGTCCATGGCGAAGACGATAGACAACTCGTCCATGGACGAGTTCGACGGTGAAGAATACTATTCTGGACCTGATGTTCGTCAGGACCCTATGTTCGTCAGGTCACGTCACTGTCACCCATCGCTAATCACCAGTTTCCAAGTCCGAGGCCTGACGAACCTTTGTGTGAGGCAGCGAATTAAGACGTGTTCGTCGCTTACGTATCGATGATCCCATCTTGCCGAGCTACCGGCAGCCCCATCATGCGTGACAGAGAGCCCAAAATTTGACCTCCTTCATAGCTCCTTTCTTCACCCAAAAATGCCTCTGCAGTATGCGTAATGGTGTGTCCTCAAAAGCTGCAAAATTTGGCAAAGATTGGTGGTCGCGGTGGCAAGATTCTGGGGGGGTGACGAACATAGGGTCCTGACGAACATCAGGTCCAGAATAGTAAGTCTTTCGTGGTCGACACGAACGCCGCCGACTCCACAGATCAGCGACCTGCTATCTTTGGACGAAAAGCTTAGTCAGGGTCGCTCGTCCCCACCCTGACTAATGGATTCCCACACCCTGTGATCTAATCGGCATGATCCGTCACTGAGCCCAAGGCTCCAGGCTCCGGGCTCCGGACTCTCCCAACCGGCTGGATACCCTGCAACCAACATGACACCCGAGTCGCGTACGAGCGCCATTCAGATATCGAGTACCTTTGTCCTAGACCTCGTATTGGCAAGTTGGTATGTCAGTTTCCCCCTGAAGATGTCTAGCCCTTTCTGACGCGTCTCCACTTCACACGTCTGAGCAGCTGGAGTCATTCAGCAGTGTAACTCGGCGAGATCCCTTGCCATGCGCCGTCAAGAAACTGAAAACACTGTATCTGCATCCCCTGTGTTCCAACAAGCAACCTTACCATGCGGGCGAGTTGTCCAAAATAGGCTCGTTAAGGTGCGTCTCCCTTGTTCACGAGCTCAATCTCGACGTTAAGCTCAATGCAGGTAGCATTGTATGAACACCTTGCCACCTTCAACGGCGGGCCTCCTAACACGTATCACCACGACCTGTATTCCGAATGGGCAGCGCATGACTGGGGCATTATCATAACGGGAAATGTACAAATTGCGCCTGACCATCTCACCGTTGGACGCGACATGGTCGTTCCTCCGTCGGTTTTTTCTGGCCATGTGATACAGGAAGAGCTCCGGCCTTTCGAGACGCTCGCGAGTGTGATACACGGAGTTGTAGCTCGGAAGGATGAAAAGCGGAGTGGTGGTGGGCAAAAGAACGGCACGTTGGCGATCATGCAGCTTAATCACCCTGGTCGACAATCGAGCAATTTCATGGGTGGTCGGATGCCTTTGCAAGCCCCGCTGGCCCCAAGTGCTCTCCGGGTTAACTCCGGGAGTAACGAAGGACTCGTGTCAAGCATAGTCAATGCTAGCTTCTTTCAAACCCCGAAGGAAATGTCAGAAGCCGACATTCTGGAAACCATAGAAAGATTTACTCGAGCTGCCGTGCTGGCTCAAGAAGTTGGTTTTGATGGCATTCAGTTACATGTCGCTCATGGATGTGAGTGTGTTGTTTCATCCTTTGCGCTTGACTGATGCTATTTTTCAGACCTGCTCTCTCAATTCCTTTCACAGAAGGTATGCTTACTCTACTTTGCTTTTCTCCAGAATATTCATCTTCGGCCAAAAATAGACGAACAAGCGAAAAGATGCCTACTCCTACACCAATGCACTTGATACCATCATCAAATGTATCGTCGATCAAACACGCGCATGCACTCGCAAAGATTTTGTTGTCGGCATCAAGCTGAACGCTGCGGACTACACCTCTCCGGACAGTAGCGACTCCGTGGAGTCTTCACTTACGAATGGTGAACAGCAAGCTCTGAAGCACCTGCTTGCAATTGCGAGTTGGGGGACTGTCGATATGGTAGAAATCAGTGGAGGAGACTACGAGAAGCCAGGTGAGTCAGGATTTTAGAATTCGATTTGTCCTTGTTCTGAGAGCCCGAAAAGACTTTATGAATGCAGAGAACTATACCTCGAAATCCGCAAGACAAGCATTCTTCGCGCGATTCTCACATCAAGCTTTGCGTACACTTTCGAGTGTCTACCCGAGTCCAAGTGCAGGCGCGACAGCATCTTTGACTCCGCCACTGCAACGACCCCTCATCATTCTCACCGGCGGCTTACGCACACCCCGACTCCTTCACTCCGCTCTCGAGGCCAAACACGCCGACCTTCTGGGCATAGGGCGAAGTTCCATCCTCTGCCCCGACCTACCTTCGCTTCTCCGTGAGAAGCAGCTTTCCGACGACGAACCTTTCGCTGCTCCTCCCGACCTTCGTTTGCCTACCACCCTGTCGCTCCCGCCTCTCAGCTGGCTGTGGGCTCTCGTGCCGAAGGTGAAAGTGATCGGTGCTGGCGTGAACATGGCCTGGTACGTCGTCGCAATGCGACATATATCCGAGTCTAGGGAGCGGACGGGTGGAAAGGGCGCGGTCAGGCCTGATTATACCATCGGTGGACTAGGTGGCCTATCTTGGATGTGGGCTTGGACACCCTCGCATCCTCGTGGGCGTTGGACGATTCCCTTCCTGTTGGTTACTCTCGTAGCCTTAGTGGCATACCTCTCGCCCCATCCTTGAGGCGTAATGCCTTGAAGAATACGAACCCTGTTGCACGAATTGTCGACAAATGTGTGCTTACCGCAGGTGACTACATACGTTTTCCTATTTGACAATTCTTGACAGGCATTGTTAGCTAGCGCCCAATAAAATAAAGCTGACATCCTGCTCGACAAGGGTCCGCTCCCATCAGGAAGTTTCACCCTCAAATGTTTCCATAACGTATACCCTAAAATATCCTTACGCTATCGACACAAGCAGGAAGACGTAACGTGGCACGCATGAGAGCCCGAGCCTCCCACTACCACTCTTCGTTAAATATACCCTGCGCTCTTTCTGGCTTCCTTACCAAGAATCATACCCCTTCGAAGGACTCACCATTAACAATAAGGCGTTGTTGGCCTAGAATTTCGGGAGCCAAACTGCTACTAGCACCCCGCCCGAGTCTTCGCATCAAGCGCCCACCCGTCGTGACACTGGCGCCTATTCATTTCCGCAATCTGTCAATTCTTATAGTCAGTTTGATATGATGCACGATTTGCAATTGAATTATTAGCTAGCACTTAAATGCCATGGATATCATGCTAGGGAACACTTTTCCGACTCCTTCGCCCGAAGCAGATTTTGATCCTCGACTGTCCTTGAACCTATGCCTGGCATTAGATCGATACAGACAGAAATTTGGGTCGGACACACTTCATGTCGTGCGTGGAGATCCAAAGATTTTTCCGATTGCATCGAATGAAGTTACGACATATTATTAGCTACGAGGGAAGCGAGCAATCATTTAAGTTTGAATAACAAGCTTTGACGCTGAGCTGGCATTTGTCACCGAATATAGGATTTATCCCCGTTGGTGTAAACGCCCAATACCTTTGACCTTCTGGATGACTGCCAACCGTATTGGCCGCATATAAAATGCTCATGGCGCCAGCTTGCAGGCAGCAGCACTCCTCCCCCCCGATCGCGAAGAGATACCGATGATGCTACTTCATAAATTCTTTGCTCTCTTGATTCTCCCACTTGCCCGTGGGCAGTTGACGAACCGGACGGCATCGATCTCAGACGCAACGACTATAAGGTAGTCTGCCTTTTGATTCAGTTCATTGGTGGGTAACCTTAAATCCACCAGGCGCTCAGGAAGTGGCTGGAATGCTGCTGCAGTCCCTGGCGCTGGGGTACAGTGTGGCGAATGGACGCGAGCTATCGGCGACTCGGCAAGCTTCACATTCACAGGTAGCGTTGAACCTTTTTTTTTCGAGAAACCACGTGCTTTTCTACGTTCTTTTTTTAGGGACGGCGGTCTATGTGATAGGCGACGTAACCTACAATCCAGCCAGCATACGCGCAACCTTGGATGGCACTGATCTGAGCCTCACTCCTCCTGGTCCACTGTTTTGCGATGAAACCGTACTCGCGATGGATGGGCTCGATAATGCGCCTCATACGCTTGTCCTTACCTTCCAAGGTCCCCTCGCCCAACCAGGAGGAAACCCGAACTCGTTGGTTATTCAAAGCGTGATGTGGGTCGCCACAACTCCCGATTCGGTATGATCGGCTCTGGCTAATCCTCCCGCAGTTACACCGTCGACGAAACGCCCGTGACTAGCTCACTGTCATCATCGAGCGCAATACCTACTGCCACCTCCACTGCCGCAAGCAGCATCATCGCGAGCCCAACTGCAAGCGCAATTGTAGCCAACACTACCGCAAGCTCTACAAAGAACACTCGTGCAATTACTGGTGGAGTTGTTGGCGGCGTTGTCGGCATCGCCATTCTCGTCATCGCCTTCTTACAAGCGCATAATTTGCATTACCTGATATCGTCTCTGGTTCGTCAATTATGCGTCAATTATGCGATTTCTCACAGATTTTAACCAGGCTTTCACCGCATTTGGTTGGCTGTTCTTTGGGAGGCGTCGATTGTACTTTCATGCCGACAAAGATGTTGGACCAGTTCAGGTTTGTTTGCCTTTTCGAATCACTTGTTCATTGCTCAGGTTTGTTCTTGCTAGATCTCTGTTTTCTTGTCAAGCCAAGAAGACCTTCAGGACTCCCAAAAGGACGCAAACGAAGTGACCCTCGTTTGGCAGGTATGCTCAATGTTCTTAACGGCTTCGCGAAATTCATCAGTGTTTCCCGGAATGCTAGGTCTTCGACATAGGATATTCACGTAAGTTTTCGCCGAAATCAGCACTTTACGTCAATTCAAACAATGTACAGGGAGACACTTCACTGCTTCATGTCCTTGCACGCTGTTCGTACATCCTGTCTTCGTGGGGTGCCACCGAAACTGACCGTCCTCCATGTTCAGCGATAAGACAGGTCAAACCCAACTTGGATTTGGTACAGTGGAAGACGTGGAGGAAAGTGGGATAACGACCATTAGGTCGCCAGAATCGGCGCGAGCTCCTGTAAGACTCTTCCATTCTGGTTGTCCGTATGGGAACTGCATCACACTTCCAGGCCACTTGGAATGGTGAAAATTTCGAAGATGAAGGTGCAGCAGTCGAGGGAGGTGGCATGACCCTCCAGAACAACGCAGAGGCTACGTCGATGGTGCTTGGTGAGGCTTTGTTCAGTGTCAGGGTGATGCTTTGTTCAATGGTGTTTGTAGGTACCTTTGATTCAACTAGTACGATCCCATTCAGGCCGTTCCTTCGCATCAAGGACGTCGGGTGAGTCGCGTCTATTGAACGTGGCAGCCTCGCAAAGTCTCATCCAACTCACTTCGAACAGTGAGAACCCGTATCCAGCTAATACAGACCTCTATCTGCATATCTTCGTAACTAATGGCTATAAAGGCAAGTACAATTCGTCACCGCCGCCGGAAGCGTCTCAGATATAAGCAGGTGGTCAATATGCTCCCGACCTTGTGTCGAAGTTCGAAGAAGACAGGCTTACCAAGAAAGGCGTCAAGGTAGCTGACCTCAAGCCGGTCTGTTCCTTACCTATTTTAATTCTCAGGATGATGCTGACGAAAATGTCTTAGTTGTCTCAATGGCAAATTCGCAAAGTCGACGGTAAAATACGACTCAAGGTCAGGGGAGGCGCCAAGAAAGAGCTAAGCCAAGTTTGAAAGGGGCTCGCTGGTTGGGAGCGTCTGGCCTTCGCTCTTGCAGGGATTGGACTGCAGTCGACAATCAATTATCTCATTTTCACTCCTTTAATCCATTCTTCCCTTTCTTTTCGGTCTCGTATTCGTACTATAAAGAATACCACTGTTTTACGCGCTTACTTATGTATCACTGAAGTCTCTCTAGCCCGAGTCAAATTTGCAACATTCTTGACGAAGCGCTGCACCCGATTTGCCAGGAAGGTATCGTCTGCCCGGTGCTCCTTCGTCAGCTGGATGCGACTGCTAAACATAATTGAGAGAAGACGAGCATTGTTTTCTGCTTCAAGGGGCAGCTGAGATTTGAAAGGGAGGTAATCGTCGCAGATCAAGTAGACAATCCACTTCATCCGGTGCATCATATACGAATTTGTGACCTTCGTGGTCAACGAGAATTACGACCGCCGTGCAGGAGGTGAAAATATTGTTGGTGCACTAGTGTATGTATAATCAATCCGCAGCATGATGTATTCCAAAAACCAGGGGAGTAGATACAAAACTGTGCAACGATTCACCCTTCCTTTGCGAGCATAATCTGGCCCCCCAGAGTTGAGTAAAGAAGGAAACACCCCTTTTCCAGCGTCATGAGGTCTATGGGTTCAGAAAATAAAGCCTGAGATGTCTTCGTTATCCTCATTGGCCGGCGTTCTATCAAGAGGATTGGATAATCGAGCTCGTAGAAGGATTGCTTAAAACCAACCTTGGCAGCCAGTTTGTAAGAGGACGTAGGCTTGAAGCATTTTGGGAGGTCCGCAAACGAAGAGGTCTTGCTTATTGGGTCTGGAAATTTTATGTTAATGCCGGGTTGAATATTTTCGATCAAGTAGACCATACTCAATAGACCCAAGATCGACGACGGGAGAGAATTCATCAGGTTTGGTCGGGTCAATCGAACCTGAATGAAGGCCTGTCAGCTCCGAACTCGAAAACCGAAGAAGGCATAGAATACATAAGGCAAAACGTTCGTCTGACTTCGTATTATTGCACAAACCAAATGTGTTGGTATTCAAAAGCGGCAGGAGTGGTTCTTCGGTGAGGGTGTGGCTGTCGGTGTCGGCTTCCACTTCATCACTATCCTCGGTCGAATCACCTGCGCTCGACAGCTGTCTTTCCTCGGATTGCAAGATGGCCATATGTCCAGCCTAAGGGCAGAGTTCAGGCAAGAAGGAAAGCCTCCTCATTCGTGAATAACTGACCTTCACTGGTGTCATCAACTCCCCAGGTTTAATCCTGCCATCGTTCCCTTCTTTGACGATACAGAAACCGGCACTACATATGCTCAGTCGAATCAAACCAAGCAGGAAAAGGGAGCGGGTTCACCGATTAAACCAGGTCACATTTCGAGAGACGCGACCTGCAACTCCAGACCTCAGCATTGCTCTGGCCAGCTCACATTCCGGACCCGCGTACCTGCCTTCTCGAAGTGAAGTACCTGAGGAAGCCATGGTAGTGGGTTTCAACCAAGAGCAGGGGCGGGTGAATAATAAACACCTTCCATATAACGGACTCCCATGGTTTTCCGGCTTTAGACCCGGCGGGTGTGAGAGTGAGGACTAGCTAGAAGAGCGAACAGTCGAAACGACTAAATTAACCCGGGTTGAGAGAGAGTGCCGTGTTCGTACAGAAACTGATTTGTTTAGCTTTCTGTCCTTCCTGTCGAGGCGCGTACGTATCAGGAAGGTAGTTTTCTCTCTCTGAGGCTGTTGTGGGCGCTCGGGCGAGGGAACTGGCGGAGGAACCGGTAAGGGAGCTGGCGGGGAAACAGGTTCGTCCTTTCCGTCTCGCTGGCTGCGAGTAGTAATGGATCAGCGGAGGTGGATCGACCGCCTGAAATGCCCGACCTTTCAACAGGAGTTTGGCCCTTGTTTTCCTGGGCGAGTGTTTCCCTCAGCGTTTGTTTCAGCTGTTCCAGGTCCAGAAGCTTCCCCAAGTCGTCAAAGTTTGCCGCAACGATGACGTTCACATTTTGGACGGAGTTGTCATTGTGATGAGTCTGCACGAGCTTGAAGGCGCTATTTTGAATTTGAGCATGACTGGCGCCAGAGAAGAGCTCCATTGATGGCATCGAAGGAGGGAATGACCAGAACGATAGAGAGGATGAATCAACGCGAACGACTTGTGGCCGACTAACCACTGCGCCTAAATAGTAATATGGAAAAAGGTGCCTGACCACTGAACCAGGAGGGCGTTTGTCAAGTGAAGAACATGCGTCGTGTCAGATGTTGAAGAGTATTCAACCATCACATCGATAATGTCGGGGAAGATTTTCTGGGGACCAGACTTCCACCGTGGCATGAGAATATGCGCAAATGATACCTGACAGCAATTCAAAGGTTTTACATTGGTTACTACTCGGAAATGAAGAGTGTAGATTGCGAATGTGTCGTACTTACAAGAAGGAAATGGCCATTGAACGCCGTAGAAGCGTGATACGTGAATTGATTGTGAATGAAATGGACAATCGATTCCGAATTACGACCTCATCTCTCTCGCGGAGAGTGAGGATGGACAGAGTGGGTACGCTCGTCATGTCGTCCGGCAATGCAGACGCGTGTCTTTTCGTAACGGTGCCATAGATCGATAGAGTTAGGAGCATTCTGTTGCCGCATACTCTGCATAGCTGAGAATCAAAGCGAGCTGGTGAAACGGGCAGGATGCCGATAAGCGCCAAAGGGACGCAAGTTGGCCAAGCGAGTGACTGTCAGCTTGGCGCAAACTTGGCACTGTACAGAAGTTATTTAAGTACACAAGGTCGGCAAGTGCCAAGTACCCAGTTGAATGTGAAGTTTCTAGGTCGTTGAATTGTCGTAGCCAATAACTTAACAAACCTTGTCCATGTACATGAGGCCTTGAGGTTTTACGGTGACCAGTGCTTTAGTAGGACAGTGCTGCGGATTCTTAGTCGCCGTGGATGACACGAATTTAGGACGTAAGCATGTTTGCACTCTGCTTTCCGAACGTCTCACCGCACTCGACTTTTAAATTCTTACAGTCACGACAATCTCGTCTTCACACCCCCCTTCGTCGTATTTATATGCAGAGGACGCTTTTGGGCATTCAATTCTTCCCTGAAGACCTCTATTTCAACCACTCGAGCCAATTAATCTCACTAATGGATTATTCATGGCCTCTCCACGTGCAATAACGCAATACAAAGGACCGCGCCTATAAAGCAGGAAAACGCTTTGGATTGTCAGTGGTTATATGCTTATCTTTCCAACCTTTCCAACCTTTCCCGCGCAGAACGATGACTACTCCGCGAGACGTATCTGCGCAATCCGACATCGTAAAGCTGAAAACTGAGCCAGATGGCTCCTTCAAGCGCCCAGATTCCACATTCCGCAACTTCCTCCAGCGCAGTGGTAAATTCCCTCCTGAGAAAGGTCCGTCTCGCTACTTGTCGATGGAGAAGCAGTGCTCATGCTTATGAGGGTTGTTAGACCGGTACCACCTCTATGTGGCGTATTCTTGTCGTATGTCCTACCCTCTCCTAACATAGGCGAACATGACTAAACTTTCATGGTCTTCGTCAGCTTGGGCTACGCGAACGCTCATCGTGAGGAAGCTAAAGGGTCTGGAGGAGTTGATTCGTGCGTCTCCGAGTCTTATCGCGGCACCAAGCCCTTCTAACTCTCCTCCAGCTGTAACCATCGTTTCGCCTCGCATGGACGCCAACGGATGGCCGTTTGCCCAAATCGACCCTTACCCAGGCGCCGAGGAGGACCCCCTCTATAAATCAGAACATGTGAAGGACCTCTACCTCAAAGCCGATCCGAACTACGCAGGAAGGTTCGTCCCAAGTTCCTAAGCTTTCGCCATAAAGCCCTGATATATTTCTCTTTCAAAGATTCACTGTACCTGTCCTCTGGGACAAGAAGCAGCACACAATCGTGAACAACGAGAGTTCTGAGATCATTCGCATCTTCAATACGGCGTTCAACGAATTCTTGCCAACAGACAAGGCTGCTGTAGATCTATACCCTCAGGACTTGCGCCCCGAGATCGATTCTCTCAATGAGTGGATTTACAAGGATATCAACAGTGCGTTCTCTCTTTCGATCTGGCATGGCAGGGACTCAACACCTTTCAGACGGCGTGTATCGAACTGGCTTCGCCACGACCCAAGCTGCGTACGAGAAAGCTGTTTATGAGGTCTTCAATGCCCTCGACCGGGTTGAGAAGCACCTAATTGGGAAAGACTACCTCGTTGGCGACAAACTGACCGAGGCAGACATACGCCTGTGGGTGACGATTGTAAGTGTTGTGAGGCAAGAATAAACTCCTTTGTTTCTGACCTGAGTGGAATTCCGCAGATTCGCTTCGATCCTGCATACGTCGGCAACTTCAAATGCAACATTCGCGACATCCGGAACGGGTATCCTACTATTCACCTGTTCGTATCTTCGCATCGCCTCCGTTGACCGTATCTAATAGTGCTTTTTTTGTCGACTGGTATGCAGGTGGTTGAGGAAGCTGTACTGGAACAACCCGGCCTTCAAGGACTCGACCAACTTCGAGCATATTAAATGCTATTACTGGATGCCGCAAGTCAGTAGTTCCCTGGACCATTTACCAAATGCTTCAATTGAATGTCTGTTCCAGATCAACCCGACTCGCATCTTGCCCGTTGGACCTATCCCTCCGATTCAACCGCTCTAGCTGGAAGCAATGGCTATTTGAAGTCATACTGACGAAAGTTAAAATGCATGTATAAGTTGTACTATCAGGGGCCTCACCAGTATCAAAATCAGTCTGGCACTACCGTCTCCCCCGTTTTCAAACCGTATCTGGAGGAATATAAGTAATTTATGCCATGCCACCAAGGATTGTGTGTATGCTGCAACCGTATCATACAAGAGCATCCATCTAACTTCCACACACCCCAGCTACCATGAACTCTGCGTACTCTCAGAACGTGCCCAAATGGCTCCTGGCCGTAAACTTAGCATCTGTCTTCGCTTTGACTTCATCCAATGTAACGCCCTCCGCCAAATCAATGAGCTCCATCGTCCCCTCCGCGCGATTGACATCAAACACCGCAAGCTCAGTGATGATCGTGCTCACCGCCCGGGCACCAGTGAGCGGCAACGAGCACTTGTTCAGGATCTTGGACTTGCCGTTCTTCGAGCAGTGCTCCATGACGGCGATGACTTTGGTCTTGTCCGGGTTGGAGACGAGGTCCATCGCACCGCCGATGCCTTTAAGCAGCTTGCCGGGGATCATGAAGTTGGCGATGTCGCCGGCTTTGGAGACTTCCATGGCCTGGAGAAATGGGTTGGTTTTAGTTAGAGAGTTGATGAGCGAAGGCTTACACCGAGGATGGCGACGTCGACGTGCCCTCCGCGAATCATGGCGAAAGATTCACTGGAATCTGCGAGGGCAGTTAGGGGAAATACGATTAACCGAATTCCAAGTATATGCGCACCGAAGACAGAGGCTCCTGGAAGAAGTGTAACGGTTTCTTTTCCAGCATTGATCAAGTCACTAAACGCAATTCAATCCTCAGTCAGCACTGTAGCACCAATCACCACAATACACTTCTAAACTTACGCATCGGCCTGTTTCTCCGTTGGGTACGGACCCATGCCTAAAATACCGTTCTCACTTTGCAGCCACACCTTCACACCAGGCTCGAGATACTCTGGCACAAGCGTCGGCATGCCAATGCCCAAGTTGACGTAGAACCCATCCTTGATCTCTTTCGCTGCGCGGCGTGCTATCCGATGTCGTTGAGCGACGGCCGGCGAGAGCGGTTCGGCGGAGGTGTCGCCGTTCTTCGCAAGGGTGTAGATCTCGATACGCTTCTCGACGGTGGCGGGGACGATGCGGTCAACGTAGATGCCTGGGAGGTGGACTGCATTGGGGGACAGGGAGCCGGTGGGGACAATGCTTTCAGCCTGTGCCATCGGTTGAGTATTATATCAGCATGAGAGTATGAATAGAACGCACCTCGACAATGGTAAGTTTCGCGTTCTTTGCCATGACCGTGTTGAAATTGTTGGACGCATAACTGAGGTGCAAGGACAACAATCGGTCAGCTGTCTAGGTTTTCAGAAAGGGCACATACCGGAAGACACAGTTACCAACTTCATCCGCCTTCCAGGCGCGGATGAACGCGACATCTCCAGGAAGCGCAGGTTCCAAAACGTAGCGTTTACCGTTGATCACCCTGGCCTCCTTCGGAATGCCTGGAATCGCGATACCGTTCACTGCTCCTCCTTCGTTGTATCTCTGAGGGATGGAACCCTCTTCTACAGCAGTGTTTGCTCCGGTTGGGGTGAAGAAGGCAGGGATACCTGCCGCATGTGCTCGCATGCGTTCGGCTAGTGTACCTTGTGGGACGAGTTCTAGGGTGATTTGGCCAGCGAGATATCTGGTTTCAAAGTTTTTGTTGCTAGCGGGATTCGAGGAGCGTATTTAGTTCACTTGGAGGGTGATAATTAGAATCTTACTGACCTTCCGGGGTAGGATGCGATGATCCTAGACAGTTGGCCGGTGTTAATCAGCTTGTCTGTAGAAGTATGAACATATATGATGTAAAGATAGGGTGTAAAGCTTACCAAGTCCCAAATCGCCGCCTCCGGAGTTGTTAGAGACTCCAGTGAGTTCCCCGACCTCATCTTTCCGCTTGGCGAGTGCTTCAAGCAGTGTATCTGAACGAGTTGAAGACCATTAGAGTGCTGGATAAGGTCCGCCCGGGTTGATATGCACCTGGAATTCCAGCCCAACCAAATCCTGAAGTGATAAACCTATCTCAGCGGTTCCGCAGCGTGCTAAGGCTGGTTGGGGGAACGTACCACCAACCAGCAGGGTTGTGCCCGACTTAATATCCTTGACTGCATCTTCCGCCGAGTCCCATACCTTCGTCTTTTCCGGGGGGCTGGATCGTATGCTGTATCTTCGCGTGTTCGCAGGGACGGCGAGCAGCGCAGTTATGCGCAACGAGGTCACCTTGGAGGCGGGGTAGACCCTCCTAGATGCCTGGGTGATCCTGAACATACTGGCCGACGACGTCAACGAGCGACGCGTTGCGGGACCCGCGGGGAGGGGCGGGGATGTGAAGGGGAGAGGGGCAAGTGGGAAAGCGGGGAGGGCGACATATATAACACCAGGAGACAAAGTGGGAGACCGCAGAAACTGATCACGCGCATGAGCCGCTAGCACCGCGGCCTCTCTTGTCCCACGCCCAGTTCGTCCCTGCTCTCTGCTCATCTGATAGTGCGCCTCCGACCTTCTTTTCTCTGATATTCGCCATGCTTTTGGTCGCCCTCGAGTTCAACAGTACCTGGGTCCGCAACTGTTCCTCGCTAACCCGATGCACCGTGTCCAAAATCTCGAGGAACTTCCATCCATCGTGAATGCGAAACTACATACCCCACCAGTGCTGTCATCTGGTGATCCGTCGGCTTGGTATCCGATAGTCATTGCGATTGGTTGGAGTCAGCCCATTGGAAGTTGGGCCTGGGATACTTAGCAAACGGACACTCCGTGCGACCTGCTGCGACAGGACGGAAATCCTCACACCTCCGAGAGCAATACTTCTATGAAGCCACTTTCCTTCAATACTGCGTCGATCCCTTGCCACATCTACTTGTCGACTTCCCCCATGGATTTCCGTGCGTTGTACAGTACATGTTCTCATAATGCATGACCTCATGTTGCATAATTCTAATACAGTCATCCACCGGCCAATGAGACACCACCGGCTAATGATACACCTCGGAACACCATGAAGGATTCAACTGTTTGCTTTGAAAAAATAACCCCATTCTCTATAAGTCTTTAATACATTGTGTATAAAATTTTGTGGGTTCTGGTGAAGTCAATGCCCGGTAATAAAATCACCAAAATATTCATTTTGGTTGATTTTGTCACACCAGTCACTGGTACAGCATCTCTGGCTGTTTCTGCTCACGTTTGGTTGATTTTATGGCATACAACTGGTATAAATTTATTTTAATGGCTCTATTACACTGATTCCAAGTGGTTTTATGAGAATCCATGGGCTGGTTGAGTTCTGGGATCAAATTTAAATTTCAGTGTATCAAATGATGGTGGATGACTGTAGTGCATGGACTTTTGACTAGAACTGACTCCGTACAGGGGGAAAATTGCATAATGCATAATGCATGAAGGCTCGGGCCAAGTTATGCATTATCAGTAGGGTCGTTTTCATCTAATCCACACTACATATCTATGCGATCGTGTTCGAGAATATTCTAAAAAGCACCGCGCATCCAACAAAACCGCCGGGGGAACCCACCACCCACATTCTGTCTTCCCATGCCTGCCAAATGTAACACAGACGAGCGCAAACGGAAAGTCCGAACCGAGCATGCCCCCTACAAACCGCGTAAGCCGCAGAAGGTCGTCCACCTCTTCCCCAACTCCAATCCGCAGAAGAAGACTTGATGAAAGTCGTTCAAGATTTGAAGGCACGAAGGAGGATCATTGGGGCTCCTCTCACGTTGGAGGAGATGCTGAACCCGGTTGGCGGTGACGAGATCGGAGAAAGGGAGTTTCATTTTGAGGATGATGATGAGATCGTGGCCAGGGTTCGTCATGAACAAGCTGTGGCTAGAGGAGAGGTCATTGAGCTGGATTCCGAAGATGAAGAGGATGACGATCACCCTCGACTGTCAACCCGCGAGATCATGGACCTTTGCACCCAGCTTGAGCGCGCATGCATCAGTGAGAACGATCCGGAGACCTCTCTTGACTTTCTCCATGGGCTTAGATGCTGCAGAATACATCTTAGGAGGCGGGAGGCAATGGGAGCGAAGCAGACAACACTGACCAACTGGTTCAAGCCGAACTGATGTCACGCGCACAGCCAAAGTCACAGTAGTCACATTAGTCACACATTGTCGTTCTGCATAAATCTAATAATGCATCACTTTTACCCCAGAACCGACGTTATGCAATATGAGAACATGTACTGTAATCTAATTGTGAGTAAGTATGCCACCTCAACTTGCCAGCCTTATCTGTCTATGCAAAATAGTGCACAATTTCTCTCGCTGCTCATGTTGTCAACGTTGATGTTTCATGATAACTGTCATTCGTCACCATGACCAGGACTTTCCTCGTATGATTTCGGTGCTCAGAACTTCGTCTGGCCCGTCCGACGCCTTCGCTCGCGGTGATCGCTAGGTCAAGCGCGTCATTATAAATAGAAACGCCAAGAACTCTCAGAAGGGGATAGCGGCCCGCACCGGCACCAATTCTCTGCGCCAAAAACATGTACAAGCCCTCCTTGAACCGAATCCACTGGCACTGATCATGATAACGGTAATCTAGCCAGCATACAGCTCTGGCCGCTGAACCTATTGCGAGTCTCCCTGTCAAACCAGCTTATATGTATGGTCCATGTCCACAAAACCGCGATACAGATGGGCTCATAGTCGAAGAACTTGAGAACTACTGCCTTGGAGGATTTCACCCTGTACTCATCGGCGATGCCTTCGAGCAAGGACGCTACAAGGTCTTCCATAAGCTCAGATCTGGTGGCTCTTCCACGTGTGGCTTACTCGGGAAAAGTCGAAGCGCCTTGGGTCGCTCAAAGTCATGTCTGTTGAACGTTGAACGTTCTGAACGGTCATCCAGGCGGTTTTGCGGACCTCGAGGTTTTACAAGAGCTGGACAAAAAAAATCTCATGCACATCAAAGGAAGAAGGAGCATCCAGAGTATCCAACATTATTTCCTGATGGAGGGACCGAATGGAACTCATCGCTGCATCGTCACGCCGCTCGCTGGACCCACCTTACTCTCCATGCACGAATGTCCTGGATAAATGTCTGGAAGTCGGCCACTGCGAAGAGATTTGTCAAGAAACGTGGCCAGACAAGTTATTCGGGCCGTCAGTTTGTTGCATTATTCTGGAATTGTTCACGGAGGTTCTGGTTTGCCCTCTATTTCCTCTATTTCTGGTTTGCCCTCTACTTCTCTTGCCAACCGGTTCTCCTGTATATCTCACGTCATCCAATATTCTCTTTTACTTGTCCGACAGCATTCATGACTTGTCAGACGCCGACATCTACCGCATATTCGGAATTCCCAAAACGGAGAGCGTCCTCACTTGGGACGGATCACACTCCAGGACCTAATTCACGTCGTCGCTCCCATCAAATTCTCGTGTTCAATCCTTGTCCTCAATCATCCAAGAAAATATCGTTCTTACTGATTTCGGTCAGTCCTTCCTATCCGCACATCCCCCTCCCGACAATGCGCATGCCATCCCGCTGCAATACCGAGCCCCAGAAGCCTTCTTTCAGCCAGAGTCTCGACCAAAATTTGCTACTGATGTTTGGGCACTCGCGTGCTTAATATTCGAGATCAGACCAGGAGAATCCCCTTTCTCAGTAGCGATGACGTCATCCTCAAGCAGGTAGATGAGCTCTTGGGCAAGTTTCCCAGCCGTGGTGGGGTACGTAGAGGCTCGGAGGAGGTGGTTTGACGAAGAGGTGGAGTTGATACCTAAAGAGAAGCTACCTAAGGCTCAGTATCTTTTTCCCCGCAGTCAAGACTGCACTTTGCCAACGGCTGAAAGCAAGTTGACCCTTCGGAGTCGGGCGAAGGAGACATGACCGAGAGAAGTGGGACGAGGATGAAATAGGACGAGATGGAGTTTCTTGCTGATATCATATTGAAGAAGATGCTCGAGGACAGACCAGAAGATAGGACTTCCATTGAGGAAGTTGCAGTGGCACATCCAGGTGGGCCTAGAACGGTTAATTTGAGGAATTCGCGGAACCAAAAATCTCTCGAAGATATGAATCTTCTGGTTTTCCGATTATAGTGCTGGGTATTTCACCAGGGAAAAAGAAATAAAATAACAGAAAATGACAGGAGACTGTGAGCAGCATGAAAATGCTTTCACACTGTTTCAAATGATGCCGAAGACATGACCCCAACGTTCCAAGTTGTGATTAATTTTCTCTCGCGCGCAGAGCGCGCTTCGAGATGGGTGAACCGAGCGTGCGTCGCAATGACAATGTAATGGCCGCACTGCTGGCACTAATGCAAGGAAAAATCATATTATTGTGTAGTGATTATTCTAGTGCCATTCTTAACTTTTACAAAGCAAAATTGGGGAGTTAGGGATTGTGTTGCAGTCGCAGTGACCCGCTCAGTGTCTGCCACGACGAAGAAAAGAAAGGCTAGTGGCTGTGCAGTGTCAGGTAATTTTAGGGGCTCGTTAACCGCTCCTCTCACATTCTGTCCCTCACGGAGCACCATCCCTCACGAAATTTTGATACATGGAATTAATTAGTCCTTAAAATCCAAATATAAAATTTGAATACTGGTAGCATAGGGGAAGGCGGTGAAAATCGTCGAAAGACATGATGTGTCAGCTTTCTCAGGCAGGTAAAGCAAAGGTAAAGGCAGATAATTTGCCAGCGGAATGATCGGTAAACCCTCCTAAACCCTCCTCGGGCGTTCTTAGACCTGGCACAATAATTTTGCCGATTTGTCAAATAAGGGGACCATCAGCGCCAAACAACGCGTCAACAAGACTTGCCCCAGCCCTTCATCGGCGCCTGACAATCTCGCCACCGGACTCGCGCTCACTCGGGCTTCTCTTCTTCCTTCTCTTGCTCATCTAACCAAGGCCGGGAAAATGATACTTTGGACGACCGACTCGAACGAAGCATTGACGCTATCACTTGGTATGCCATTGAATTGCCTTTCAACTACCGTGCGGGTGTTGACCTGGGGCTTCAATGTTTGAACGTCAGTCAGGGCACCAAAAGACAAGGAGGTGGTTGCACCGGAGGAGGTATATGAGGGATTCAATCCTACTTTCACGTATCCGGTGCGTTCGGGTCGCGCGCTTCGTTGACGGTGTGGCGTTCAGTTAGGCCTAACACGAATCGTCTTCACCACAGATATACGGTGAAGAAGAGAAGATATACGGATACACAGACCTTGTGATCGATGTTCGCACTCCGTTCACTCTTCATAGAGGCGAACTGCTGACGGCAGACCCACGTTCAGCTTCGCTTTGCCTCAGGCTCTCTGCAACAGTACCTTTCCATAAGCTACTCCGCAAAGCTCCAGACGACAACATCAACGATAGATGACGTGGAGGGAACTCTACAGAAGTTCATCCCAGCAGGTGCGTGCACCCATCCTTCCTTCACTTCTCACACCGAAACGAGTTCGTCCTCCCATCAGGTTATTACACTAACGAAGCTGCTTTCCTACAAAAGGTCGAAGAGGACGCGGAGTCGTTCAGACCACCCGGACAGCTGATTTACTCATACACACGACCCGCACCCAACTCTGCGTCGAAAGGAAAGCGGAAACGGGATGGGAACCAGGCTTTGAACCCGGAGAGCGAGGACGTTGTTGAATTCGAGGTGTATCATGTGCGTTGATTCTCTTCTTCGGTCTTCGTCGATCTTTGGGCCGTGCTGATGATGTGGTGCTGGAAGGTCACTTGGGACACGCCTGGTTTCAGAGAGTATCATCGGAGGATGCAGATATTTATCTTGTTGTACATTGAAGGAGGGTCCTATATCAACGAGGAGGAGGACATTTGGGAATTCATACTTCTGTAATTTTTTTTGGTTCCTCAAGTGGTCTGGTTCTGATGGGCTCGAATAGATTTGAAAAAAGGAAACGAAAAGACGCATCACATACGGTTGCCTACCACTTCGTTGGCTATTCGACGTTATATCCCTTCTACTATTACCCAGAAAAGGTTCGCATGAGATTGAGGTGAATTGTCTTTCTAACTACACATCCGCTCTGTTAAACCTTTCTCTAGTCAATTCGTCATCTTGACCCCATACCAACGTCAAGCCCATGGCTGTAAGTCCCTCTCCTTCCCTTTTCCCTCTTGCCCTCCCATTCTCATCTGCGTTCCCGTCGACTAGCTGAACTATATAAAGCAATCTACCAATACGTCGTCAAGAACCCCACGATCGTCGAATTGACAGTCGAAGACCCGGCAGAGGCGTTCGAGGACCTGCGAGATAAGAACGACCTGGAGATGCTCCTTGCACACGAGCAGTTCCTCGAAGAAGGCTACGGACCACAGGAAGGCGCTGCACGGGCGAGGAAGAGTGGGAGAGCGGAGGCGATTGGGGAAGCGGTGGTCGAGAAGGGGAAGCTGGGTCCTCCAGTTGACAAACCATGGGCAGAGAAGTGGAGGAAGGACTTGAAGATTGCGGGGGTGGGTACTCGAAGTTGAGGCGTCAGGTTGTGGTGAATGCTGACGTGTCTTCTCGACAGAGACAATTCCAGCGACTGGTGGAGATGCTAATCCTCCTGCGTCTGGACCCGTCAGACACGGCTTCTGCCCGAGCTTATCGTCTCCAAGTGAAGGAACGACTCTATCGGTTTAACTTCGTGAGTTTGCTCTGCCATCATTCCCCTTCTTTTTCACTTGACATGAACCTTGTGCAGGAGATCCTCGCGCAACTTGAATTGGAAGAGCGATACGAGAAACTGGAAGAGACCTTTCAAAGCGTCCGGGAGGACTATCAGAGAATTTTGGCACTAGTTAGCTGAACGGGGATTAAAAAAGGCCTTGGACTGCGATACGTCAACCGCTTTCAATTTAATAGCCATCTATTCACAATCTAGTGCGGTGTGAATACTATGAAGTCTCAAAGCCCCAAACAGAAAACCCAAAACGAGAAGAAGAATACTCATATTTCTCCCAGCATGCCAGTGTCCGCACCATCGTCGTTGACATCCAGATCCCCGTCATCCCCGTCACCAGAACCTCCGCCATCGCCTTGTGGATCTTCGTCACGTTCCACTTCTTCAAGTCCGCCACCGTCTCTGGCTCGCCGCTTCCTTTCCATGATCAGGAATGTGAGGACTATAACATCGATGTCAAGTGCACAAGGCTGTATTCGGAGGACTTGCTTCCTTTCGCCGGCGAAAAGGCCCTCAGCACACGCTGTGGTCATTGAGCAAGCGATATCTCTGTTTGTGTCGAGACGCGTGAGCTGGTTCGTTGAGCCTTTTCTTTCGTCCCAGAGCAGAGGTAGAGGGCTTTATGGACTTACGACACACCCTGTGTTCCTGACCAACTTCCAGCGATATTCTTTTGCGTCATCTCCTACGAAGTAGCGAACACTGAATTTAACGTTTGATATCCATGAAATGTAATTTGAATGGGTATGACAGACGTACGGACTGAATCTATGCCTTTTGTACAGGTACTTCGACGCTCTGACACCAACTCCTCTCGTCCCAATACATTGTCCCACCCCACCAAGCAGAGGACTGCGGATGACTGTCGGTGTACTCTTGCGATGCCATTCGATCTCAGCAATAACGTTTTCTTCCGACGAGCTCTCGGTGAAGCCAGGTCTCTGAATCAGCGTAATTTGAGAGCCATTTTGGAAGGACGTAGTCTCTATCTGATAGTGCGCGACACCGTTGGCAGAGACGAGGAGGCTGTTCTCCAGGCTGTTCGGGACGAAGAAAAGGTCCATCAAGGGGTGGGGTCCGGCTAGCAGAAGACGATCGACGAGAACAGTTATTCCCGGGTAGAAAGGATATTCCAGCAGGAGATGGGCTAGAAACTAAGTACGAGTCTTTAGTCCATTAAGTCTGATTTTGAACTCGTTGAATGTCTGTGGCTAAGACTTCAGATGCAAGGCCTAGAGTGTCAGATATGTCTCAGCAGTAATCCATGAGAGCAGAGGCAACGAAGCAGAGACGATTGCATCCTCAGATCTCAAGATTGCAGAGGGGAGTCTGGAGAGATTGGAAGTCGAGGTTATCAGTACGGGGTTCGCAGTGGCGGCACGGGGCCGGTGTCGATGATGAGGAAAGAAGCTGCTGAGCAACAGATGCAAATACTCTGCTCACTGTCCTTGTCGTTCACTGTCGCAGCCCTTGCGCCCAGCACAATGGAGACCGCTCCCCCACAATCAGCTGCGCCTATGCAAGGAGTGTTAGCAAGTGCACTCCCAGTCGCAGCTCCTGCTCAACCAGCTCTTCCGAATGCAAACCCATGCGAGACGCTCTATATACAAAACTTGAACGAGAAGATCAAACCTGACGGTGCGCCGCCACGTCCTTGTATTTGACTATGAATTGTACTCATGTCATTTTATTTACCTGATAGTCATGAAAACCTCTCTGCGAGGACTGTTCAAAGCGTACGGAGAGGTGCTGGACGTCGTTGCGCATAGCAATCTGCGGATGCGGGGACAGGCTTTCGTTTCGTTTTCCAATGCCGAGACTGCAGCGAAGGCGATGAAGGACGTACAGAGGTTCCCTTTGTACTCGAAACCGATGGTACGCTATCTCATCCCACTTTTCTTTGTCTCGGGTACCAGTGCTTGGAACCGAGCAAGACTAACTCTGTGGTCCATTTTAGCAAATAACATTTGCACGGACGAGATCTGACGCGGTAGTGAAGAAACTTGACGCGGAGCACTATGATCAACATAAAGCTCGCAGAGATGAACATAAGAGTGCGTGTTCGTACTTTCTGTCAGAGAACCCTCTTGACGGCGTTTCTGCTTTAGAAGCAACACGGTACACAAATCCTTTGAAGGCTAAATTTAGAGCCAAACGTTTGGCTGCGGAAAGTACGTTTTACTTTGTTCGACCTTCATTCGAACTGGATTGTTTCTGACCTTGCACTCTAGTTGACGGCGGTGCCGCAGCGCCAGCGCCTAAGCGGCCAAATGTCCAAATGCCCGACGAATACCTGCCTCCAAACAAGATTCTCTTCCTTCAAAACCTTCCAGAAAGTGTTACAAAAGAGCAACTCATGGCATTATTCTCGCAGTACGTCCCTTGATTCTGATTTTCCGCCCACTGTGATTCATTAGATCTGTTTCGTTCAGATACCCCAATTTATACGAAGTCCGTCTCATCCCCACAAAGAAGGATATCGCATTCGTGGAGTTCGTCGACGAGGGCAGTGCGAGTGTCGCGAAGGATGCACTACACAATTACAAGCTGGATGGGGAGAACAAAATCAAAGTGCCGTGTCTTCGATTATCTCTTGGATAGATGCTAACGAAACTTCTCTCAGATCACGTTTGCGAGGAAGTAGAAGCTCTTCTCTTGTATTTTCTGTACCTTATCCGTGTGCTGCACTAATACACCTTTAATTGCGAACATCCGGGCATCACTGTCAATTTGCAGTTTTAGCCTCGAGGCATACAACTCTCCCGATCAACAGCCTGCTGCATACAGCCACGCAGTCCTCATGATGATCGACAGCATTCCAGAGACTTCAGTGACCAAGCTTGGAGTCACGAAATGACGGAATACCATCCCTCGAAGCGCGCCTTTCCAAACACAACGCACAGACGGCGTGGTATAGTTGGAACTGACTCGATTTGATGCAAATAACTCGAACTAGCGACGCGTAGCCCCGCAGAAACAGACCTGCAACATCCAAGGTTGGACGCATTTGTGAGGCTTCCATCTGACCCTGGGCGCTCGACGACTGCAGCAGCATGAACGAATCACTGATGGAGTCATCCAACTGTCGAAGGGAAAAAAATCTGAACTGCCTTCACGCCTGGTCGCTGAACACGAAAGGGAATTCATCATGCTGCGCCTGTTGCTTCAGGTTCGACAAGACTCCTAGATATATTATTACGTTACGCTGCTTGGGGGGAGGATGTATAAGGCAGGCGAACCTGGTCGCCGAGTCCCCGTTTCGCCCCTCCCAACAACTGAAGATGAGCGCCAATGAACAGAGTTGCTCCACCTGTAGCCCGTCTTGCGTCTTGTTTCCTCGACGTTCCGATGGCAAGGTCGTACTGCCACCTCTATGTCGATTACACGCAGGTACGCCTCTCTTTTGTCAGCTCCACTCAATGGGGATCGTCAACCTCCGATTAACTCCCTTTGGCTCTGTGCTTCAGTAAATTCCCCAGTAAGACATCCGTCAACAAGCAATGAAGGCAGCGATCTATATGGCAGGTCGACAAATCCACACAACGGTAAGACCTTCTTGCCATGCACAAGAAAGCCTATCACTCAGCCGTTGCAGATCGTCCACATTTAGTCCCACAAACAACGCCGGGACCCTATCCAGGACCGTCGAGAAACCCGGAAATCCTCAATACACCCGCAACCTTCATCCACCCTCACGATTCCCCTCTCGTCAATTCGCTGATGCAGCAAACGACGTCGAATCTTAGCCCGGAAGCACCCACCAATATCAGCACTACTGGATCGACTGGCTGGTTTGGGTCCATCCCCTCGAATCCTCAACACCCGTCATTCTACCTCGTGCAAAACACCAAAAAGCAGTCGTATCTTACATCGATGGACGGTCATCCATTACGCGTTAGAATGTATATGCAGAAACCAGATGGATCGGAGTAAAGTCAATGAAATTTCTTTGAACCTGGACATTGACACCTGCCGAGGCAGGTACTGTCCGCAGTTGTGACTCCTTGATACGTTTGGCGCTCAACCATAATGCATACTACAACCATTTCTTTCTTCCGCACCCTCATGCGCACCCGACCATGCGCTGACTGTCCTAAAGTCCGACCATATCTCGTATGCTCTCGTATGCTCGCTCACAAATCTGCGCATACGCAGGCATACGCCGTTCTGTGCTATATAACTGGTGTGAAGATGATGAAGCCGGAAATAAAAGAAGTCGCCAAACAACGCCGAGTAGTTGACACCGCCCAGTCGCCAAGTCTCATCAACGTCATCGCAACGAAAAGTATAAATACCTGACGATGAGCATGCTTGGTCATTGCGTTGCTGGTCGACGACATCACCCATCCTCCACGCGTTCTTTGCGACTCCGATTCATAAAATTCCCGATTTTGTCGATTACGAACGACTAGTATGAGCGCGTTCATGTCGAAGGTATCTGCTACGCAGACACGCGGAGCGTATGGACAGGTCAAGAGACGATGTGCGTCCGCGTTGACCTCGAGAGCCGTCTTACGACTGACTAAACGTTTTGTGATGCATTAGGGATGCACGGATCGCTGAAGCGCCAGGCAATTATGATGCCTGCCATGTCGCCTTTGATGACGGAGGGAACCATTGCCCGCTGGATGAAGAAGGAAGGAGAAGCGTTCAAAGAGGGAGACGTCTTGCTCCAACTTGTTGGTGGACCCTCATCAAGACAGAGTTGCTGATTGACCTGTCCGCACCAGGAACTCGAGTTTTACACCGTGGACGTGGAGGCACACACCCCAGGGATCCTAGGCAAGATTCTTGTGAGTGGCATCGGCGTGCTAGCCGGACAACACTTCGACCAAATAACCGTTGGAACATTGCAGATGCCTGACGGAACGAAGAACGTCCCTATTGAACAAATAATCGCCCTCGTCGCCCTCGACGCCTCCGAGCTCGCACTCCTTCAGAACGAGAACTTCGTTTCTGTGCCCAAGCCTCCACCGTTCAACCTGACCCCCACACCTCCCAGTATCAGTGCTAATGGAGCTAACACACCAACGGCGGGAACGCCTGTGACGTCCATTCCAAGTGCAATGGCATCACCACGCTGCCACACTACCCAGTTCAAGCTACCCCTCACATCGCCGCGCACTCCGACCATGTCACCGCGCACACCCTCCCTCTTTGAGATGCACACCATGGGCTATGGGCAGCGAAGCGCACATGTTGGTGGGCCAAGGGGGTTGGCACCCATCACTCCCATGTCCGCCAACGAGTCTGCAAGGATGCCGCCTTGCCCTTCGCCTCATGTCCGCGTACCACCTCAGGTGGAAGTTTCGACGCCTCTTACGCCTATGACGGCGAAGTGGCCTGTGTCTGCTGGCCCTGGCTTGCTCGCTGATGACGCCGAGAGGACGCAAGTGGATGGGGCGGCCATTCGGAGGATGATCGTTTCTAACCTGGCATCCAAGCAGTCCACGAAGATCTCGGAAGTTGATGAGCTCTTCTGAAGATCTTGGAAGCTGCTTCCATGAAGAAGGCTGTGTAGCAATCCCTCCAATTTTTGACCGAAATAAAAATTGTTTCTTGCCGTCTAAATCGCACAGAGGCAACTTAGAGAGCTCATTAGCATTAATGCAAATTTATTTCACAGAAAGCACAAGTACATGTACCCGCATAAAAAGCGGCACGAGACCAACGGACAGCGCATATAGCTCTCAGAAATCTTCTTCCAACGCAGAACACTGCATCCAGGAGTTTGTTAGCTTTGCGTATGGCAATCACAGACTAGGACACTCACCCTAAGCTCCACAAAGGCATCTGTTGTCCCGCCTATGTTCCTTGGTCTCGGTGTCGGCATTAAGAACTGTAAACTCAGAAGACCATTCTCATCTATCCTCAAGGATGTCTTCGTAGAGCTCTGCAGTGCACGTAATGTCCGCGAGATGTGTGCAAACCGATAGCTGAAGCTGACTGTCTGTACACACTCGAAAGTCTCCAGCACCTCTCGATCATTGGGGTAATCCATCTAGGAAAAAGCACAGGCAGGGAGGGGAGAAGACTCGTCAGGAAAACTTACAGGCGAGAAAAATTGGCTTTTCGTACCTCAGTGCTACCGAAGGTTCCTGTCGCTTGTATGCGGAGCATTGGCCGCGGAGGCGGAACGCGACGTTGAGGTTGTTTTTGCCGTGAGTTTTCTGCGGCTGCGTTCTGAGGTTCTGGGGTGGTAGGAGGGTTTCCTATGAAGGTAAGTTTCTCGCAGGATGGGTCAAGCTCCGACAGCGCGTCTCGGAGCCAAGATGACTAAATACAGGCGTGAATGGAAGAAAGAGAGGGGAAGATGACTCCTACTTTCAGGATAATTTTGAGCATTCTAGTGATTGGACAAGTCAGAAAACCTTGAGGGAAGATATGAGAGGACGCACGTAGACGAACTGTCAAAATCGAGTTCAAACTGGGGCTCGGGTTCGAAGGTTGTAACCTCGCATGTCGTCGTCGGGCCTGACGCATCTTCTGCTCTGGAAATGGGTCAAAAAGGGTATCATATAACAAATGAGATGAAAATTTGGCACACATAATCATAGTCAGAGGATACCCGGAGCCGGCGTACGACAAGCGCATCCCAGTCTTCTTCTCTGAGCCTGCTCCGGTGAAATATGCTTCGATGCCTCTTCCCTCCCTCCGTCCTCCCCGTTCTGCGTCAGAATCATTGTTGTCGTCATGATTATGATCGCGACGCCATCCGCGTCCCTGTCCCCGGCCTGCTCCTCCTTCCCGTCCTCCAGATCCACCGCCAGACGAAACATTGGTCGCGCTTGCCCCAACAGTCCCAAAAATATTCAAGCACTCAAGGACAGTGTTGAGTGGAATCTCGAATGCGGTGCTCGGAGGTGCGTCGTCGTCCTCCCGTGTCTGTTTTCTTCCTTCGCCATCTTCAGCTCCTTCTTTCCAATCTGAATCCATAAGTTGATCGTCTTCCTCAGAAGAAGACTCGGTCTCTGATTCAGTCTCTGAAGCTGACTGATTATTTGCTTTCGCCTTGCCCTTTCCTTTCTTTTTCTTCTGAGATCGAGGCTTGGATTTGTTTGCACGAGCAGGCTGAACGCGAGGCTGTGGCGCGACTGGTGGCTCCGGATGAAAGGCGTATTCTTCGAATATATCTTTAAAAATGTATGCAGTGCCTGCATTTATACGAATGATTTCAATATGACGCGTCTATTTGTGGATCTAGTGGAATAGACAAACCAACAAGTGTGCGCGCATCTTCAACGCTGACAATCAACCCGTTCTCCGTCACCAGGATCGTTGCTCGCTGGAAGTAGGCAGCAGTGTGAGCAATCCCGATAGGACTGGAATAAAGAAAGAAGGTCTCTACATTGGAAAAGCTCACCCCGCGCAGCAGAGCGGCGAAATATCGCACATCATGTACAGACGCGGTCAAGACCTAAGATACCGGCGATGGAATAGGACAGGAGCGACGCGTAGAAAGTACTTGTGTCACTTCATCGCGTCGTGCTTCGATATAAAAAGATATTTCGGACTCACTGGCGGGAGGGCCTCGTCTTGCTGCATGTGGTGATCTCGGGACATCGCAGTTATGGGGCGAGATGCATTACGTGGCTGTGCTAGCGCAACTCCTGCTCATTCAAATTCAGCCAGATGCAAACGGTAATGAACCGCTTTTCTCTCTTACCGACGTTAGGCTGGCTTGTCATGGCCTCTTCACAACTCCTATCGCATGCCCACTGGACGAGAATAGTGCTTATACAACCAGATGTCAGTACATGAAGCGAGCAATGTTCGAAACACATGAAGATGCTGATGAGGATCCTGTCTTACAGTAACGCTGAGTACTGAGGAGCGTAGTTCGCGGCTACGATGAGAAGATGTAGCATGGGCCAGACATGCGTAGATATAAGAACATCGCTGCATTACAGAGATTGTGTATGAAAAGGTGACGGACTTCGTGGCGAACTGGAATGTCGCCTCGTTCGAAGGACGACATGAGTCTAATGAGTCTAAGTATGTACTTTCAACCAAATTGAATGTTGGATCAACTTCTGAGCATGAGATTAGATATCGCTTAGGTCGGGCTTGCCCTGGATAGTTCAAACATCCAAATATTCATGCGCCACACCAGTTAGTTTCGTTCTTTACCCCAACTTCACCCCCAACCAACTAACGATGGAAGAATCTCGAAAATTTTCAGAATGGGAGCCCAGGGCGCTCCTTAGCACCCAAACACTTCGTTTGATTGCTTACGTAATTACATAGCATTAGTTTCCATCTTTCCCGCTGTCTCGACTGACCCTCATCCCAACATCTGGATGGAGGTGAAGTTCCCACCAACACAAATATATCAAACAAGGTTCCTTGTGTTCGTGCTCCTCGGAGTCGGCCTGATGTAACCGCCATTTCGACGGTCCACAACGATTCCTGTGTCTGGCCCTGCATGCATCTCCTCCTTGTTTCCCGCCGCTGTCGTCAGTGCTGTAGCTACCACCTGATGCAATAGCACTACTCATCGCGCTTGGAAACCTTTATAGACTGGTCCACGACAGACGTCTCGGCCATCGACCCTCTCGCGTTCTCCCAGCATGGCCGCCCTCTTCTGGAGGCAGTTCTGTGCGTTGTTTATCAAGAACGCACTTGTATTCCGGAAACACTGGCTTGTGAGTTATCCCCAGAGTGCCGTATGCCGTAATCGTAACGATCTCCTCATTTGCATTCTCCTTCAGGCCAATCTCCTTCGGTGTTTACTTTTCCCCATAGGCTACGGTATTTTCCTTGGATATACTCCAAACTTTTTTGCCACCCCTGACCAAGTGAGTTGCGCCCACCTCGATGGGTTTTTCAGCGAAGTCTGACTCTTTTCAGTATGGACTGGGTACTATTGTCCCAATATTCCGCCTGGAGCATCAATTTGACGGTTCGAGACCTCTTGTTTGGGTGGATAACACGGATCGGAATGGCTTCATCTCAGCTCAGGGGATCATGAACCAAGTTTCTGCAAATTTTAACGAGAAGCAGCATTCAGCACTGAAGGAAGTGACGTCATCCTCGAGCTAAACCAGTTCTGCCTCTCTAGTTCCAACGGCGCGTCTCCCTGCTATGGCACCATCTCATTCGAAGATATTCCAGCCGCCTCGACTTCCGATATACGCGCTTTGAACTACACGATACGGGCGGATAAAGGAGCCAACCTCGTCAACGTCATGAAACATACCAGTGGTGTCGAGACGCTCGTCCTTCCCATTCAGTGGGCCGTGGATCAAGTGAGTACGAGATATATATATATATATATATATATTCTTGACTCGAGATTTCTGACGCGCAAGGTAATAGGCAATTATCGTGCTTGCAACTGGTCAGAAGGCTCCGATAGTTTCCCAATGGCCATATACATGGACGACAAGTTCTGACAGCTTCGATAATTGTCGACTATGTGAGCAAATCTACTGGATGGTCTTCCTTCCACTGACTCGTCATCGGTCCAGTGTTCCTAAGCATCGCGGGTTTCTTCGGAGGGCTTGCTTTATGAGTTAACTCCCCAATCATGCAGCCACGGCTCTGAAGTTCTTTGAAGCTTCCTCGCAGGAATCCCGTACCAGGTTCGTTCGCCGTATATTTATTCGAGATACCGTTACTTCATCTCTGTTCCAGCTAACCGGAGCCGTTGCTCAAGAGCGAGCCACATCTTTGACCTCGCATATGCAAGCTATGAGCGCCTTAGATTCTGCCAGGACTCTGTTCGTTGTGGTCCTCATTTATTGGTTTTCATGTTCTGACCGATCCATCCATCAGTGCCTGGCACCTCTCAACGTCACTTCTTTACTTTCCAACCTGGCTCATTCTCGCAGGCATCTGGAAATCCCTTCTCTTTACTCAGACCAGCGTCGGTCTCCTTATCCTCATCCACCTCATCACTGGCTTCGGACTCGCCAGCACGTCCCTGTTCATCTCCGTTCCCTTTAGCAAAAGTCCGCAGCTGGCTGCTGTCATCGCCACTGGGTTGTCCATCGCTGTCGGCGTTGCGCCCATGATGTTATACGATATCGGAACATTCATCCCAGGGGTACTGTCGTTCTTCCCCTCAATGTTCTACCTCTTTTCCTTGAAAGCCCTTTCCGGGTTCGAGATCGAGGGGCGCGCACCGAAGTTGTCCGAACCGGATCCAAATCATGGACTCGCTCTCCAGCCAATGATTATCGGGGCCTTGGTGAGAGTCACCCACCATTTCTCCTCGGCATTTCCCCTTTGCTGACTTCCATGTAGATCGGAGTTTTTGTCTGGCCATGCCTTGCTATATATTGCGAACGTATCAAGTACAGGATCTCCAATCCGTCGAACTCTGGGCTCTTTACAAAGAAAATTATTGTTGCAGATACTTTGCAGCCTGGCATCGCCTTGAGCCTGCGGAACGTTCGCAAAGTTTACAATACATCTGCCTTTCGCCGAAAGTCGAAGGATGTTGTCGCCATCGCTAATTTGACTCTGGACGTGCCCTCGTACGGTATGTTTGTCCTCCTTGGACCCAATGGGTAAGCGTTTTCACCCCTTCTGTAGGCAAAGTAATTCAACTAATATGTCTTATTACCCAGCGCCGGAAAGTCTACGACACTCTCGGTCATTGGCGGTCTTGAACGAGCCAGCAGCGGCTCAGTCGTTTACGAAGGCAACGCTTCTCGTCCGACGCACGGCATGCTCGGAATTGTGCCGCAGAAGAACGTCCTTTCCAGAACTATCCTGCTTGCAGACTCTACGCGTTTGGAGTGCAATATACGAACGAGGGCCTTGAACAGCTGCTTCGTGATTGCGACTTGCAGTCCAAGGTGCATGCTCCGGCAGGCACACTTTCGGGAGGTCAGAAGCGGAAGCTTCAGCTTGCAACTGGCCTTGTTGGCGGCTCGAAAAGTGAGATAATATTTGACGACTCTGGACACAGGGAAACCTGCTGATCATTCTCGATCAGTTCTCCTCGTCGATGAATGTACATCAGGCGTAGACCCCTTAAGCCGGAGAGCACTGTGGAAGACTTTAACGAAATATCGCGGCGAACGCACGATCCTCTTCACCACCCACGTAAGCCTGGTTTTTCTTCAGCCAGCCTGCGAAAGAGTCTCATCGTCATGAATGTATTAGTTCCTTGATGAAGCAGATTTCTTGGCTGACCAGATCGCTGTCCTCGCTGCTCCTGGAAAGCTCATCGTGGCGGATACACCTGTCAGATTGAAGTCGACAATGGGCGAAGGGTACTCAGTGGCGATCAAATTCACCACCAACATCCAGTGAAGAAGTGCTCCGACGCATTCGAGCTATCATCCCAGGAGCTACTCTTACAACGACCGACGGGCACAACGCTATCTACCACCTCAAAACTAAGACCAATGTCGATGTTGCTCGGGTGCTCCGGCAAGCTCAGATCAGAGTTCGGCATCACATCGTATGACGTCCATGGAACGACTATCGAGGATATATTCCTCGATCTTGTCGCGCAGAACGAATTGGAAGGATTCGAAGAACACGCTGAGCAAGGCATTCCTCCGGCTCCAGCGTCCTTTGGAAACTTAAACCTCTCTGACGGCCGACGAAGGACCCCATGGGGCCAAGCAACGACTATCTTCCACAAACGCGCTTTGATCGTGCGCAGAAGCTGGCTGGCACCCCTCCTCGCTCTCGCAGTCGCGATATCAGGCGCCTGGTGGCCAGTCCGCTTCGTCAATGGCGGCGTCATGTCCTGCGGCCATCAGCCGTTCTTCGACTCCGCTCCATCGTTTTGGCCACCACGTCTTTCCGAAAACACGCTCTTCGCAGCACCATCGAGCCTCGTGACGATGCTCAACGCCAGCGTGCCCGAGGTTTTCCGCGACTGGCGGAACGCCTCCGTCGATCCCTTCAAGGCTGTTGCAGACAAAGACGCATTCATTAGTGCGATAAGCAGTCACTATAAGAACTTCTCCACCTCAGGTGGCATTTACCTTGATCTTTCGGCAAATGAGGCGATTGTTGCGCACCGAATGAGCACATATAACCTCAGGCTGTTCAATATCCTGTCGAATGCGATTTACGAGCACGCACTCAATGCGACCAGCAGTAGGTCGGGTTCTCGGCGGATTGTCACTTCGTTCACGACACTGCCGGAAATGTCCACTGAGTCTTTGTACACGCTCCAGTGGTTGGCCATTTTCGGAGCAGCTATGGTCAGTCAACTGCCGACTACTTATCTCTCTATTGTCAATTCCGTAACTTTATATTCCAGGCCGTATTCCCAGCGTTCTTTGCCATATACATCGCGAAAGAGCGCCACTCGTCCGTCCAGGCCATGCAGGTCGCAAATGGACTTGCAAACCCTCTTGGACTATGGCTTGGTCATTTGATGTTCGATTCCCTATTCACCGTCTTTGCAGCAACCTGGATTACTATTGTTTACGGGGTAATAAGAGATAAGTTCCAAGGCATCGGTCTGTTGGTGCGTCCTACCATTTCTGTTTTACGACAACACAAGGATTGAGTTTATTCCGCAGTGGCTTGTGATGTGCCTAAATGGCTTCGTTGGGACGCTTCTGGCCTACATTGTTGCCATCCTTGTTAAATCCCCTCTGGGTGCCTTCGGCGTGATGGTGGTTTCGCAGTTCATCATCTTCCTAGTAAGAAAAAGTCTTGAGGTTTTGCATCGTCTAACAGGCTCGCAGCTATACTTGACAGGTTATATTGTGACTCTCTTCTCAGTAACACCACGCGAGGTACCGCGAACGATGAACATCCTCCACTTCACTCTGGCCCTCGTAGCTCCAATAAACAGCCTCGTAAGTAAAACCTTATACAGTCGGGAGAGGGCCTCATCTGACCAAAAGCATCTCGATAGGTCCGCGCCGCCTTCGTATCCGTCAACCAGTTCTTCCTCCTATGCGACGGCGAAAATATTACTTCTGGCGCAGGACTCATCAGCATCACCCGCTACGGCGGGCCTATCCTGTACCTCATAGTCTGGATATTTGTCCTCCTATTCGTCCTATTGCAGGTCGACGCAGGCGTTCGGCTGCCCTTTACCCGGTCCTTCTCCTTGTTCCATGCAAGCCCTTGCACGCGGACGTTATAGTAGAGGCTGAACACGCTAACTCGCCGTCGACGGACGATCCGCTGCGCATGTTGGGTGTGTCGAAGTCGTATGATGGGAATAAGGTAGTGGATGATGTGAGCTTCACAATTCCGCATAACTCTCTATTCGTCCTTCTTGGTCCGAACGGAGCGGGTAAGACGACAACGTTCGACGTCATCCGTGAGTAGCCCATCTTTGCCTTTGCCCAGGGACCTGACTGACAGAATTTTCAATTCCAACAGACGGCCAACAACTACCCGACATGGGGGACGTCTTGGTCAACAACACCTCCGTCGTCTTCAACACCAAGAACGCCCGCGTTTTCTTCGGCGTCTGCCCTCAATCCACCGCTATCGATGCCCACCTGACCGTCCGCGAGCATCTCATGATCTATGGTCGCCTTAAGGGCTTGAACAGCGGTGGGGAGCTCCGGCGGAATGTCGAAGAACTCATGGCTGCGACCGAACTCGACCAGTATGCCAATCGACTCGCAACGAAGCCGTCTGGTGGGAATCAAAGAAAGTTGGCGTTGGCGATTGCCTTGATTGGTATGTTTGGGTGTTGCCCGACGAAAACTGAAGGCTGACAGGGGTTTGCCAATGCAGGTAACCCTCCAGTCGTTCTTGTCGATGAATATTCCACAGGCATTGATGCCAAAATGAAGCGCGAACTTTGGGCGATGCTCAGGCATGTCACAAATAACAAGGCCGTCTTCCTGACCACTCGTACGCTCCTTCTAATTTCTTTGACATACCGACGCTGACTATGGCTTGAAGACTCCATGGAAGAGGCGTCCTATCTGGCCACGAAGGTTGGAATAATGTCGAGGAGGATGTTGGGTATGTGACTTCTTGCCCTCTTCGGAGCGTGGCACCGATGAATACCACAGCTGTTGGCACTCCTCATGAACTTGAATCCCGAACCGCCTCCTACGAAGTCCACTTCCCCTGCCACACGCGCGACGATTTCGTCAAGGTCCAATCCGCCATGACACATATACCTGGTGCTAGGATGGTCGACGACATAGCAACCCGCTTTGAGGTACCGATTGGGTCTGTTGAGGACGAGCGAAGCGGCGTCACTTCTGTTGCAAGCTTGTTCGAGCTCCTAGCGAAAGAGCAGGGCTTCCCTGAGTTCACGGTTGGCAAATCGACGCTGGAGACGGCATTCATTAGGATCATCAACGATGATATGGACAGTAATAGCGCGTCGGAGGACAGGCCGAAGTCGAAGAAAATATGGGGCTTGTGTTGAGTTTGGGGTTGGGAGGGTGAACATCATGTTCTTGAAGTGGCTCGGGTTGAGCAGCCGCTGTGTAGATACCATGACATATATACCACTATTCATCGAGGATAGAAAATTTCCTGACGAAGGGCAACGCTGCAGTCGATGCCTCAATCGTTCTTTCGAGCGTGTTTCCCTTCTTTCGCGTCTCTGGCAATGGCTTGAAGATAGTCGTTGATTTTACGCGAAGCTGGCAGGCCAAATGCAATAACTCCTAGAATTGCCATGATCACAGGAATGACAGAGGTGGGTAGAACACCGAGGTGGAGAGGTTCCAGGATGACGTGCACGGGGACGGTATATCGCGACGCGTCATCCAGTTGAACGCCAGGGGTAAGGACACCGGAGTGGACTGCCTGAATGCGAGCGTATTTCCGACGCGTTGTACTTGATATTCCGGCGGAAGGAAATTTCGAGAAAGGAGCGAGGTTTACAGGGTCGAATATTTTCAGGTAGAAGTCTGTGGGATGCTGTGCAAAACATGGAGACTTCGAGTCGGCGATGCCAAAATGACGAAACGAGGCGCATATACTCACATAGGCAGGCCAGGATACTCTCAAAGTAAATTTGTTGAAACCATTCCACTCTTTCTGATCTAGGTCCAGCACTATCCACAGCTCATTGGAGCAGCTTGATGCTGTGGTGCTGTCGTCTGATTTCCATTTGTCAAGCGAGGTGCATATTTCTTGCAGCAGCTTAGTCCCAAGTGGAGCTGAAGTGATATTACGAATAAAAAAAGGCGTATTGGGATCAAGGATCGGCCTAGTGGTCCATTAGACTCCTGTCACACTGGAAGAGAGGAAGAGAGTCGTACCAAGAGGATGTGAACGGAAACTGCAAAGCTTGATCATCCACAGCAGAGAAATTGATAATCTCAGTATTTCCAAAGACTCCTCGCAGGGGAAGAAAACATATGAGAAGAGAAAATAAAAGACGAGGGAGGCGTGAAAGCATTTTAGTAGCGAAGATGGTTGTCGTTGACAAGAACGGATATGCGGTCCTCCCGCACCGGCGGGTTAGCTGGACTCGAAAATCATGATGTTTGTTTCTCACTTCCACATACATCATTTGCGACCTCACTTTCTCCTTCTCGTGGTGAGCGTGGACAATATTGTAAACAAGAAGACGGGTTTTCAGGTTTTCGCCTTCTCAATGAGAAGGCGTAATTCCAAATATTATGTAATTAGGTAGTATGCAGTAGCAAGTGAGTCTACCTACCATCTACATACTTCGCTTCACATGGCTTACTCGTGCTGTTCTTAGGGATTTTTATTGTGCGCCTGCCATCGCCCGGCCGTCGTGCTGTAGTTGGAACTTGACAACTCTGTTCTATCTTGCCTAAGTGACACAAGAATCGCCGTTGCCCTGTCTTGTCCTCGCTCTCCATGAACGACGACGGTTTGTACCTTTCGAAGATTTCGCAGAATCTTCGAGATCCACTCAGGCCAGTAAATGGGCTAGAAGGTGAATGTCATCTTATCGGGAGGAGTACGAAAGAGAATTTTACCCTGAAGGGTTTGAATTATTTTCCAGTCGTTCCTCCTGGCTACACGAGCTCGCACTCTGGAACAACGGACTTATCACGTTACGCTTTGGTGGACTTGAGAAAGAAAGTTGGAGCAGAGTTCGGACGGCCGGGCCGGCTACTCGAACAGCCCCGAGTTTGGGTGGCGCCAACACATGGAAGACTACGCGTTCTGGTCGCGTATGAAGTTTTTTCGACGCGACGCTTCTGTGCCTGGGGATGAGCAAGCTCTGAAGCAACGTGTGTAACAATCGTCTATAATGGGTGTAAGGAGAGGAAGACATCTATCTATGCTGGTTGGGCGGAGACCTCAGAATAATCCGTCGAGATAATTTGAGGACTTTTTCAACGCCGATGGAGCTGAAGGAGCTTTGGATGGGGTAGAGGGTGGGTTGGAAGGAAGATAATCCGCGATGACAGAATCGAAGTCCGCGTCTTTGAGGCCTGGAAACGACGGTCATTCTTCCACTTCGACGAGAGTCTGCAAAACGAGTACATACCAGCTGGCACCGGGTTACGCGCCTTGATGGACGCTTGAAGCATTGTCGAGACTATGAGTCGGCGAATGGAAGGTCCGTCCAGAGGTGCCTGAATTCATCGGATACAGTCAAGTTAAAAAAATTGACGACAAGGAAAATGGTTCCGAGACGTACCCTCTTCGCCCCGTCAGACTTCTTCGCCACTGCGCCACCCTTCGTATTCGCCTTGATCGCCTCAGAGATTGGTGACGGGCCAGGCTTGAACGTACCCAACGGGCCGGATGCCTTGCCGAGATACGCGAGGACGTCACCTTTGGTGAGCATACCCCGCACCCCAGTGCCTTTAATCTCCTCAGGTTTGGTCACATTATTCTCGATGAGCAGGCGGTGGACAGAAGGGAAGAGAGGTCGCGAGTGTTCCGGAGGGTGATGGGAGAGGATTTGAAGAGGTTGAGACGAAGCCGGAGGAGGAGGTGCGGGTGCAGAGGAAGTTGACGCTGCCGACTCATGCGCTGGAGGTGGAGGTGCGGCATCTTCCTTTGGTATTTCGAGGTTGGAGATGTCGTCACCCTCCTCAGCTAGGAGAGCAATAATCTTGCCAACTGGAATACCCTTCGTACCGTCCGGCGCCTGACAAAAGAACGTTCATTTTCGTTGGGGATGAGGTCATAGGGAGCCGGGTTGGCACATACAAGGATTTTACCCATAATACCGTCATCCTGCGCTTCAACGTCGATGGTAGCCTTGTCAGTTTCCTACATAGGAGGCGATTAGAAAATGAGCTCGATAATTCGGCGAGAAGGCACGCGGAACCAAATGTTCGAAGCGTGATTTGCGGAAGCATGGACTGACAATTTCTAACAGGACATCACCCTGGGCAAACGACTCTCCTTCCTTCTTCTTCCACGACGCAATACCACCCTCCGTCATTGTAGGCGACATGGCCGGCATCTGGAAGTTGGTAATCGCCCGACGCGTCGCCGAGGCGTGAAGCACTAAAAAACGAGTTGCTTAGTATGTTCGTCACCGGGGGTAGCAAAAGAACAAAGCTCACGTCGCTTTGCATGAACAGTCGAGATGAGTACTGCCGACCTGCGTGCCGCTGGAGACGTTCTGGAGACGGCTCGTATTGACGCCATGGCGGTTGGAGAGTCGTGGCAAGGAGAGCAAACCCGGAGTCGACGAATGCGACTGACTCTGAGGCGTCGGAGGCCTAAAGGGGAAGGCACGTGATGTAGCCTTATTAGCCGGAAATCTGACGGGGAGGTGCAATTGAACGGGGCCTTCTCCGCTTGACTTTCATTTCCTTATCATCCACGCCAGAATGACCTGTTAGACTCTCACAATAGCCCCTTCTCGCTTCCAAACGACTAAATCCCGTCGTCTATAAAGGCCAGCAACAACCCATCATCCGCCGCCTCTTCCATGTTGACCTACCCCGCCTGGCTGCTGCACCGCGCTCGCACACATGGACAGGCTTTCTTTCTGCAGTTTGGGCTGTGAGTAGCTGCATCTGTCGTCGTCGAGATGCCACTAATAAACCCTCCCTGGCTATCAAAGCCACTGCGCAACGCACCAAATTCGTGTTATCCTCATCTCATGTGTTGTCATTACGTCGCTCTTCTATCCCGCTCTCGACCTCTACATATCCTCAAGAAGCTCGTCACAGTCCATAGTTGAAACTATTATCACCCCCAACTACGCCCCCGATTATAGCGACCTCGTGGACCTCTGGTCAGGGTATGATACCCTCCGTGTCCACCACGACTCGAGAACCCGTCTCCAGTGCAGAGACGGACAGACTTTGCGCGTCGAACGCATCCTCATCGAAAGCCACCTTGTAGAGGATGATGCCGCTGCCAACCACCAAATCCTCCTTTCCACGCTCGACCTTGAACGCCGTCTTCAGCGCCTGATATCCAAGAGCGATTCATCTTGTTTAAAGACTGCAAATGGCCAATGCCTGGTCGTCTCTCCACTTGCATTCTGGAACTATGACAAAGAATCTATCCGTTACGACACCAACATCCTCGACACTCTCAGCTACTCCAAAAACGTCTCTATCGCAGGCGTTCCCATTACCCCTCACATGGTCCTCGCGGGAAGGGCCTCCCTCGAGGACGGCGCCGGCAACTGGTTCGACTCTGCCAGGTTCCTCGCTCTCACCTATTTCTTCCCGCAAAACGCTTGCGTGCGTTCTGGGTCCGAATCTGCCCAGTGGGCGCAGCTCGTCCAAAAGGCTGTACTCCAGAATGCAGATGTCACCGTTCAAGTACCCGAATCGACCCTGATTGCGTTAGAGGTATGTCGCCTCCCTACGCAATCCATTGCGACGATATGAATACTATCCCGTTTCCAGTACAATCCTCAACGGTCAGAGTCACGAAAGGGCTGGTCGGCTATTTCGGCTTTCCTATACATAGCCTATACGGGCTTCACTGTTTACGTCGTGTGGTCCGTCAGAGAAATGGACAGCGTGCATTCCCGAGTGGGAGTAACATTCACCGCTCTTGTCGAAATTGCCGTTTCCACCATTACATCGCTCAGCGTGTGTGCCCTAGTAGGGTTCAAGATAACGATGGTCCCCTGGTAAGTTTTTCCTGGTCTATCTTTGACATGCCTCTGTTGACTCTAATCAGGGAACTACTTCCGATCGTGATTGTATTCGTGGGTGCTGAGAACATGTTCAACTTGGTGCGCAGTCATCTTGGTTCTGTCATTCCTGCTTATGCTGACTGCCGGAAGGTGGACGCCGTGGGTAAAACCTCGATCTCGCTCTCTGTGAAGCAGCGCATTGCAGAGGGGCTCAGTCGTGCTGGTACATCCAATACACTTAAGGTCGTATCATACAATGCAATTCTCGGGGTCATCGCGGTATTTTCTTTTGGAGCTGTGCGCCAATTCTGCATCTTTGCAATTGTGGTTTTGGTGGCGCACTGGTTCTTAGCGCACACGTTCTTCATGGCTGTTCTATCTATCGATATCGCCCGTCTAGAAGTGAGTACAATGCCAACTGCCTTGTTCTCTATCATTGATTAAATCATCATCTAGCTCGAGGAACTCCTTCGCCACGATCAGAGTCTGGCTCAAGTTGCTCCTCAGTCCCATAAAGACAACTATGATCAAAGCACGAAGCAGCCGCGCTCTGGATGGCAGAAGCTCGTTTTCACCATCCAAAGCCTACTGAAAGGTAGAGCAGCGACTAACATCAGCCTTGTGATGGTACGTAACCTTCTCCTTTTTCGGCCTGTCAACTTACCTGTGGTGGTGTTGCATAGCTTCTCGCCATCGCGGCCACACTCTATTACACGACGTACACCACATCACCCACAATCACGCCGCCACACGTCAAGCCTCGCGGAGCCGTTCTACGATCGAAGATGCGCGAACCAGCCGCACAAGCAACGATCGTGTCTACCGCGGAGCAGATTTGGAAGACGCTGAATCCCGCACAGACGCCCCTCCTGCACCTTCGGGTGGAGCTGCCGACTGTAATTACGTTCAGTCCAGATGCAGACGCAGCCACAGTGATGCAAGGGTATCAGGCGCGGTACACGACCCTCACGTTCAAGTTCGTCCTGTGGCTGTTGACGATCGTGGTACTGCCCATCGCAGCAACGACGAGTGCGCTGTGGGGCTTGCTGCTATATCTGTTGAAAAATACCGAGCTTCTAGAGGCGCAAAGGCACAGGCTGGACGGGGGCACGTCGTTGAACGGTCATGGCAAGGAAGACGAGCGGACGCTGCAAGGAAACATCACTTTCACCACTTTACCTAGAGCATTTGCCAGCGACGTCGAACTCATTGCAGCCAGCAAGGACGGGAAAGTCGTCGTCTCAGTTGGTCTGCACAATGAGATCACGGTGTGGAACGCTGACACGCGAAAACATGTCCCGATTGACCCACAAGACATTCTACTGCGCATGGCCAGCACGTCATCGTGTGCTGTGTCGACTGTGACTTGTGTCAACGTCGACGAAGGTGGGCGATACTTTGCCATCGGAACAGGTGCGGGGTTGATAGTGGGCTGGAGCGTCGATCGCGGGACGGGCTTTGTGAAGGCATTGCCAGTCCTGGCACTAGAAAATTCATCTGCCAGCGTGACGGAGGTACGGTTCGTCCCAGCTACGCCGTTGGCGCCATACGATAGCAAGATTGGGATCAAGAGGAAGAAAACTCCAATACCGACTCATGGAAGGACACCTCCAGCCAACCCATCAGCTACTTCAGAACCCAACTCGCTCGAGTCAAAGCCGAGGAGAGGCGTCACCCTGCTTGCAACATACGAGAGCGGTGTTGCAGCGCGGTGGAACATCGCCGACTTCCCGACTGTGTCGTTCTTCTCTCCGTCTCGGCAGAGCGATGCGACTGTTGTTCGCGCGTTACTCATGCCTGTCCTCCCAGACGACCGCGTCTTGGTCGCCTTTTGCCTGGACGACGGCACCCTCGACATCATTGAAACGGGCGAGTATGCACCGACGATGCTTGCAGAGTGCATCCTGCAAGCAGGCGACCCGCTGGACCTCGTGTGGACTGCTCACGCTTGTCGAGCAGAGATCAGTGGGAGTATGCGGGTTGTGGTCGCAGCTGCCACCGAGGCCGGCGCAGTCTCACTGTGGGACGGATCGACGGGGGTGTGCATTGCAATTCTCGAGTCGCCTTCTTTGGCACCGACACCCCATGGAAGGATAAGCAGGTTGCGAGTGTGTCCCGTGCAAGCCGAGACCTGCCACTTCTGCGGGCAACTGCCGATGGAGAGCCTCGCTGTTGCCTACTCGGATGATTCAGCGAGCGGAGTCGTGCGGTTCGCCAAGCTATACGTCGAGGAAGACCAAGCACCGACACAAACAAGTCGGCGCTGCTCGTGCGCACGAGCCCACCATCAGCAGCAGACGGGGCTCCGGCGCGTCTCGTCGCGCGACAGCTTGGTGGGCAGCATCGTGCCACCACGTACACGCTCGCGGAGCAACAGCAACGCCTCATCTTCGCAGCTCGGCTCGCCGCGAATCCCGCGGGCGCGTTTGGCGACTGCGTTCGAGGCATCCACAGCGGCGGCCTTCCCCGTGTCCGGCCACGGTGTGCACTCGCGGCGTGCGTCAGAAAAGGAGAAGGAGCGAGAGAAGGAAGGGTACCTCAGCCGGCGCTCAAGCGAGCTGCTGCTGACTGTGCCGTTCCCTGTCGGCAGCCTGGCGGAGGACGGAGGCGACTACGACCTTGGAGCTGTCAGTCCAGGTGCTGGGAACGATACAGGCTTGACACGAAGTGGAGCGACGACGCCGACGCATTCCCATAGTGGATCCCTTGGTGCGATCAACATATATGCGCAATCCGTGTGGCAGAACGCAGTGGTGGTACCGCTGGAGGATGTGATGTGTGAGCGGGGTGGGTGGGATGTGATGAATGGGCTGGTGGTGGGTATTCGGAGGAAGCCAAGGATTCAGAGCAAGTCCAAGCTCGTTCCAGTTCATTCATCAACGCCGCCGAATTCGACCTCGCCGCATGGCCTGAGTGCTGCAACTCTGGATAGATGGGAGATGTGGTCCTTCGATCCTGCGCTCAGCCTCCTGCGTGGCTCCGTTCTCTCCACCCTCCCAGCGCGCCCAAGGTCTAGCTCAGAGGGTCGCTCCTCCTCCTCCTCCTTCTCTTTCTCCTCCACTCCGACATTCTCATTTACTTCTCGGACGAAATCTTCGGCAGACTGTATCGCTAGATTACCCTTTACACGCGTGTCGCCACTGCTCATCATATCTGAGTATGCCTTCGCCGGGTTTGGGAACACCGTGGGCCTGTTTTCCTTCTCGTCTTGATTTCTCCTGCCCTTGAAGGGAACTTTACTTGTTGTCCTGCTCCACCTTGTCCTGCTATCTGCTTTGGATATAGCCTTGTACTTATTTATCACTGACTACTTTACAGTAAAGTCGGGTTTCTTGGAAACTTCGTGTAGGTTTAGATTACATTCAAATGCATTACAGCCGGGAAAACGGGCCGTGTTTGATAGCATAGCCACATGTTGAATCGTGGTCTCCGGGCATGTCGGCCAATTGGCTGGTTGGTTTATTCCGCCAGTCCCAAAAGCCTCGAGGCTTTCAAGCCCTTGCCCAACGGCATATCTTACGACTCTTCACGACGTCGACCTCTTCTACCCTCGCCATATTTCTACCTTGTACCCTTCGACTTGCGAGTGTGCTTCATTGCCAAGAGTCGGAAGTCCTGTCACCCAAGACCCGCCGCTAGCTCCCTTAGCCTTCCCTAAACCCTCTAGGGACGACGTCATGCCTTTGAACGTACACCCAATATATCTCCTTGCTCTCCTTGCCATCTGGCCTAAATTCTTACATGCACTGCCCGGATCGGAAATCTGGAACGCATTTGTCTCTAAAATTAGCACTCCAGATTGGTTTGCCCAAAGCCAACCATCAATACAACCTAGAGAACTGGAGAAACGAGATGGGACGAACTACAACCCAGATGGGACACCCTTCCTCTGGCTACCTGAAGACGACTACTCTGGGAAGAGTTTCTTCGAGTGCGTCGAGTATTGCTTTTCAAAGATAACATTGCTCATTGTTCTCTGCAGCAACTTTGACTTCTTTAGCTGGAGAGACCCGACTGAGTATGTTCAATCTGATTACGTGCCCAAGATAGAGAGTTGATGCTGTGGATGAACACAGGGGGATGGTAAAGTGCGTCCCTTTTTCGTTCCTACAAACGTTCTTGTGACCTTCATTCAACTAGCTATGTCAATCGAACAACGGCTTTTGCGAGAAACCTTGCATACGTTACAGACGACAATAAGGTTGTGATGAGGACGGATAATACGTCGACCTTAGAGCGTGGCTCGTATCGAGATAGGTGCGTCATTAGCCGTAGACACTATTCTTACGTTCTCACGACGAGACCACTTAAAGTGTCCGAATAAATACCAAGAAGACCTACACTACAGGCCTGTTTATCTTGGACCTTGATAAAGCGCCATATGGCTGCGGTAAAATTTGTCCATTTCGTCCTCACTCCCATGCTAATTATTCTACTAATTCTTCAACAAAAGCGATTTGGCCAGCATTCTGGTCCACTGGGTTCGATTGGCCGACAGTACGCACCTCCCTCACTGTTCTGTGTTTCTTTGTTCAGGACGTTTCATTGCCAGGAGGGAGAAATAGATATATTGGAAGGTGTCCACGATAACGAACACAACCAGATTGCATGGCATACAACGCAAGGTAGTCAATCCTATTTGACCGTCGACTTGCTCACATTTGCGTTCCCGTGAATCCAGGATGCTTCTATGACCAAAACGCGACATTTACGGGCACAATACCTCTACACGACGGTGTACCCAGCACAGATTGCTGGAACGAAACCAACCAAAACAGTGGTTGCGATGTCGTCGAATGGAGTAGGGCATCCTACGGCCCCTTCTTCGAGGCTCAAGGAGGAGGAGTATTGGCGATGAAGTGGGACGAGAACGACATTTCCATCTGTTAGTCCCACGACAGTCGTCCTATTGTGCCCATCTAATAACTTGCTGATGTTGCTTGGTTAGGGTCATTCTTCCGTGCTGCAATTCCAAAAGACATCACGTCCGGCACTCCGAACCCGTCTGAGTGGGGTCTCCCCTCGGCGAGGCTGATGAACACCATGTGCGATATTCCCAAGCACTTTGCACGCCACACAGTTGTTTTTGGTATGGATCACAATACCTTTCCGACGCCGATTTTCTGAACTACGTTTTGTTAGATATCACGCTTTGTGGTTAGTGTCTTCTTGTGTGCAGGAGGAAGGCATGCTAAATCCCGTTGTATGCTAGGTGCTTGGGCTGGGGCCTCTTATGCTACGTCAGGATGCCCTGGAACGTGTGACGAACGCCTGATGCATCCAGAAAATTTTGAGGTAAGCGCTTTCCGACCTTGTGTCAGATTCACCTTTTCTAACAGCAAAACAATGGGGTGAAAGACCGCAATCTGGCACATAAATTCCCTCAAAGTGTACAGAAAACAGATTCTGTCAGGGAATGTGACCGTAGTCTCTGGTTCTGGCGCTTATGGAGGTGCAAGAGTGTATACAGCTAGAGCCTCCCTCGTCATCGCCACCATACTGACTATCGCAACATTTGTTTGAACACAAATCGGAAGTAGCTTTTTATCATGAGGTTCCAGTGTTACGAATCCATGATTCTACAGGTCAATATTGCGGGTCTAGACATTGCGATTGATGTCCTGCTGAGCCTCTCCTTTATCGTGGCGGACGTTTCCTAATGACAGCTGCGATCAGCAATGGAGTCCAGATATAACAAACGTAGAATCATACCTGCAACTTCTTGAAATCTATCGCCAGTCACAGCGCCGACGATCGAATCTTTCTTTCCCGCGAGACGGTCGGTAGTACCCTCGGCATAGCCTTTGGACTGAGCGGCCTTGTATTCGCCTTCGCCCGCGGCATGCTCTTGCTTCCCAGATTGCTGCCAGGAAGACACGCCGGTCAGGTTGCCAATGGACTCGACTACGTTGCCCTTAGTGGAGTGCAATTGACCTGAGGTCTTCCTAAATAACGGAGGTGTTGAAGGGCTAGCGGAGAGAGGAGAAAATGGAAAAGGCTTACTTGGGCTCGCCGGAGAAGGTGTTATTAGTGGAAGAAGTCATTGTATGTGTGTAGCTCGTTGTTTTTGGTGAGACGGGTGGGAGGAATGCTGATTCTCGTCAGAATCCTGTCTTATTTATTTCTACTCGCGAAGGGTCTGACGTAGCGTCGTTGCGGGGCTCCAATTTAAAGGCGTCATTAGCCTCGCACTTCATTTCGCTGTATCCGCTATGTTTTAGAATTGGTGTAGTGGGGCGGGAGTCTTGCATCATCCTTTCGTGCGTCACTTGAGCGTCACTTCCGTTCACGTGGACCAGGAATGGAAATAGCGCCACACACACGCGATCGAATGAATTGTACGCAGCATCATTCAGCATTGCGAAGGATTGATGACAAATTACACGCAGTAATCGCGAGAGATAACTTACAAGGGTAATGCAATCAAACGACGCCAGATTCCATACCTTCCTCTTGTTCTGGCTCTTCCTCAGGAGGGGATAATAACACCTCGGTCCCTCATCCTGTACGGGCCCGTTTCACTTGAGAAAATGACATGAATATTGAGCCGCTTCCGGTTTTCGCCAACATTGAAAGAAGGAAGACATCGGCGCATCGCTGAGGTTCCCTCCTCTGCAAACTGATATTTTGTGCCCCAGAGCGTCCAAATCCCACTCAGGTAGTCAGCGTTAAAATGCATATAGATATCGATGCACCTGACCATAGAATACAATGGACTTGCAAGGGTAGAGTCGAGGGGTTCCCAAGCCAGTTGGTTTCTTCTCCGAAATTCCGTCTTCAAAGTAATAGGACTGCCATATAGAACTTCAATTTCCAAGGTCTCGAGGGAGGCAGGAGGGTTGATAGACTTGATCGTCGTCGAAATATCGTCTTCGATGCTGGAGGAAATCCTATGATGGTAGAGGTGCAAAAAGCGTAGCTTCCTCAGTCCGGATAGGTCTAGCCCTTCTGGAACTTCAAACAGAGTTAAAGCATAGTTATCTGATCGGAAAACAATCGAAATATTATTGTCGTGCACGGTGCGGTGGGATAAATGCTTACTGGTATAACGTATACTCAGGCGTTCCATCGTATTTGATGCGCAAAGTGACATTGCTCCTAACGGCTTGAAATTCGAGCTCCCAAAAATGAGAAAAGAAAGGCATCGAAGGTTGGTAGTGCGCGATCTCCAGGCCGATTGAGAAGCGTTCCCGAGAATTGGACCAATGAGCTGCCAAAGTCCAGCTCCTATGCGAGGATCTGTGGTGATCTGTTCGAGCGAGGGGATTGCATCACCAGTCAATTGGCGATTCCGGATGATGTCGCGATAGGCAGGCTGGTTTTCTTCCTCCTCACGCATAAAGCACTCGTCAACCATCTCAAGTGTTTTGATATGCGCCCCAAGGAGTATCAATCTTGGTAAAGAGGTTTCCCGGAGGGATAGTATGCGAAGGCAGGGTGACCGAATTAAATCGGCAATTCCACGCTGGAACGCGATATCACGGTTCATTTCGAGCCCACAAAGTTCGACTCCTTGGACTCCAGACCCAGAGACGAGTTTGAAGGTAGATGCCAACGATGCTTGAATTTCTGGAGTCATATTGCATCGTATGCTGAAAGAGAAAGTGTTAATGAATGGGGCAATCCCTCTCATCTGCGGGGAGCGGATCTCTGATGTGCTGCCGACCCAACCCAGTAGCTGGTTTAATGCCTCGATGCGTGAAAGCACCTTTTCAGCCCCAAGGTCGCTGCGTATGTCTATGGAGACTCGATTGAATATGTGCCGACGGGCGCTATGCGAGAAGGAGCGGGACACCAAGTTGCAGGATTGCAATGCCGTGCGTCGAAAGCGGGCTAGGCCTGGGATTTCTGCGATAGCATCGATGAAGAGATCAAATGTTTCTTGAGGAAAGAGAGGATCTGCAGAGGATTCCATCTGAGGCGATGTTGTTCGGATGAAAGGGGCCAATAATTGGCAATTGTCGGTTTGGATGCGTTTACGTAAGATGACCTCACTGCGCTGCTGACCTTCACCTACGGCCCTCGCTATGTGAGGAGACATGAGGGCAGGGGAGCACAGCCTGCAACTTGTTTTATGAGTCGGAGAGAAATGGTGAGAGAAAACTGACGGCCTCATAACTTGTCGGCTCCGTCGGTGGACTTACTGCGCCACATTTATTTTGTCTTTTCGTATTTAGAAATGATGCGGATGATGCCCAGGTTTCCACCGTTTCTTGGTCTGACAATTGTTGAAAATAATATTGGGAGGCTTGATTAACTATTGAATCTTTCCATACACCTTATACACCTCACAGACACTGTGAATACCACGAGTTTAAGGAGTTACAAGTAGTTCCTGACGCGCAGACTGTACATCCCGTCCATCCCTGACCACCGCACTGGCCATATTGAGCTACCAAGCAAGAAGTAGGTGCTGGTGTCGACACTGGTGGGTTGGATGTAGTTGCTGGATTCGACGTAGTTGGCTGCTCTGTCGGTGTGGTCGGAGTTGTCTCTGAAGGTGGAAGAGGGGGAGGGGAAGAAGTAACTTTGTTAAGCTGGACGGTGACGACGGCGCGAGCTGGAATAGAAACGGTGACTACACCTCCAGAGAGCGTAGCGGTAAGCTGGGCTACGGAGCGGGTGTTATCCGTAACATACGCCAGCACTGAGGTCGGAGTAAAGTTGGAGAATGCGATCCTAACGCTCTGCGCTCCGCCGCCAGTGTTTGTGAAGACGGTGATGACTGAGTCATCCTTGTTCTTAAAAGCACTAAGACCTACTCCGCTGACTGAACCAGTCGTCGACACACGGCGGGCGCCAGGGCGAATAAAACGCGACCACATTGCGAACGCCCAGAGACGGCCGGATGGAATCACGTCTGTGTTATCGCTAGCAACGAGGTAGGACGAGGCCTGGAACTGGTTGACCTCGAAGCCCTGCCAGTAGAGGTAAGCTGAAAGGTTGGCGTTGACGATACCTGTATGGATCTTGTTCGCCCAGGTAAGACCCTCGCACGGACCTCCATTGCTATACCACGTCGCGCACCAGCGCGAATTGAGGTCGCATGCCTCTGTCTGCCATGTCTTGAGCCTGGTGCTCATAGGGGAGTTGGGATCACCAGTATATGCGTGAGAGGTGATGACCGAAAGGTATCGTTCCACTCCGGCGGACACGAGCTGGCTAGTCATGGTGCGTTGGCCTGGCCAGCCAATCGCGTCGCAGCACGTGAGGGAGATGTTGGTGATACCGGCCGATTGCAGTGTGTTGTAGAGGGTAGGAATGAAGGACGCGGCTTGGTTGCCGTCGGATTGCATAGACGAGTAGGTAGCTCTGTTGTAAGAAATTAGATCAATTTCCCAGTCTTCTTAATCAATAAAGATAGCTTACACGAAGTCAGGTTCGTTCAAGAAACCCAGGTGAGTGACGGGAACGCCAGCATCGGCGTAGTACTTGACGTACTGTACCAACATATTGGCAAACGCCTGTCTCCAATCCCCGGACGAGCAGCTACGCCCTGTAACGCCACACAGGTAACCTCCATTCGCTTCGTTACCGTTCGTCTTCATGAACCCAGGCGCACTCCACGCATCGGCGTATATTGTCGTGACGCCATATCTCTTCGCCTGCTGACTGAACCAGATCTGACCGGAGTCGTCGTTGTCCCACACATAGCTTGGTGTGCCGTTCGGCGAGCCTGGACTTCGAGGCAGGATGCTGTCCGTGGTCGTAGAGCCAATGCGATTGCGAATGATGGTCAATCCGGCGCCAGTCTCCGTATTGAAGAGGTAATCGAGACCTCTCTGGCGAGGTTCGGCATTGGCTTCGAAGAACTCCTTTGCACGGCCGAAGGCTTGCGAGACACCAAATCCGTCAATTTCTTGGAGGGTGGAACCGACGTTGACGGTGACCTGGGTTTGGGCGACGGCCAGCCCGACAGAGAGGGAAAGGATCGCGGTTGAAACAAAGATATGCATAGTGTCGATGTCTGAAGTTGTTTGGCTGCCTCAGATTAGGGTGAAGCAGAGAAGAGAAGAAAGAATTCGTCATGTTTTATATGATTTCGGATAAACAAATCGAATAAGACTGCAGTCGTCGAAGACTCGAGCAGGTCATGCGTGGTCGAAGAAGCGAGAAGTTTCAATATGACAACTGAACATCAACCGGGGATCGTCCGAAAGGCAAATGAAAGTGTTGCGGATCGCCTGAGGTGCTGCAGCGGCCTCGAGAGCCAAGCAGAATCGGAGGTGAGTGCATGACAGAAGTTACCGAGGTATTGGAGATCGACGCTGGCTAGACGATCATGAGGCATGGATATATCTCCGCCGGTGATGTCTAAAAACACTTCTGAACCAGAGCCTATCGAGTCGAAGTTGAACTTGCCACCCTTGAGGACCTCCCGGGTCCCCTGCCTCTTAATTGCATCTTCCTCTCTCCGGAGTCGACTTATCAAGTTTAAGTCCGGGATGACACAGAACCAGGTTGTGTTGGGGGAAGAGAAAGACTAGTCGATGTATGAATAGTGCATGCCGAAAATAAGCGTCTCTTCCGACGGAACATCGACTTCCAGTGGCTGTGCACTCCAATACAGCGTCGTCCGGCTGCCGTGGAATAATCAGCGCCTGCTTCCTACTTACCTGAGCGAATCTCGGAGTGGCATTACGGCGGGGTTCTGACTTCTTCGGCTCGCCTTGTTCGACATTGCTGGAGGTGTTCTTTGATTTGGGTCGTTAATGATCACTTGACGTCTCGAGGACAGAGCTTCATTATCACCGTCGGATTCAATGTGGTGTGCATTGCTGAAGAAGCGCTTCTTCCGACAAGGGGCTCGGACCGCAAGGCGGGCCGGGAAGAGGATAGATAGATGGGAAGGTGAGAAAACTCAACTTCCGTTTGCATTAGTTTCGTCCATACAACAAATTCGATGCAGGAGGAAAACGTTTACTTGGTCGCGCCATTTGCCTTTCGTCTAATCTCAGGTTCCAGCGCGAAACGCTGCTGCTCTGGCGAGATGGAGTACAAGCGCTCCCAAATTGGTTGCAATAATTTTGGTGTTTTCCAAGCAAGCTCGTCATTTCGAAGCCAAAGGCGGATGAGGTGTCGTCTGAAAGAAATAACAAGCTCAGGCCTGACCATAAAGGCAAAGGATCGTTCACATACGTGTGTTCCTTGCTGTCCGTGAAAGCGTCCCGAGCATGCAGCAACCCTAGACTGTTGATATACTGGATATCACCTTTCTGGAAATTGAGGCCGAGAGAGTATTTCTCCGCCAAAAAGTGGACAGCGTCGAGGGCTTCGGCCTGCGCCTCAGTGATTGGGGGGATATTGGCGCTGCGTTTCTGCAGTCCATATCCAGTGAAATGTCGCCGCGAATACTGTATAATAACATGCCCATCCTCATAATAGAGGACAGGTCGGGTAGTATATCCGGGATCACCCCCAAAGCTGTCCAAGGCCCACGGCTCAGACAAGGTATGGACCAGGTCTGGACGTGTGGCTGCAAGTTCGTTGTAGACCCGCGCACCGCTGCTTATCCTGGATGTACCGCCCTTCTCTGCGACTTCTAGGGATATTAGGGCGATGAGGTCGCCGACGTCGGTGTGGAAGACCTGCTTGTCGGTTGTATAGGCAGAGTTCCCGATGCCACCTTTTTCGTGCGCGTGGCTGACGGTGAGGTCCTTAATGTGTGCAAGCACAGCACCTGTGCCATCTTGCTTCCCCCGTCCTAAACCAACATGAGACGAGATACCTAATGGGAAGAATTGTGTCAAAGCCAAGCCATTTTCGGTATAGAGGCTAGACTCACCTGCGTAGATGATTGCCAAATCTTTCCGAGAATAATTATCGATGGGAACGGTCCTCAGGACGAAGAAACCTCGTCCTGAATACAGTTCTTTGCACAGTTCATGGAGCTTGGGTGCGAGAGTCGGAAGAGGGAAGGTGTCCTTTCCAACATGCCCCAGTTCGAGGTTCAGTCCTGTTGCCAGTCAGAAATGTTGAATGCGCTCTGCAACACCTTGATCATAACCAATGGTGTACCTTTGAAATGAGCCAACCCGCCGTCGATCTCCTTCAACTCTTCCTCGCTCAAGACATAGACCCACTGCTTCTCGCTTGTCCAGTCTTTGCCTTCCCATACAATAGGTCCGTCTACCCTGGCCGGGAATCCAGGGGGAAGAGGTGTGTTGGGAAGATCCGGGTTCTCAGCAAGGCGTCTCGCTGTGCGTTGCAGATACTTGTCGTAATTTGGGTGGTATTCAATATCCGGTTGCCGAGCTGTTGGGATGCTATCGGTGGTTGGGACAGACGCGCTCATTTCTTGCGGGGTTAGAGTTGAAACGTGAGGAAGGTGGGCCGGTGGGGAAGCTTATCTGATAAACGGGTGAGCTTATCTGATCGGATCGAAGCCGGAAAAGCGGCCCGACAAAAAATCTGTAAGTAGATGAACCGAAGGCAAGGGAGTGGTCAGTAAACATCCTTCGGGAAACAGAAAAAGGATTCTTACAGAAAAAAGAATCAGAATAGAGGATTCATCACTTCTTGATCCGAATTACTGAAGAAAATACAGATAGAGGTAGGATAAAGAACCAGAATTTCCGCAGTTAAAGCGGAGAAGAGAGCAAGTCTTTTGGGCAAGAACAAGAACAAGGGGGTGGATAGCCGGTAGGCGCCTGACGTACTGACGCTACATGTTGAAATCATGCTGCACAAGGGATAACTCCAAGTTGGCCGTAATCGATGAAGGCGACAAAACAGAATTGGGTAGGGCAAGGACCAAGGTCCGCGGGTCTAGAGAGCATCCATATATTCCTGCTCAGGTTCCTCATACACGATTGCGGAAGAGTCTTCGGTGGTCTTTCCTTTCCCCTTCGTAGTACCTTTGTTGACCTTTGGGTCGTTGGTTCGTGGAGCGTGAAAGCTCTTCGGAACGATCTTTCCAGCTGAATATTTCCGAATGGCACCACGATCGCCTTCGAATTCACCATCTCCAACCTTGAAGATTATGCCCAAGACCGACTTTGAACGTGTTTGGTAAGTTAAGTCTTCCTCGTCGTCCTCAGGAATTACTTCGTCTTGAACTTCGACCGAACCTGTCGTGACTTCCCAGCGTATTTCGTCTGGAGGGAAAGGGAGTATTGGTGGCAGTGAGCAGACTAGTTGGAGAAGAAGGGGTATAGCCGCGCCCATGGCGCTAAAGTGCAACGTTTTATACCTTGAAGGAGAATTCATCAGCTTTCTATTCAACGCGCATAAATCGAGACCACGCACCCATCATTAAGCATAACATCCTTGCACCGACGCATGTAATTTCCCAGCGACGTTTTACGCGTAATGCACATCATGTTTGTCCCTTCTCGATGACTTGAACGCGGACCCGTTGCAGCGACAGATGTTGGGACCGTCGGGAACGGTCTCGGAGCATTGAGCTTGTTGATGCGAGGCCGTTGTGGTGCCTTCGCGGGTTCCTGAGTCGAGTCGTTCGTTTTCTTCTTTCGCCTCCCTCTGCTGCTCTGCATATGTGTGTTGTGTTGGTTGGTCTGACCCGTTTGTGCGGCACCTGCAAGTAGTGGTGGCCGGAGCGATTCTGTGCTCGGGCCGACCTCGGGAGTCATCTTGAGTCTCTTTCCAGCCTCTGCGACGTTGTCCGAGTCGAGTTTCCGTTTTTTTGTGCTGTCCATTGCGCTTGGCAGTGCTGGCCTGGTGCTGGCAGGCCTGAGCGCGTCCGTAGATGATGAACGCGCGAAAAGATGATCAGATTGACACAAGTGTAAACAGTGAAAAGCTGGTCACGCTCCCGAGAAAATCGATCTCCGCCCCACCCTTCCCTTCCCCACCCCATCGACTGTGGTTTTCTGGTTTCCTCTAGAAAGCGCATACGTCGTCGCCCATCATGAGTCAGGACATTGCGGAGCAGAATATCCAGATGTGGAAGGTCAAGAAGCTCATCAAGAGCCTTGACTCTGCCAGAGGGTATGTTCGCGAACTTTTTCCAACCATCGCTGGGGCGCATATCAGTGGGCTGATAAGGTCTCTCTTTCCAGAGCTGGCACATCCATGATCAGCCTCATTATACCTCCAAAGGTGCGCTACGATCGATTGCTTTTCTCCTCAGCATGCAGGAGGTTGATTGCTGTCATTTCTTAGGATCAAATCTCTCGCGCGTCTGCGATGTTAACGCAGGAATATGGAACTGCTTCGAACATCAAGTCTCGAGTCAATCGTCTCTCCGTGCTTGCTGCGATCACCAGTACCCAGCAGCGCCTGAAGCTTTACAATCGCGTGCCTCCCAATGGCCTCGTGCTTTTCGTGGGGACGATCTTGACGGATGAAGGAAAGGAAAAAAAGGTGTCATTTGACTTCGAACCTCATAAGCCCATCAATACGTACGTGCCCCACCTGTTCTCTCCGTGATCATCGCGTCTAAGGGGGGCTATGCAGTTCGCTTTACCTCTGCGACAACAAATTTCATACGGAGGCTCTTTCGGAGCTCTTGGAGTCCGATTCACGCTTCGGCTTCATCGTTATGGATGGTAACGGCACCCTCTTTGGTGTCCTTTCAGGAAATACGCGTGAAGTCATGCACAAGTTTACTGTCGACCTGCCCAAGAAGCACGGACGTGGAGGACAATCAGCTCTGCGTTTCTCGCGTCTTCGTGACGAAAAGCGACACAATTATGTGCGCAAGGTTGCCGAATTGGCTGTACAGCATTTCATCACCAACGACAAGGTCAACGTGACTGGTTTGGTCCTTGCTGGAAGTGCCGATTTCAAAACGGAACTCAGCCAGAGCGACATGTTCGATCAGAGGTTGGCCGCCAAGGTCATCAAGGTCGTCGATGTCAGTTACGGTGGTGAAAATGGTTTCAATCAGGTGCGTAAACAGCTGATATCCGTAATATCTTCGAAGTTGACCACCCCGTTAGGCGATTGAACTTGCTGCTGAGTCGCTTGCCAACGTCAAGTTCGTCCAGGAGAAGAGACTCATTCAGAAGTACTTCGATGAAATCAGCCAGGATACCGGACGTTACTGCTTCGGTATTGATGATACTCTCAAAGCCCTCGAACTTGGTGCAGTCGAAACTCTGATCGTTTGGGAGAACCTCGATACGACGCGATACGTCTTGCGCAACGCTGCTGGCGGTATGTCTATTCACTACCTCGTTCAAACGGAGACTTACCGCTTCTCCAGAGGAAATCGTTGTTCACTCCAGCAAAGAACAAGAGAAGGATCGCGAAAAGTTCATTGACAAGTCCACAGGCCTCGAGATGGAGCAAGCCATCGAGCCACAATCCCTCCTCGAGTGGTTCGCCGAAAAGTACAAGGAGTTCGGTGCCAATCTTGAGTTCATCACGAACCGGTCGCAAGAAGGAGCACAGTTCGTCAAGGGTTTCGGCGGTATCGGTGGTCTGCTCCGATATAAGGTTGACTTCCAGAATCTCTCCTCCGTCGATGATGAGGATGAGGATGAGTTCTACTCAGATGATGACATCCTCTGACGGTATTGCGGGCTCCGATTGGGAGCCCCGTCCATCCAGGGTACGCCGGGCGGGGCGGAGGGCAGGGGTGGTTGGGACCGTGGCGATCGCGTAGGAGACGATGAGAGCATGAAGAACCTTGTTACGGATGGCGTTGGAGGTGGTTGTGTGATACTCGCCAACGTGAAGGAATGCATATCACACGTGGTCCAGGAAAAAAGAAAAGCATGTTGTTCACCTGGTGTCGGAGTTCGTTGGTTTCGTGGAGGAATATGTTTGGAGAAGACGTCGGCAACTATCAAGTTAAATATTTTCCCTAGACTGCGGACTCCCCTCAAACATTCTCCATTTCTCGCACTAGGCACGTTCCCTTTCACAATATTTTTCGATTCATGATCTGATCCCTTCCACAGATATTCTTCTTGTCCAGTTGTTGAGAACGAAGTGATTATCGCGTGGATAGTACGACGGGTGGATGGATTGCCCACTATTTCTCAAGACCGATACGTGCTTTGTATCTCGAATTTGATTGTTATTGTGTTTTGTGTTTGCATTGACGCTCCCTTGCTAGCCAACGCGTAGTAAGGCTGTGCTTCCAAGCAACCAGTTCCAATGACTATACACAATATTGAATCTCAGTCCGTTGAACCGGATCTTTCAACGTTCAGAGGGTACATTTTTGTACCTGCCACCAACCTACCTCATTGCAAATAACTGCGTCCAAAACATGCTCCAATATTCGCCCGGCACTGGCGTGGCATACTCTCTTTTTTTCTTGAGTGCGCACTCCGAGGACAAAATCTCAGAGTCTATTTCGTTGCTGAAGGAAAACCTCCGAGGGCGTCTAAAAATAGCCGTGTTGTCCGGGAATGGGCATCAACAAACTTCGCCTAACCCTTTTCTGCCTTCCCCATGATCATCTACCGGTAATAGAGGGGCGATAAACACCCATCCGGCATCGGCGCGAGACCTCCACAACCCTCTTGCTCACTTGCACGTTTCTTCTGCACGCTCGGACACAGTCTTTAGGGTTGCTTCATGCCCCTGCGACGCGTACGAAATCCTTAATGCTAAGGAGAGGCAAGATACAATCGCAAGACCCTCCGCCCGCATTCTTATTACGGCCCCTTGGACGAATATACGACCACAACCTACTATCTATCATCGACTTCATCTAGCTTAACTGCACAACTTATCCTACCGACTCACAATCTACGTCAGACTCAAAATGCACATGACGACCATCCTCCCTCTATATAGTATTGCGCTCGTAATCAGCAGCCTACCGCCCCGCGCTGCGGCTCTTAGTCTGCGCTACCTGGGTATCCGCGAAACTCATTCTCTTCCTTCTAAGGAGGCCTTCGCATGCAGCCTCTGGAACCCTTTACGTGCGGAATTGTCCTCGCGAAGTTCGGAGAAGACAGGGCTGGAGAAGAGGATCACGGGAGTCAACCTGAACCCGAATGGGTCAGAGTTTTTATGGTTACCCCAGGACGATTTCTCTGGGAAGACGTTCTTTGAGTGAGTGGCCACGCTTTGTGGAAGGTACATAGGTTCGGTTAACTGAACGGCACTTTGTGCAGTAATTTCCAATTCTTCAGTGCACCAGATCCGACGAAGTAAGACGAGAGTTTCGGAGTCGTCTGCAGGGTGCTGACTTAAATTTGCGACTCGCAGCGGACATGTCAAGTAGGCTTTCTTTATCTGGTATCATGCACCTGACCTATGGTCTGCATCTGTCAGTTTCGTGAACGCATCGACCGCGTTTCAAAAAAGGCTGGCATATGTTACAGATGACGGCCAGGTGGTGATGAAGGCGGACAATACCACTGATTTGCCTCTAGGCGCCTTCCGTGATAGGTGGGACTCGAGGCCTTTTTCGCCTTCTCGTGCTGATACCACGGTTCTTCAGTGTACGTATTACAAGCAATGCGGTATATAACACCGGGCTATTTATCTTGGATTTGAATACAGCACCTTGGGGATGCGGTAGGAGCGATGATGCTTGAAGACGGCCACTAGAAAACTGATATGCTTGACCTACAGCGGTTTGGCCCGCATTCTGGACTGTTGGACCCGACTGGCCAGCAGTAAGTTCGTACTTGAAATCTTCCAAACCACAGAGCCTGACGATACTTATGTTCCAGGGCGGTGAAATTGATATACTGGAAGGAGTCCACGACAATGAACACAACCAAATTGCATGGCACACAGCAGATGGTGAGCTAACAACTCACTAGAAAGCTCTCGGTCTCTCACACTTCATCCCAGGATGCTTGCTGGATCCGAATGCCATCATCACAGGGACAATTTCTGTAAGTATTGAGCCCATCATGTAGCTACTAGCCGTTCACGAGGCTTTAATTCGCAGCAAAACAACGGAGCCAACCTTACAAACTGCTTTGCAGGGGTTAATTCGAACAGCGGCTGCGATGTGACTGAATGGAGCAGGGCATCATATGGGCCCTATTTTGAGGAACAAGGAGGTGGAGTTCTTGCGATGAAGTGGGACGAGAACGATATTTCTGTCTGTGAGTCCTGAATCTCGTTTCCTATTTCTCGTTTCTGCTCAAACGTGGTGACTAGGGTCTTTCTATCGAGCTGCTATTCCAAAGGACATTACAACAGGAAGCCCCGACCCTTCGCAGTGGGGTACTCCCTCAGCGACGCTCATGAATACCCAATGCGACATAACTTCCTTCTTCTCCAACCACTCCATCATATTTGACATCACGTTCTGTGGTACGTGAAGTCACTGGGACCAACTTCGACCACGTTCTGACTGGTAGAAAACCAGGCGACTGGGCGGGCAACTCCTACGCAACTTCTGGATGCCCAGGAACCTGTGACGGATGGCTCATGGATGGAGCGCACTTTGTGGTAAGCTTTTGGATTCTGTTCTGCTCAACGCTTTGATGACGATGGGGGACAGAATGCCTCGTGGAGCATCAACTCTCTAAAAGTCTACCGGAAACAACCGATTGCGGATATAACGACGAGCAGTGGCCGCTCTCCATCGCGTGCAGCAGGTCGATGGGCGGCTGCAATTGCAGCAATGCTCGGAGGGTTTGAAATGGCACTGGGGGTTGCGTGGTGATAGACGTAAGTAAGTAGCGACAGATAGGAGGGTTTCAAGCGGAAATGTGCACTCCTTAGACAGCTAGACAGTGGGTACGAAACATAGTTGCGTGGCGATTTGTTCCTTCTGTACGAGTCAGCGTCGGGTGCTAATGTCAATAAATGTCCACAAGCCCGAACAGGGGCCGTCGCGTGCGCCACGCTGCCCCCAATAAGCGATCACGTGACTCGTTTATAAGCCTGCGGCTGCTGCTACGAGCCGTCTGAGCCGTTTCCTCTTCTAAGTTCTAACTTGAACCACGATCGAGCCACCGTCTACGTCACGACTGACGAATGCCTGAGGCACATCCGCACGAGCCGTCTATAAAAGCCTCCAGGATGAGCTCTTTTCTCCACCAATGCTACGACGATGTCTTCGATTAGTTCAACACTTAAACACGCCCTTTCAAGCTTCCAGGACACGGTGAAAGTCAAGGATTTGCGCACGGATACGGTAGAATGTACTCCGTCGAGTGGTCTGACGACGGATCATGGCGTCAAAGTAGCAGACACAGACAACTGGCGAGTCACTGTCCCGATTATCTCTGTCCTAGTCCCTGACTTGGAGGATTGGAAAGGTTGAAAGTGTCCGACGGGTCCCTCGCGGGTCCGTCTCTCCTCGAAGATCAAATCGCTCGAGAGAAGATCCATCGTTTTGACCACGAACGAATCCCAGAACGCGTCGTACATGCTCGTGGAACGGGTGCTCATGGGTACTTTCGAGTGTTTGATGACTCGGCAGCGAGATGGACGATGGCACCCGTCCTAACCGACCCGTCGCGTACCACGCCTATATTTATTCGGTTCAGCACTGTCCAAGGGTCGAAAGGTAGCGCGGTGAGTGTAAATAGCCTTTGTTCTCTTTATTCCAAATATCAAACATTGTCTACCTTCGCCAGGACACTGTTCGCGATGTACGAGGCTTCGCCATGAAATTCTACACGGAGGAAGGGAATTGGGACCTCGTTGGCAACGATATTCCCGTGTTCTTCATCCAAGACGCCATGAAGTTTCCGGATATCGTCCATGCCGTCAAGCCTGAGCCCCAGAACGAAGTTCCGCAAGGCCAGTCTGCGCATAACAATTTCTGGGATTTTGTTGGGCTTCAACCTGAATGTGAGTACCTCTGCTTTGAACATCGCGACGGCACATTGATTAAGCTTTGAATCGTTCTCAGCGGCGCACATGGTGATGTGGGTTATGTCTGACAGAGGTACGTACATCATCCTCGTCTCAAAACTATCTGATGCTCAGCCCCTCTTAGGCGTTCCTCGTTCCTTCCGCATGATGCAAGGTTTCGGGGTAAACACCTACACTCTCATCAACGCAGAGGGCAAACGCGTCTTCGTCAAGTTCCATATGATCCCCGAACTTGGTGTACACAGCCTGGTCTGGGACGAGGCATTGAAAATTTGCGGACAAGATCCTGGTATGCAGTTTCGACGACGTTGTCAAGTTGTCTGACTGACGTTCGTCCAGACTTTCATAGAAAGGATTTGGAAGAAGCTATCAAATCCGGTGTTTTCCCCAAGTGGACTTTCGCCATCCAGGCCATCGAAGAGAAGGACGAACACAACTTCGATTTCGACATCCTGGACGCGACCAAAGTGTGGCCGCAAGATTTAGTACCGCTCCACACGATAGGCGAATTCGTCCTCAACAGGACGGTCGACGAGTTTTTCCCGGAGGTGGAGCAGGTAGCGTTCTGCACCAGCCACGTTGTGCCCGGTATAGGGTTCAGCGACGACCCGCTGTTGCAGGGGCGCAACTTCTCGTATTTTGATACGCAGATCACAAGGTTGGGCGTCAATTGGGAGCAGGTAGGGATCTTGAATATTTTCCTCGTAGCATATTGATCACTTTCATTGCAGATTCCCATAAACCGACCAATTTGCCCTGTGATGAACCACCACCGCGGTGGGGCGGGGCAACATCGCATTCATACTGGCTCTCTTAATTACTTCCCGAATCGTGACAATGTTGGACATCCCATTTCGCCCTCTCAAGGCGGTTACACGGAGTGAGTCATCAGGTGTCACAACTCTCTCGCTGCTCTCATGAATTTCTTGCAGACACAAAGAGAAGGTTGTTGGTATCAAGCAGCGAGTCCGGGGCGCCAAATTCCAGGAGCACTTCAATCAGGCCCAGTTGTTCTACAACTCCTTGACTGACTATGAGAAGGAACATCTCAAGGCGGCCATCTCTTTCGAGCTGAGTCACTGCGATGACCAAAGGGTGTATGAAACTTACAGCCGAGTTCTGAACAACATCGACTTCGATCTGGCGAAAACCGTGGCGCAAAACGTGAATGGCATCGTGCCAGAGAAGCCAGCTCGCCAGAACCACGGCAAAAAGGACCCAACCTTGTCGCAAACGTTCTACTCTCCGAAGACGCCTACAATTGCCACTCGCCGAGTCGCTATTCTCGTTGCGGATGGTTTCGATATGCCCGAAGTTGAGGCTGTCCGTGCTACATTAGCGAGCGCCCACGCGACGACCTGGATCATTGGCCCTCGTCGAGGCACAGTCTACTCTGCTGGCGAAACCATCGGTAGTGGCAAAGGTCTTGTTGCGGATCACCATTTGAAGGACAACGCTCGACAATGTATGATGCGCTCTACATTCCTTCGGGTGCTACTCATGCTAAAGCACTCGCGCAAAATGGTCGCGCCACTCACTGGATCCGCGAGGCCTTTGGGCACTGCAAGGCCATCGGGGCTGTTGGCGATGGTACGCAGTTTTTTTCCCCGATGATACTTTGCATGGAGTTTACTTTCTCGCCTAGGTGTTGCTACAGTCCATCTTGCATTAAACCTCCCATCGGTCAATATCACCCACTCGCTCGACTCCGACGAAGTCGTATCATCGTACGGCGTCGTCACTGTCGGAAAATACAGCACCGTGGACGCCGTTCGTGACGCCCTCGAGATCGCCCCTGGCCCTCAAGGCTTCGTTTCGAATTTTGCTTTCGAGATTAGCAAGCATCGGTGCTACCAGCGGGAGTTGGATGGATTGACTAGCCAAGTCGCATACTGAGTGCTTGAGCACCCTCTACAAGGAGAAGCGAAGCTACCTTATTTGTATCATCATTGAAATCGTAGGAATTCAGTTTTTCGCTGTTGTCCTTATTTGCCATTTGCCCCAAGCATGATCCTCGTCGACGGATTTCATCCTCGTTTTCCGCCTGAGATGTTGGACCTTTTCGTTGATTTACTGCCACAGGAAGATGTTAACTCAATGTCACTCTTCAATCTCGCAACCTGGTTTCTCGTTCTTACTGCCTTGATCACCGAAAAGCGAACGGACACGCCAATTTCACCACCGAAATCCAGGGCGTTTTGCTGCTCTCGAACCGCCACCATCGCCTCTGGAGATCTGTGTCATAACAGAGTGAACCTACGGCGAAATCAAGGAGCTGCTGAAGTCCTTTGAAGCGCAGCAAACTGGTCCAACCATGACCGTGCCCTCTCAGGCATCAAGTCTCCAATGAGACAGGACGTCACATTTGCCTTGTAATTCGACGCTTCTATCGCTCAAAAGTCGGACGGTGGCCGAATCCAGCTGTTATTCTTTGCTACGCAACACACTCCCGTCTCTATCCAACCCCGCAACCCAGAGCAGGAGGGAGTCCACTATTCGAGTCGCCTTCTCAAAGGACAACTTCGAGTGCCTTCTGAAGATGCAGGCAATGGAAAATACCGGCCGTAATTCTAAATCTATGAGGTACTTGATTCGTAATGAGGTCTCGCTCAGATACATTAGCTTCTCCAGACGCTTTCACAGAGTGCTGCAGTGATGATACCGGGACACTTATAGATTATGTTCGGTCTGTACAAACGGCAGCAAACTGAATGAATTGAGCCTCGAAGCTGTGAAGTCGTTAGAGGAACGTGAAGTTGTGCTACAGAGGCCTCTGTCGGATATTTGTGGAGCGAAGTCTTTTTCTTAACTCCCTGAGACCGACTTCTCTATTTTGAATTTTGAAAGGAGAAAAGCAATTCAAAAGATCCCAAGAGAGTTCCAAGTCCGTCGCCGCCCGACATTATCCGTGCACAGGATGTCGTGTGCAACCTTCGGGCTAGCAAGCCTGCAGTTATGTAAGAGGCAGGATAGGGTTCCTAGGAAACCGATGACCAATAACCTAGATCAATTCATCTATATCAACATTTTCAGTCTATCGTTCCCCTCCAATGTATATGCACACGCCCGGCTAGTACATGGCAGGATCCGGCTCGAGGGTGGAGAAAGAGAAGGGCCTTCCGTTCTCGCTGTGACGCCATTTTAGCGCCGGATGCAGGCCAAATAGATCAAAGGGGTTACTCCAACCGGAGGAATTAGCAGGGTGTTGGGGGTACGTCCCTTCGTTGCTCTAGCAGGATCAGGCAAGCGATTCATGAACGCGAAGCGAGAATGGACTAAGAATAGCGCGTGGCTAAAAATAGCCGCGCGGAGAAGGTACGGTGCACCCATCTAATTCTCATTTGACCGACTGAGCTTTGTATTGAGAGAAGGACACCCTTTCGATGGCGTTGTATCTCATCTTTATATGCATTGATTGAACAGCCGCAACCAATAGGCGTCCTGTCGGAATAATGTCAACATAATGGTGCAATTTATTTGCTCTTGAAATCCTGTATGAACTATTCTTACACCACGACGATTCTAGAGGCCGTCTTCCGTGTCGCTCTTCAGCGCCGAAAGAGTATCATGCTTAAAATTGATGGTCCAGGGCTCGGGTGAGGAGGGACCCTAGCGAGCTCGCTGCGGGAGCAAGTTAGAGGCACTTACGCCATGGTGGTCTTCTCCAATACATCATTGCTGCGGCAGGGCATCTGTGAAAGAGGAGCATCAGAGGCACGTTCGTGAAGGAGGTAAATGGAGTAGATCCTCCCTATACTCGGGCGAGGCTATCGTGACGTCTCCTTAAATTTCGGTATGAACACGAACGATTGTGGCGAAATTCTGCCCGGACGAGCCTTAAATTCCGCAGGTGTATGCCTCGACGTGCTACAAGAGTAGCATTAAGTGCGCTCCTCGGTTACGTTGGTCCGTCAGAGACTAGGTCTATCACCATTCAACGATATTTATCACCTTGCATGAAATTGGCCATTTACAACTTCATCTTATCCCAGTGCAGGACTTGAAAAGTTATAGACATCGTTAATGGCATCATTCAGAGATTACAATCGTGAAGGGTCAGAGAATTTTCGGGACGACAGGAGAGATCGCGGTCCGTTTGGGCAACTGTGGCCCGTTTCTCGTTGCTAGTCGTGTCCAGACGTTCTAGGGCTTTCAGGATCCATTATTAGAAGACAGGACATGCTCAACTGATCAAGGGCCCGGGTGATCCACTGATCCAGCGAACGGGAGACTCGATACAGACTCTGAGAATATGCAAGTTGTCAATATGGGTCTCAGGATCCCGGTCCGCCTAGGATATTCTTCGGTGAATGCAAGTACTTTGTGAAGAGAAATCGGACAAACACGGGCTGTATCCTCCTGAACAACACCGTGCACCTCGACGTGGACGATTAGGTGCAGATACTAGATAGAGTTTCGCCAAAAAAGTTCGGTGTGATGGATATGAAGAGTCAAAATGTCGATGATCACCAAGTGCGGTTACTTATGTCGTTGAGTTTCGGGGGACTTAGTTCGGCGTTAATCCAGACGCATGCGAAGACAATTTTTTGTCCTCGTTCATCTCCATATGTACGAGAAATTTGTATCCGCTTTTGTGGTGCCCATGTGCTGCTCGCAATATCCCGAAAAGAATCCAGACCGTTTGTGCATCAGCGCTGAAGAGATGATAGAGTCGAGAGCTGAGTCCGTTCAAGTCTTTTCATAAAAATACTGGCTTTCGATGCTTACACCAATATGTCCATGACGCAATACAATCTACCTTTTTTGAGGACGATTGCCAGCTAGATAAAACCAAGTCTCTTTTAATCTTGAGTTTCTTCCCATGGAGACTTTGGCGAGACGTCAGCGCGGATCATTTTCGAGGCTTCACGGAACGCATTCCAGGCAACCAGCCGTGAGTATCAAATAGTTACACAAATAGCAATTACACGAGGTGCTTTAAACCCTAGAGCACTCTTTATACTCTGGAATCTCCTCACAACTCGTACCCACACTAAACCCGTGCCACGCCTTGTACTCGAAGTCTACAAAGATCGCGAGATCGGCAAGGTGTCGGAGTAACCCAGATGAAGCTCATATGCGGAAGGAAGCAAAGCGCCCGTTGTAAGGCAACACGGAAGCAGACACCCGAGATCAAATCTACATGGCTACATGGCAATCATCAAGAAATAAGGACTCCAAGGTACGGGTGTTGAATTTTATTACCGATCCCGGTGAATAAAAGGGAGTAAAGAGGTGAAGTAAATGGAAGTGCAAGAGAGGCTAGGAGCGCCACACAACCCTTTTTTGGCTAGTCCAGGCGAACGGAGTCACGATTGGTGCATGAATGCTGCGCATAATCGATCTCAGCCTGGTCCACACACGTTACTTCGAGTCGGTATCAACTGGAAAGGATGAAGACCTTCGAAGGCATCGGAAGATTGCATTCTGTCGACGTCAAGAATCGAGACCGCTCGTATTTGCGTGCCCATGTCGTTATGGGATCAGCCAATATAAGATAAGGGAACATAAATGGCAATGCATTGTGATCCAATGTCCTCGAAAAGTCCTTGGAAAGGGTGGTTGAATACATCATAATCATGATCGTGATCCTGCTTGTGCAGCCGCCGGGAGACGCGCCTTGAGATTCACGATCGTTCCATAGGTCGCAAACGCTGACAGCGCGCTCTCAAGGACGACTGCAAATTTGAACTAAGGAGGGGAACCGCTTAGGCCGGGGGTCAATCAGCACCGAAGCACGCCTCCTCAATCCCATTTTATGAGAATCATGCAGAGCAGCGCACGGTTGTAGGACGCCAGGCCCAGCTCTTCAGTTGCTCTGTATTTCGATCGAGACCGCTGACGCAGCTGTTTGTAATTTCTCTATCCGTCTGGTAAGGGTGTCTGTTGTCCCGCCCTTCTCACATCAGTTCTGTCTATGAGTGATTGACAAATGCACATGCCAAGCCGGAATTCTAGTTCCAAGGGGTATGTGCCGTAAATTTTTCATGTTCTCTAAAGGGCTGCTCAATTCTCGGATCGTTCGTTCGTTCGCTCATCAGTTCGTCGGACGTTGTGCTTCCGTCATAAGCCAAGGATGCGTTCCAGACCCATTTGGAAGGTGGCCGCGTCGGCAGGCTGAACTGTATGCATCTTGAAGTTCAAGTCCTTGAATAATCCACGTAGTCGTACGCTTCAATCTGTAGCGAAATTGTTATCGTTACGAGCTTTTCAATTGTGACTATTCTCCAGACTCATAGCATGCAATTTATCTCATAACTTTAAGCTTGCCTGAAATCCCTTGCCATCAACCGACATATTTATGTCATCACGACTCACGAGATCTAGAGAGCTCTATCCTAGATGTCATTACATCGAGCAGCTAGCTAGAAGGCTCATACTATCAATGTAACCCATTGGACTTGAGATAACTATTTGACTCCGCCTGTGTTCAGAGGCTTGCTGTCGGGACCCTGGACGGCATGGCGCCGAGTCTGATCGAATGATGCCTGGGCGTATGAATTGCCGACGAACTGATGAGCGAACGAACGAACGATCTGAGAATTGAGCAGCCCTTAAGAAAGCATACCACTATTCCGAGCCTCAAAGAAGACTGAAGTGGAATAACTTATCAAGTTATGCTTTCATCCGGCCTTTCATAGTTCCACAGGCGCGACACTCGCTTCAGAGGTC